AATCGATAGGCCACACACACAACACGAGCGCTCACCACACCAAGGCAGGCAGGCTCTTTGTGACGTGCAAGGGTTGAGGACAACCTCGACCGGAGCCCCCGCCTACCTCCTTTTGTTTTCACTTCAATCATAAAAGCATAACACAAAAGCCATTATGCTGGGGCTGAAGAGAAGACGACGTGCACAGAGGTTTCGCCTCCTTCTAATGTGGGTTACGATAGCAAGGAAGAGCGATAGGTAAAGGGGCGGATGCGGAGAGACAAAGGTATGCTTGCATAAATTTATGACATTCTTTAAAGTCCGTTAACCAAGTGGCTCAAAATCAAAGAGAACGACAGAGGCGATAATAAAAAATACAATTTCGTTATACGAACCTAATGTACTGCCACCCAAGAGCTCTATATTTGTGTTTTACCCGGGCCATAACATGCACGTGAACATTTTGAGTTTTATATCGATAGCCATCATCTTGATGTATCACAACAGGGCATAAAATCAATATTGTAATTTTAATTTTTCCATAAACAGGTTTTTCCATAAACAGGGAAACTTGTGTTAATACGATAATTAAACTAATCAGTGTTCTCCCATTGCGATGATCTGTCAGACTTCTGTTAAAGTTTCGAAGATCCTACATAATTTGATTCAAAATCCCTTTAAAACTGTCTATTATCATTAGAGGGAGGTATTTCACAATTAAAAGTATTCCTATATGAAAATGATAAGCTAAGTAGGTACTCGAATCGTTAAAATTCTTATATCTCTCACAATTTAAAGAGCTCTTTAATTTGAAAATCTTAAGCACTCTTCGCTACACACACACGCTCTTTAATATTACAATAAACTAACTAAATTATTTGTGTAACGCCAAAATTAAGCAGATTTGCAGCCCATTAGTTTAGATTCGCCCACAACTGCTGCTCATATCTCACTCCGTTTATTTTCCACCCAAAGGGATTCGCACTTTCATTGCGCATTTGACTTCCAGCTCAATTCAATGTCAATCTATCGCCGCCACCATTCCGCCTCAATTGCTCCCGCTCGGTGTGTAGGTGGCAACGAGCAATTAAAGCCAGCTGACGCTCATTTGAGGCTGAAAATTAATTTTTTAAAGGATTGCCCCTGCAGTCCTTTGACTGCAAGCTTACCAAAATATTTTGGCAACAGAGGAAAAAAGAATTTTTAATTAAAAACTCGGCAAAGCTTCGGATGTGGCCGCTGGCAGCCGCGAGGAGCGCCAGAAACCGAGAGGAGGCGTCATTGTTTTGGCAAGGGGTTGATTGGGCCAGGCGTCAAAAGTGGGGGGGATTGGTGGTGTTGCGGGGGCGGATGTGTAGCCGTCTTTATGACAATCGTAAAAAATAATTTTTAGTAGCTTACGAGCCGCTGGCAGAAGGAACTGTTGCCTTGGCATTTTAATTGCATCAAGTGCCATTAAAAACGCTGAAAGAAAGAATTGGAAATTAAATGGAAAATAAATAAGGACGAGGACGAGGGCGCCGAGGCGGAATGAGTGGGTCTGACAACCCTTAAGCGTCTTACACACATTCGGGGCACAAAATTGAAAACGCAAATATTTTACAAGCTTCGCATAAGTTTCTCACCCCCATTCGTTCAGGTGAAATAAACGAGGCAATGAGATATCTGAGTCGGAATCCCTGCGCAACCCTTCCCCCAATGGCAGGCTATTAGATGGGCTTTGGCTGGGCTGGGGGTAACATATGTTGAGGAGGTCGTCGTCGTCGCCGCCGGAAAAAGAAAATTTAAGCCGCTTACGTTTCGGTCCTCAAAGCAAAAGTTAAGTTGCCAAGAGGACAGCAGCCCAAGTTCTGAGACCGTGTCCCACTAGCTTCTGGGAATCTGCTTAACTTTTTGCTAGTATCTGCTCTAGGTGCAAACTTTAAATCCTCTTCTGCATAAATCTCAAACTCATTAGCGAGGAGCTGCGCAAAAAAAAAAACAGCAAGGGAAATTTAATATAGACTCCTGCGAGCGGCTTGAAAAGATCCCAAAAGAAATAAAATCATATAGACCTGGGCTCGAGGACGAAAAAGAGCGGAAAAGCTTCGAAAAGGGTCACCATAGACAAGAACGTTTTTATTGTGCTTAGCAAAACAAGCCAATTGAGGACCTCTTCCTGGGCCGAGCCAGAAACATATGCAAATTAGATTTTGCATAAAGCGAACCGAAATAAATTTAGGGGAACATAGGGACGAGGGCTCTCTGCGGCAGGGACAAATGTATATTGTTAGCGAATCTAAATAAGTAATGAGGAAGGAAGTGTCTACTGCATAGAAATGAAATAAGAGGAGAAATTACCATGTCTCTATGCATGCTATAATGTGGATCCAGAGCCACTCATCCATGGGGTGTGAAAGCGGGACAAAATAGGGATATGGAGAGTCCTCCGTTGAACTGAAAGATTTGGAGTTGAGAAAAAGGAAATTCGGGTGTCACTATACAAAAAATAAAGCACCTTAAATTATTTTATATAAATCTACTTATCTACAGAGAATGAAGTGTGAAATGTTAAATAAAACAAATGATCCACCTTACAGCTTCTTCTTTATATATGATAAAAGTGTTTGTTAGGTACCAAAAATATCAATTAACCCACATTTATTAAACAAGCATCTCTGCGAAATCCCCGCTACGTTATTATTTCACAAATTCATTGCTTTTTTCCTTAGAACTTCTTAATTAAACTAATTTAGCACGCAAAACTGGCGTTGATTATCTCTACAAATGTCGTTCATTTGCTTTCCATTTCCACACAGCCGAGAATTCCCAATCTTCGGCCCGTCCGTACTCGAAACAGTAACCCATTTATTTTCATAATTAACTTAATAAATGTGTGCGAGACCGTACACCGAACAGAGCAGTGAAAGCGCCATGAATTTTTATTAAAAGCGAGCGGAACTCCCCATTAGGGCAGGTCTGCCATCGAGGCGGACCCAGTTACCCATTGTATCGTGTATCTGGGTATCTTTGTATCCGAGTATCTGTGTATCTGCATCTCCGCACGCGTGTGCGCTTCGGCTCCAGTTTCCGGCGTCGCTGGGAGCATAAAGTAAACTAACACCCGACCGAGTTAGCGTGTGTCTCGGTGCAACATTACAGCCACTTAGTCGGGTTCGGGGCGAAGGGATGTGGGGCACGTAACATCCTTTGCTGCAGTTATGCGATAGCTGCAGACCTTTTATGGCATATTTTAGTGGCTTTGCCTAAAAAAAAAAAACTTGGCAAGGTGCTGCTGCGCTGCCTTCAGCTTGGGTTTGGTCACGGCTCAGAACCTGGAGCAGGTGCTACTGACCATAACACCCTAAAGTATGCGGCGGAAAGTATGCAATGGCAATGGCTGGGGTCCTGGCTGCCGGGCGCCGCTCCACAAAGTATTCAACAATTTGCTGTAAAACGAAACCACAGCACCCAGCAGGTAGAATAAAAACAGCATTTTCGCACGGCATATTTTGAACCGGCTTGGCGCCCTGCATACTCCACGAAATAGTTTTCGGATATTAAATGACGCGCTGTTATTCAGCTCGAGCTCGTTAGAGAGCCTGCGAAACGAAGCTAATGAAAGGATCTCCGCCATCCAGAGCTCAATGTAAAGTGATTCCAAGCGACACAAAAAGCAGCCAGCAGCGGAATATATATTTTATAAGAGCATCCTTAGCCTTTTAGGCGCTCGGCATTTCAAGTTAGAGCAAAATCCCAGGTGACCCATATGTCAACGGTAATAAACGGCAGGAGACATCATTAGAGTGAAAACTCGGTTATATAATACACTGCTGCCACTTCGATTACTTCAAAGTGCTTTCTGCTTTTAGTTTTATTTTTCCAATTACTTTTTTAGCCTTCAGATATTAAACATTTAATTATTAAATACTATAATGTTAGGTCTTTAAAGAGGAGTATACCTGGAACAATATTTTGTAAAACAATTTAAGAAATGTAACAATTTTTAGTATATTTACTTTATAAAACATACCACTAACTGGCAAAAATATATATATTTTAAAGTTTATATAAAGTTCAGAAGCTCTTCGGCTTGTTAACAGTACGGCGAAAATATATATATTTTAAAGTTTATATAAAGTTCAGAAGCTCTTCGGCTTGTTAACAGTACCTTTCGCCGAAAAAGTCAGGTTCCCCGCCTCCTACGTGGTCACATATCCCAGGGCACGACTCATTGGATTTATGACTACCAAATTGATATTAATGCTGAAAAACTCGACCCATTCCTGAATATATACAGATTCGCCGTGGAGGGCTATGGTGGAATTGGGATTGGGGCAAGGACACTGTGGCAGCTTGGCGTCGCTGAGCCTGCTTTGCATACAAGGGGAGATGCTTTCACTGCCTCGCAACGTCCTCGCCCTGTGCTGCTCTGTCCTGACTTGGAGCGTTGTAAACCGCGATTAACGTATAATAGCGTAAGAGGAACGGCGCAAAGTGGCTGCAAAAAATATGACGTACAAACACATATGTGGCAGGCAAATATAAGGAGGAAAGAATGCAGCTGAACCGAGCATACTGAATGTAGGTCACGCCAGGGATATGTGTGGAACCTGGTGCCCCCCCATTCCCAACGCTCTGTTATATGGTTAATGGATGTGTATACACTTACCGGAGCAACTTTGCGCAAAAGCGGAGAAGGTTTCAATTTAACAATTTAACAATTCGTGCCTTGCACTTGAGGGTATTGCAAGGTGTAACTGCGAACCTTAATTTATTAGATGCGATATGGTTGCTTTTACAAAATAAAACACAACAACAAAGTAGCCCTACTTAGCTATTAGTATGCAAGGTTACACAATTGAAAATGTCGCAATGCAGACGAAGTAACACTTTGAGTTTCTCCTAGTTAAGTTGAGTTGTTTGCACAGTGGCCAAAGCAGTCAATTTAGAGGGGTTAAATTTACAGAGGGAACTTATTTATTTTCCGACATAAAAAAAAGATCTTATTAATTTAACGACTTAACTTACTTTCCTTGCAGACTAAAGGTGGACAACAACGGAGGAGCCTGGTGTCCAAAGCACATGGTCTCGCGCGGTCTGACAGAATATCTGCAGATTGACCTGCTGCAGGTGCATCTGGTCAGTGCCGTTCGCACCCAGGGTCGCTTCGGCAAAGGTCAGGGACAGGAGTACACCGAGGCCTATGTCCTCGACTACTGGAGGCCGGGCTTTGAGAAGTGGATACGTTGGAAGAGCAATCAAGGCAAAGAGGTGAGAAGAAAGATGCAGATACAACTTATTATTGAAGCGGCAAGAATTAAAGAATATTTGCTTTGCTATCTAAGCTCTTTTCTATTGGCTAGGTTTACTAGATAAATATTTCATAAAATGCATCGACCTGTCCCCTTTCCACAAAGCTTAATCCGATACATTCTGCGCTCAGCCCATTCACACATTAATCACGACCAGGCCAGGCCTAGCAGATACCAATCTAAATAGCCCCGGGTTCCAGGTTTTGGGTGGGGGGGGGACAAGATCAGAAAGATATTACAACTTTTAGCCACACAATTTAGGTGCGAATTATCTTTGGAGGGAGACAGAGAAAGAGTCGAAAATTGCGTAGGTGTCGGAGCCGGGAAGAAACGCAAACTGAACCCCAACACGAGGCCGTTCCATCGATTTATTGTGAGCAAGCAATGGAAAATCAATTTTAACGCTTTTGTTTTTATTTTTTTGCCACCTACACATGCCCGCACAGCCCCCATTTATAATTCCTCCCGCCTCCTCTCGTTGCAGATACTCCCCGCCAATACGAACACCTATAGCGAGGTGGAGAACGTGCTGCAGCCCAGCGTCTTTGCGTCGAAGGTGCGCATCTATCCCTACAGCCAGTACGATCGTACCGTGTGTTTGCGCGCCGAGATCGTCGGCTGTGCCTGGGAAGGTAGGTGTCCCCCCCGTTCCTCCTCACTGCAAGTTATATCCAAGATTGCCGATCTTCTCCCTGCCCGGGACCCCTGACCCCCACACATCCGCCAATCGCACTTGTTAGTGGCTTTAGGAGGCCAAAAACAGACACCTCTACAGCGGCAAACGACCCAGTAAATTGCTTTAAAAGAAAGTCGGCGAACATTATATTCGAGTTGTTTGGGTTTCAAATTGCTGAAATTAGGAATATTTTTGGATGTGCAAAGACTTCCTTAAAAAAAGATATCAAAACATATTTTTAACATATTAATATTAATTTTAAATGTAGTTAAGGACTGAATCAAATAACTGCAAAATCTAGTTTTATTTTTACAACAGAAAAAAATGTCGCTTAGCTTTTCAAAGAGCACTCAAAATATGTGCAGGCATGCAACGAACTCTGCGACCGGTTCTGATATGTGTATATACTTTATTTTTTTGCTAGTTTCTTTTATTTTTTTATTTTTTTCCAAATACCACGCTCTTTGCCCCAGCTATGAGCTGGTTGAGTACTCAATTTACAGTGAAGTGCCTTATATCATATGACACTTGATTCGCTTCGGGCTCGGATTCGATGCCAGTCGTAAAATATACTTATAATTACAAAGCCTACATTTACCCAGAGAAATAATGTTCCTTAGGATGTTTTTTACCTTAAATAAAACATTTCAAACCGCATTAAAAAGAATGTAATGTAAAGCTTTTAAAGGAGAAGGTGTACTTTGAATTAGCAAACAAAAAAGATAGATATAGAATATAAATAAAGTATAATTGTTTTCTGTGTAGAAATGTAGACATCATAAACACCGCCCTGTATGACACACAATCCTCTTAGCCTTGCGCTTAATATCTTCTTTATCTGTAACCCACTCCCATTTGCAGAGGGAGTCGTATCTTACAGCATTCCCAAAGGCATGCAGCGGGGCATGGAAATCGATCTGTCGGACAAAACCTTTGATGGCCACGAGGAGGGCGATCGTTTTGTGAACGGATTGGGTCAACTTGTGGATGGCCAGCGGGGCCAGGATAACTTTCGCACCGATATCAGTGGATTTGGCAAAGGTGAGGCCACTTTAACATATTCCTATAACATCAACTATAATGAAATTATAATAATATCTTAATACCCTCCCAATTTCTTTGCAGGCTACGAATGGATTGGCTGGCGTAATGATACTTTGCTGGGACGGCCCGTGGAAATCACCTTCGAGTTTGAGACTGTTCGAAATTTCAGCGCTGTCATCATTCACACCAACAACATGTTCTCCAAAGACGTTCAGGTGAATTAATAGATATTTAAAAGAATTTTCATGGACTTATCCTTCGCGTGATCGAGGCACAGAAAAATATCTCTTTATATGCCCGCCAACAATAAATAATATAAACACAGAATGCGCAATGTTTGGAAATCGTAAAAACCAACAACTGCTCGGGGGTGGGGCTCTACGACCGCGGACCGGGATCCCTGGCCAGACAGACTGGCGGCAAACTGAGCAAATAAATGCTAAACAGCTCCGGCCACTTCCAACCAGCGCAATAATAAAATAAAATCGACAGAACGAGCGCTTTTTATAAACAAACCAAATACGAAATCGAACCTAAACAAACTGCAATTGATATGGCGACGCGAGAGCTCGTGGTTCCCGACTCAGGTGGCACTTCAGCCCGGCGGTTCCGCCCAGGAGTAGATACATATAAGTGCATATATATTGGGGGGAGATCGGGTGGTCGGTCGGAGGGTCGGGCTTGGGTGCTGCCATTATCGAGTCAATTACCTTACTTGTGGTGGTCTTTATCGAAAGTAAACAACCATTCGAGCCGATATGTATATATAACAACTTACACATGTACATAAGGCTGGGTCTCCCTACGGATTCGTATAAAAAATGTTTGTTTATTCTTTAAGTATAGCCCTCACAGACCACAACCCAACAGTTCTCCCGAGCTGATGCAGCACAAAACCAATTTTCAAGTCCATCGACCCAAATTATTGAGGCAATGTGTTAACATTCGAAGTCATTCAGAGTTATTGGCCCAATGACAGATAAGAATGGGGAATTTTAATTATATGCTCATTGGACTTGAATATAATTAATCAAATTTTAAATGGAATCCTGAAAACATCAATAAATAGCATACCCTTATAGCTTACTTAAAGAACTAAGGAAAAAGATCTTCTTGAAACCACATTTTTTCTTTAGATCTTTAATTATTTTTACTAGCTCGATGTACTCTGGCCATGTCATAAATTTGTTGTAAATTTCTTCTATTGACTTTTGTAAGTATTGCCTGACAGTTTAATAATTCTCTATGAACCCATGGTTGATGTTATCGGCAAGATAAGGCTGAGTTTCGACCGAGAGCTATTGAATTTGTGAAAGTAATATATGAGTAGTCGTACCTTTCCGCTACGACAATAGGCTTGTCAAATTTGTGTCAAATTAATCAGTGTGTTCAGCTATCACAGCTGATAAATATATATAGGTCGCTGCTTGTTGTCACTATCCATAAAGTTGTTGGGATCAAAGCGCACCGATGTTTCGATAAAAGGAAAACACTTTCATCAGGAAATCATATTTGGTTCGGGGCTTAATTAATAATGCTAAATTAATTGCACTATCAAGTTTCTAATCAATATAAACACAATTCAAAGCCAAAACACATTGACAATACCGCAAACTTCTTAATAATTAAGAGAACCACAGGTATTTGTCTGTTGTAAGGATCAAGTTAAAGAGTGTCTCGACCTCATAACACCCAGAGATGAACTTGTAATGAAACTATTGCATACATTCGTACTAGCTCAATATACCCCTTTAATCTCCTAGTCCCAGCTCTAAAACTGGAGGTAGGGAGGACTGGCGAGAGATATGTATAAAGCCACAGACAAACAAGAATTGCAGGTGAGAGTGCCTTGGAGCCAGGTAGAGGCCACCCGCGTGTCATAATTAAAGCGCAATTAGCATAATTTTGAGGCTTATCAATGCATCATAAGTGGCACTTTGAGTATTTACGGCACGACCGCAAAGTGGCCTCGCCTCTGGTCCACAGAGCCTCTCTAAGTAATTTTATGACTTATGAGGCATTTGGTAACGAAGCTCCGGGAAAGCAAATGGTAATGAAAAGTCATAAAAATCAGAATTATAGCAAGCGACGACACTGAGCCTCGACGTCAGTAAGATGCTGCCTCTGTAAATTATGGGCCGTTGGTCCGAGATTCCATTAAGGCGGATGCTGAGGGTTCATGAGCCTCCACAGCATCCTGCTCCATTCCACACCTCCGCTCCGAATGTCGGCAACAAATCAAAGTCTGAGCAAATTTGTGGTAATTGAAATTTTATGTGCCGTTTGCGAAGCTGCTGCCAATGGCTTGTGGACTTTGGTTAATTAGAGATCTGCAGAGAGCCTGAGAAAGCGATGTGAAAACAGGGAAATTTTCTAAATGAAAAGAGATCGAAAACCGCTAGTTTATAATGCTGTTAAAGATTTATTATGAACCGAAAATGTATAATATTTTAATTTGCTTAAAATACCATTTCATGAAAAGTATTCTTAAATTGTATGTATAAATATATCACTTTAAATTAATTAAATGTATTTCCTTTCATTTCCAGTTTCTATTTAATCTAAATTAGTTATTTTTGAAATAGTTAAACTTCTTATAACGACAATTGTTCTTTGATTTGATTGACTATTCTAAATTATTACAAATCACTTTCAAGACATTGTCATTCGATTGTTGGCTTAACCCATGCCCAAGTCTGTCTTTTATAACTTTTGGCTCTTACAAAGTCCACAAACTCGGCCATTAACACCTTCGACCGACAACTCATTAGCTCCATTCGAACTGCCAACTGCAGCTCAGACAACACTTACACATCCGGTTGGCCCCAAAAAGAGTATTGCCTGACCAAGTTGAATTTATTTCAAGCCACTTCCGTGCTCCACCCATAAGTGAACTGAGAACCCAAAATTGGTAGCAACGACAAACTAACGCCGCATAAAATTAACAAGAAGAGGGTGGACAAAAGAATTCAATATTTAATAAAGACTTTTGGTTACTCTATTATTTTCACTATCATTAATCCTTTGAAACGTGAACTAAAGTTGGTATATTTCTTGATGCCTTAATATAAGATTAAACACCAAACTGCTCCCATTTAGTTGTAATATATTTAGTATATTTATTAGAGATGTTTTGTTGTATCAACAGAGTTTTTAAGCTACCTTTTTCAGTTGGCCAACAGTAGCATAGTGTCCCCAAAGTTGCCGCAAATCGTAAAATATAAAGTATGTGTGATTACTTTAATTACTATGCCGCTCACACCTTCTGTGTGCACAGGCCAACGGGCAGACATACACCTACTATGTGACTGCCAACGGGTACTCATCCGCCGTCTCCCTCCGCTACTGTCGTTGCAGGTGTTTGTCCACGCCAAGGTGTTCTTCAGCATCGGCGGCCGCCAGTTCGCCGGGGAGCCCGTGCAGTTCTCGTACATGCCCGACCAGGTGCTGGATCATGCACGCGACGTGACAATCAAATTACATCATCGCCTGGGGCGCTACCTGCAGTTGCATTTGTACTTTGCCGCCCGCTGGATGATGCTCAGCGAGATTACGTTTATATCAGGTAAGCGCCACCCTCGCCCTCGGCTCAACCTCGAGGCCCCTCAGTCCCCCTGATGCTGGTGCTTAAATTGTTTTATTAAAAAATGTAAAGTTCGCACGCAAAAGGGAGCACAGTATGAAAGGGTTAACTGGGTTGCCAGTTGTAAGCCACCCAATCAGGAGGTGCCCTTACAGCATCTAATTAAGGTAAATAGGGCGTAGTCCTGAAAGAAAAGGGACACTGAATGCAACACTTAGAATATAGTATAGTAATTTCCCCAGCTGCTAATGTTATGATTGTTTTACGTAATTATGTTATTATAAGACTTAGATAACCCATCAAGCTGTTTCTATTCTATAACACGTGCTAAGTTTAACCCAATACATACAATATTAACCCATTCAAAGCATTCATCCTGGCTGCAAGGACAACTGCCGGTGGCAAACTCCTCAAACATAAACTGCAACAACTGCAGCTGCAACATGAACAACTTTGAGCAATTGAAAATTCCCACTGACACTAAAATTCGTTGCGCATTTCATTAAAAAAGAGCTTCCAGACCCGAGTCGACCCGCAAAATATATTACCAGCTGAGGGGCGAGTGTGTGGGCTGCATGGACCCATTTGCGCTTAACTCACCCATGAGCACCAGGAGCCAGCAGCTTTGTTTTCCCTGCCGTGTGCAATTGTGCATAGAGTGATACAAAGGGCAGGACAGGGAAGGGCAGCGAATGGAGTTAAGGGTAAGGCATTTGCTGCAACTGCTCGACTGCCACTGCAACGTGGCAGAGGAAACGGAAGTGCTGGCACACACACACACACACACACACTGGCACTCGCTCGCTCGCAGGAGCAGGGGATCCGGGATCTGATCCGGCAGCATATGCTCCAGTGGCAACTCAACTGGGCCGGGCCAAGGCACTGGGATATTGTGAAAATTAAATGAGCTGCATTACTTTTGTGCATTTGAAATTTGCAACTCAATGAGTCGAGTCGATTCGAGTCTCGGGCTCCTGGTTGGAAAGGCTTGAAAGGATCTGGGGGCTGTGCTTTCTTGCTTTTCGTCGCCATCAGCTTCCTTTTTCTCACGTAGAACAATGGAACTACATAGAAACGTTTATACTTTCTATTGATCTCGGTAGATTATTAATTAAAATAATACTTAATATTATTATATAAAAACCTCAGTTTAATTTAAAAATCATTAGATTTATTGGTATCCGTTTATCATACTTGTCAATAAATATTTAACAAAATGATCAATGAATTTTGTGCTACTCCCGTTAAAGATAGAGTATTGCCAATTTGCCCAGCCTCATTTGTGAGTCTCTGCTGTGTTTGTGCCATTTGCCATTGCCGCTGGCTAAGTCTTCCTTACAGATTTGTTTTCCGCTTTCATCTCGTAAAGCCTTCTGTTGCCATTCCGATCTTATAATCGCACTTTTTCCCATCTTGCTTTGAATACAGCAGTATATTTAAGCCCGGCAAGAGCTCTTGTCCTTATAAATCAATAACATTGCAATATATTTCCCCATACCGAGCTGACTGTTTGTGCTCCTGGCTTTCGGATCTCGATGCATCCAGTTCGGTGCTCAGTCGACCGTTCAGTCCCTCATTCACTCGCTGCCTGCATACAAATTCATCTCAATAACTCCGCCACTGCTCTCCTTTAAATCCTTGTGCAATTCGCCCGCTTAATCCTTTCTAATTGAAAATCGCTTTGTGTGCAGTCGTGTGCAAGAGTTTTGTGTGTCACAACGGCAGCAGATGCAGATGCAGATGCAGATGCAGATGCATATGTAGATGTATCTGGGGCCACGGAAGCCACCCTGCTCCCTGCTCCCTCCCTCCGCTGGCCTTGGAAGCATTTGAGTTACCAATTCGATTCGTAATTTGCTTAATGGCAGCAGAAGAAGTGCACTAACATTGAGATCCCGTTGAGTGGCAAATGTATGGCTCGGATTAAAGCCAAGGGCACGCTCCTCGGGGAATCGAGGCCACGTCATTAGCGACAGACACTCTGCCGAGTACATGCTATATGTAATTTGCCAAGACCTACCATTAACATTTTCTTGGTGGCACATTAACATATTCACGCCCCGGTTCCCCCAACATATGACGCTGCCGGAACGCTGCAGCTATCTGGCCAGGACGAGCGGACAAGGCGTTGCCCCGCCGCTATTTGCATAGCAAATTCAAACACACAAAAGTAAACGAAAAACAAAACTTTGTTGCCAAAGAAAATAGACAGAGGACCCAGAAAAAAAAACAGCAAGCGCAAAATCAATGCCAAGAGCTGTAAAAATTTGCATTTCCCTCAAGAGTTTTTAAACGCTTTTTTTTCGACTTTTCCCAAATTTATACAAAATTGTCCGTTTTTGTTTTTAAATATCCAACGAGGAGGGTTCAACAAACGCTCGAGGCGGAAGTGCAGTCGGTCAAGGAGGGGGCGTCCAGGGAAAAGGATATAAAATGGATAAAAAAAAAAGGAGCGTAGTCAACAGTCCGATGGGTAAACATTTCTGGATATCGCTCCGGTTGCTGTTGTTGTTTCTGTCGCCTTTCGTTATTGACGACTGTCTGGGCATTGGATGGGTTTACGTTTTATGTTTTCTGTTTTTGTCTGCGTCGGGAGCGAAATGTCAACACCGACGGCGGAAGGGGGCAAACACAATTGCCGGCATTCGCTCCAACGCCTTTAAGTAAAGTTGCACCCGAAAGTGTGCAGCACTAATTGGCACTCGGCGGGCTGCCCGCTCCAGAGTTTCCTCATTTTCCTGGACTTTTTCTTCCCTATCTGCGGCCCCATTGTCACTCACCGTCTGGGCGGTGATATGACACGGCGAGCTCGGCCATTCATCATCATAATAATCCCTCTCCTCTCCTCTCCTCCGCTCCGCTGCTCCGGCTGCACAGCTGCCAGCTCCCCCTAATTGCTCGCAGGAGCCATTAGCCGGAGCAGTTTATCAAGGCGGGCAGCTGTCACCCAGCAGTCCTGCCCCCGCCTTGGGGGGACGTCCCACTCACCTTGCAAGTACACATAAGAGCGGAAAAGGATTACCAATATCGGGCATTAATTAGTCATTTCTGAATGGATGGAAAGTCAAGCAGTGATTGTGGGAGGTTTTATTCAAGAGAAGTGGGCTGCCCAGGATATATTCTAAATATTCTAAATATTAGATACATTAAATTTATATTATAAGCGAGGATTTATGTATCTTAAACATAAAATATGTTTAAAATTAAATAAATATATTTAGCATTACATCAAATATTATTATAATTAGACAAGATATTTGGTATATGATGAAACACCAATTGCATACTTTTAGATGCTTTAATATAATCACATCTTGCGGGTGAATATCGTAAAATTTCCACAGCAAACAAGGATTCCAATTATGAAATTAATATTAAAATAATATTAAATAAACCCTGATTGTGGAAATGAAACACTACTTTTCACTTGCTACTCAATCTAAACAGTATTTCCATCCCTTAAAGTCAACCGAAAATCGCGAGTGCACTTTTCCCACCAACACCTGTTCTGCTCTTTCTATCTTCCAGTGCCTGTGCTTGGCAACTTCACGGACGAGGAGGTGCTAGGTGCTCCGCCTCAAAACGGCGCCAGACAGCCGGACACCTCGGAGTATCCGCTGCAGCGAGATGAAGTCGGACGAGCGGTGAGCAGCGGAGGCGAACGGAGCCAGCACACCACACAAGGTGAGTGGATCGATCTCTGCCATAGGGACAAACAATAAATAAGCTGGTTTTAAAATTTAATCCTGTGCTAGTTTACATCTTAATACAAACCATAGTTTATTTTGATAAGAATACCCTGAAAATTATATTTTAAATTAATGTAAATTATTATATATTTTTATGGCTTTTCTTGTTTCATTTTAATGATAAAGTAATGATATAGTTTTCAAAACCTTAAATATTCAACAAGTCCAGAATTAATTAAAGTTTCTACTGAGTCATATCCACCACAAACTACATGTGGGAGTCAGCAAGCAGAAGCGAAACCTCCTGTAGCTTCCGTGCAAAAACGCAGCTTGATTAGCTCCTCCGGGGAGTAATCATTCGCGTTTGGGATCCGTAAACAAAGGTTTCGCTGTGGCAATTGAAAAATCAGACAATAAACCATAGCCACAGTACAGACGCCCCACAGAAATAGCTATTTACATAAAGCATTTTTAGCTTGCTGCAAGTGCTTTATAAGGGGAAAAGAAAAACAAATATCCGGACTTTTCATTACTCTAGCTCTTCCTTTTCTCTCCTCTTTCTCCCATAGTTATCTCGCCGAGGCCCATCGACCATCAGGAACCGGAAACGGGCTTCGTGGGCGTCATAATCACGGTGCTGGCCACAATTATAATGCTGCTGGTCGCCATTATACTGCTGATAGTAGCCCGTAACAAGCGCGCCCGGGGCCGGGGCAACGTTTTGGACGCGTTTCAGCACAATTTCAATCCGGACACGCTCGGCGGCGTTGATAAGCGACTCAACGGCAACGGTGTCCTGAAGGTAAGCGCTCTCCTGCTCCCTGCTCCCAGAAACGACCCGACCCCGACCCGAGGGTCTGTTAATGCATTCCGCCTAACCCACCGGGTAACGAAACATGCAAAGTGCATAACAGTGCCCGCCGGCATCCTCTGGCGGGGTCAGATCCACCCTTCAACCACCCAGAATGCATGTCAAACAGCATCGGGGCCAGCTACAGCTGGAGCAAAAAAAGAGATTGGGCTGAAAGTAACCAGCCCACAGAAGCTCTAACGCAGGGCATATTCCAGAAATCATGATTAAAAACTGTAGAGCCGGACTGTAGTGCGGAATGCAAAAAACACCAAAAGACACCAGCTACCCAGACTTTTTTCACTATATGCTGTCACTTTTTTCCCCAGGTGGTCACAACAATGGATGACAATGAGTCGTCCATTGACAAGAACAGTCTGTACCATGAGCCCTTCAACGTGAACATGTACACCAGTGCGGCCAGTGCCTGTTCCATGAATGACCTGCAGCGTCAGCATGTATCGCCGGAATATACAGGTGAGTCTAGCGAGGCACAGTGGCCCAAGGGCAGTAAAGTAGCTAATGAAATTTAACCTGGAAATGAATGACTGATAATGTAAAAATCAAACATTGTAGCCAAAGAAAGGAAAATTAATTAAGCTTTGAAATCCTATTAAAGAAATTCTAAAACTCTAGCAAGATTTTTGTAACACCCCCATATTCCAATGTATAAAATTGAACACTCTGATACCACTGTGCTGTGTACGAGTGCCCCAGTGTACTGAACCCGGAGATGACGCTGGCATGGAGTAGAGATGCACCTATGACAATGATGTGTGGGCCTTTGCCATCAGCCATAAAACTGCGCTTGCAGCTCGACACTTGACTACTCCCCGCTCGGCCCCCTTGCCCAGCTGCTGGTGTCGCTCTTGATGAGTTTGATGTTTTGCGTCCTGCCAGTGACAGGACATGCAAATGCTCCTGCAGGCACAGCGGCAGCGGGGCCAGCTACGAACCCAGAGAGCAATGCTTAATTTAGCGCACAACATGGATCCGTAGCCTAGGTGGTGCGGCGTTTACAGGGAGCAAGGGCTTCAGGACCGAAAAAACTGGACAGGGATAAAAAAAAAACGGGTCGGAAGAGCGCGATGCTAGCACCGCAGGACATAATTTTGAATTGCTGAGTCAGGCGGTTTTCGGAATATCTGACGTGACTATAGGTTGGGTTTACTTCGAATGGAGATAAGAGCAGATCCTTCGGGATGTGGGCTTTACCAGAAGCTGATGTTAGTTTAAGGACCTGTTTGACTGTTTGACATTATATTTCACTTTTTAATATCCATCTAGTTATTAAATTGTTGTAGGTTTTTACATTGTTTTTTATGACAAAAACATACAATGCAATAAAACTTCTTTAAGATTTTTTAACTTAAATTAACAAAATCTTTGTTCAATTTTAAAAACTATAATAATTCTATACGAATATGGTTTCCTTGTGACTTCAGTGATTACATAGCCCGGATTGCCGCCCGGTGCCAAGAGTATTAACAGTTCATCTACCATGTAGACTCTTTTTTTCGGACACACTTTTTTGTGTGCTCGGTTTTAATTGCCACACAGACATAGAACTGCAGTTAGGAGTTACGACCGCCGCTCCGTAAATTGTAATGAATTCTAATACTCCTGCGTGTCCGCAGAGGAGGGGCCCAAGGCATGTTACAAATTTTTTGGTCTGCGGACTTCGGCCCTTGTGAGGGCTGAGATGACTTGCAGCACATAAAATGGCCCTGTATGCAGTCCCCATTGTTCCGAGGACATTCCCGTTAGATCCCTGGCATCCCCCTCGTCATCTGGGCCATGTATCCACATGCCAGCCGGAGTCTTCGTCTGCGGCACAGCTCATAAGCGTTTATGGCACGCCTTTCATGCGCTTGAGTCATTTGCCAAAAAGTTTTCTGATGTTGCCTCTGGGTGCATTTTATAACTGGGCAGCAAATATTTGTCATAGTGGCCGCTCCGCTCTGCCCTGCTCTGTCGAAGGGTCTGGGACTGTGACTCTGTCTGCCTGGTTACTACAATAATTTAATTTGGCTCAAATAAGTTATGTTGTTGGCTGCCGGCTCAGCTCGGGTCGTCACAGTCTCGCGCGCATCGCACGCGCCAAATTGAGTGCTTCAAACTTCTTGTCGACGGCAAAACTTTCCCAACGGGCACAGCTCAAATCGACTAGACTTACTCAAATTAAAGTCTATTTTTGAAGTCAACTGCCAATTTGCACTGCCTAGGATAGCACACGAGAGGCAAGGGCTGGGAAAAGAAAGCCACGACTTAATAACATTGCATGCAAATAAACATGGCAATGAGAGCGAGCGTGAGGCCAGGCCCAAAAGTCGTTTAAAAGCAGGTCGCCCATAGTCACAGTCATCCATATACCCAGTTTATGCGCACAACTCCATGAATTCTTAAAGACGTAATGTCAAAATGCAGTCAAGTTGCTGCGACACAGAAGAATGTCAGAAAAGAAAATTGTCATTTTCTGGCATTTCATTATATAAATGTATAAAGTGGGCATCGCATAAACGCCGTGTCAGCCCAAATCCAATTTATGGATGGGTTGCAATGGCTTCATTTGTGCTGCATTGGAGAAGCAACTATGCTTAAGCAGAATGAACTGTTGGAACCACCTGGCTATAACTTGAGAAGGAGTGCAGGATACTCTAGGATACAGCCGCTCTTTGAGTTTCCGTTTGCTTTCCTAGAAAATTGTTTGTGTTTTCTGTTTTGATTATTGGATTATCGACTTGGGCTTTTACTGTTATTAAAGAATACAAGATTATCGAACTCTATCGCTGTGAAATTCCTTAAAAATATAATCAAAAATATTTTTCAAAAAATTTTTAATTACAAAAATCTCGAGAGCTGCTAACAAACACTTTAAATATAATAATAATAATAATAATAACTGCAATTAAAAGAAATTAAATTTTTTAAATATTTTGATTTCTTTGAAAATATGTAAAAACATATTTTTGAGCTCAAAAACCTTTATTCAAAACCCCACATTCATAGAGAAAATCACATAGAACCCATGGAGTACTGTGAAAATTTCTGTAAATTCCTACAAATTGAAAATGTAAGGCCGCAAAACTTCAGTGCAACTTCAAAACTGAGGGCACTGATTGCTCAACTACACGACATTCCTATAGACCGAAAGCATACACACACACACACCGCCTCGCAGGGACACACACCACTGCACATCCAGAGGAAACTTGCATACGAATTTCGCTCGTTGGTCGAAAAGTTTTGTCATTAACGTTCGCCGAGTGTCTGGCTCCGACTCTTACATTATGTCTTTCTAGTACTTTTTGGACGGAACGAATGCAAAAATGACAGCCAAGCCAAAACGAAAGCAGACTGACAATGGCAACGGAACACACACTGGCACACAAACTAAATAATATTATTACAACAATAAAATTAAAAGTTCCCCGTCGCTGGGGCTCTTACTTGCGAGGGAGACGGCAAGTTGCAATTAATTTCATTTAGTTTTTTGCCACACGCCATTTTTCCCGCCCCAAGGCTCGAGCTCTCATCTCCTCGAACGCTCTGCCACGTCGCTCCTTCTCTTTTGACTAAATGGGAAAAGTTTAAAGTTTAAGGCAGAAAAGTCCTGGACAAGACAAATGAAAACCAGGGGAAGCCCAGGCGAGATAAATGCTTCGCCAGCAAAAGTGGCGAGTGCAGAGATCCCCGAAATGTAGTAGCAGAGGAATACCAACGCATATTGCAATTGATTGTGGTGCATCTGTACCCTGGGCATGTGTGCGGAGGAAGTGGAACGAGTCCTGCCGCCGGGGATATCCTGATTTCAAGGACCACTTAGTTTTGATATACTTCTTGACGGTGGCTGCTGGACTTTAAAGAAAAGCTATTATTCTAAACAAAAACTATTTATTTGAGAGTTAGCAATTTAATCTCAATTCAATAACATCTTATTGCAACTTGTTGGAATTTCGTGGCTGTTAAAAAATTAACATAATTGTTTTGGGATATACATTTTGTTAGTAATCTTTGCCTAAAGGTATTTAGTGATTTGAACATTTCATTTCTAGAATACTTAACCCTTGGGATCTTTCTGGTTATAAATAAATACTTTACAGGCGAAATAAAGCTTATATATATACATAGGTAGTGTGATATATATCGACCGCTCAGACCCCAAAGGATTATTATTCGTATTTTATGCCAGCTTGAGGAAAAGTTCAAAATGTTTCTTAAATTTTCACAATGCAATTTGTATAGCTCGGTGGCTGGGAGGAACTTTTAGTCTGGTGCTTAAAAAAGTTTTATTGTTTAGTGCGGTTAAGTTTGCACTGGCTGTTGGCATTCCTTCCATTTTTACGGTCTAAAATTAACACTCTCTCACTACTCCCCCCTCGTCTCCTTGCAGATGTGCCGGACATTGTGTGCCAGGACTATGCGGTGCCTCACATGCAGCAGCTACTGCCCAATCCTCCTGCCACTGGGGCCGGGTGTGGCCTAGGATTGGGAGCTGGCACTGGGGGGGTAATGGCGCCGCCGGGTGCCGAGGTTGTTATTGCCGCTGGCAACGTAACCACCAGCGCACGCAATTCCCTCAATGCTGCCACACTGCCGCTGCCCCCGCCGCCCGTTCCACCGCCGCCGGAGAAATATTACGCAGCCACACCAATTTGCAGCAAGTCCGTGCCGCCACCGGGCTCCCAAAGCAGCGGATCCCTCAGTCTCAGTGTATCGACCACGGCGGCGACCACGCCCACACCTACTGGCGGGGGTGGAGGAGGCCTCGGCAGTGGGGGAAAACCGCATCATTACAATTTGGATATGAGCGCTAATTTCGCCGACATTAACGAAGAGCAGGCCAATTGCCAAGTGCAGGAGTTTCCGCGTCAGTCGCTGGTCATCGTCGAGAAGCTGGGCTCCGGCGTATTCGGCGAGCTGCATTTGTGCGAAACGAATGTGCTGAAGTGAGTACAGAACCCAGCAAACAGACCACACTCCACACACCACTTCTCATTGCCCCCAATCCTTTCCATCCGCGAATTGCAAGAATCCTAAAATGGTTGAAAAAATAGTTAGCCCGTAAAATCCAACTCCTGTGTAGCAGAGATATTTACAAGCTGCTCTGCAGGATCATATACACAGAGTGTAGCAGAAATTTACTTTAATACTGCTTTTTAAATTATTTGTTTATTTTATTTTTATTGTTGTTTATTTAATATTGGGCTGTCATTGAAACTAACTTAAATATTAAACCCCAATTAAAATTCATAGTTATATTATTAAAATAAATACAACCCCATAATGTTCTAGGAAACCAAGTTAGAACCATTCGACATGAATTGTTAGATTAATACCACTTGATTTCTAAGAAAAGAATCAATAATAGCGACATTAATTGTGTCTGAACCTTTGAGGTTAATGTATTTTCTTTGAATCCCATTACTTTTATGTGGGCCTTCTCCATGCCTTTATCAATTAAAACATATGCCCATGACAATAGCTCCAGTCCAGTCTTTGCACACCGACGCGTCGGTTTCCAAGCGCAAAAATCAATTAGACTCAAGCTTCGAACAATGTCGTCATGGCAGGCCAATATTCTGCTCCTGGCACATTTTAATATGCAACGTAACAATTCGATTTGCCTGCTTGCTTTAATAGTTTTGCGGTTCGAAAGCCGCAAAACGTATTACGTATACGTAATATTGCCCATGCAGGCACTCGGGCAGCAGCCAAAGTCTGCCCGAGGAGGTGGCAGTGTGGCAGGGCGTAGGAGTGCCATGGAGGGAATTCTCTGCAGCGGCAGCAAAAACCAGCAGGGAAACCTCCGAGGCCCAGGCAGATGTATGCAAAATAATTAACACACACACACACAGAGAGACAGAGTGCGGCCTGCATATAGAGAGTGAGGCGAACTTCAATATGGAATAGGGAATTTTGTGGCAGGCAACTTGGAGTGCCCGATTCCGCCTCCCAGGGCCTGGCAGTCTGATAAAATATTAATAGACAGGCGGATAGACAGTTATCAGACAACAGATGGACTTTATTGTCGGCCACCGTAGATGGAAATGATAATAGACGTGGCAGAGTTGAAAATCAAAGCCATTTTACGCACCGGACGAAGGGAAAATGAAAACATTTCCCCGAGGCACTCAGCCATATGGTCACAGTGGGTACCACCTAACAGCGACGAGTTAAGACAAGGTCCTGGAATATCTATATGAAAAATCTATTGGAGCTTGCGATGAACTAGGATCTTCAACTTTGCCTATAATTTTTGAGGATATATGTTTATGGCATCATCTAGTAACTCTACAAAAAAGGGTTTAGACCTTTTGTTATGCTTAGAACTATGATCCAGTCTTTGGTATAACTTTTGGGAATACTCCCAGAGACCCGGATTACTTTTTCAATATTAAAACCTATCAAAACCTTATTTAAAAAATATTTTTCATATTGTTCAAACGACAGGATAACGGCCCCAAATGTCAGACACACAGAGACAAATGACGGACAAAGGCAAGGGAAGGAGCTAAACTGAAGCAAATGCGGACAAAAGTAAATCAATCAATCCTGAAATTAACTAATTGCGTAAAACAATATTTATGAATAATTAATGAGCTCATAATGCGAACGGGGAAGAGGCAGGGCGAGAGCTTAGTGGTTTGGTTATCTTTTAAGCATTAGAGAGCGCCCAGCCAATAATCCCTCCCCATTAGGGGGTATCCCCACCTCTGTGTTTGCGGTTGAAAGCTTTGAAACTATGAATACTAGCTGACAAGTTTATGTAAAATTCAATGAATATGTAATTACCCCACAGACACCCACACGCGCACAAACTGACACATCGGTGAATGGTCTTTTTACTTTGCTGAACATTTGCATAAATCTCAAACACAACACACACACACGGGCACATTCATATTCTAGGTATCCTAACGACCTGCAGGCACATTAATTTATAGCAAAAATTCACGTAAATTACCTCGTGGCGATACTATCCGCACCCACTCCCCCTTCAGCCCGCATCCATATGAAGGGCATTCCCGCAGATAAGTCGATTCGCTCTCAAGCGTATGCTCCCCAGTATATATATTTTTTTCAGCGAAAAAATTGGTGGAGGGAGGTGAGGCGAAGCGGCATTTACATTTAAAAAATTCAACGGCAAGCGTGAAAATTATTCATAAATGTACCACCGAAAAAAGGAAAATATCCTGAAGTAAAATAGTTCACAAAATCCACTGACCGGAAAGGGCGGCGTGGGGAATACGCACCTATTTTCGTTGTTGCCGACTTGTCGTGGGATAAGAGGAAAAAAAAAAAAAAGAAACGACACGCGTGCGTAAAATATTTTGCACATTTTTAACTGAATATCAATTTATGTTATTTTCTGTTCACGATTTTTTCACAACGTTTATTTTGCAGTGCCCGGAGTGCGCCAACTGCCAAAAAATATTTTGTATGCCTTTCCATTTTCCATTGTTGCTTTTTGTTTGCCAACTGTTCTGGGAATCTGTATTAAATTTTTCTTCATATACAAAACTTTTAAAGCGCTTTTTATGTATTGACGGTCAGCACACGTTCGGGCTGTGTTATTTTTTATACTTATTTATCAGCTTTTCTTTAAAAATTAGTTTAGCAATACTTGTAACTAAATTTTATCGAAGGCCTCTGCAAAGTAGTGACACTTTTTCATTGATTTTAATTATTTTTATTAAAACCTATTAATCATTTCCAACCCTATGTCCCTCTTAATGCAACTCTCATCAAGAATTTTGCAATTAAACGGCACCAAGCGAAATCAAAGGTAACAGACTCGGGGAAACAAAAACTCATCTCACGTTCGGAGTACTTTGGTTGCTGTCCTTAACTGTTGGCTATGACGATGATGCTAGATTGTCCTTTTCCCATTTTTTCTCTTTGACTATGGTTTAAACTTGTTGTAATGGAATTTCTGATACGTTTTTTTTTTTCGAATAGCTTTTGTTGCTACTGTTTTTGCAGTTTGGTCGTCACCGCAGTTGAGGAAGTATTTGTAGATAACAACCGGAATGGAGTAGTACAGGGAGGTGCTCAGCCTGGTTTCATCATGTTTATACCATTTGATTTGTCAGTCGAGGCTCTTTATGAGTTAATCCGACACAGCTTTTTAGAGACTTTAATTCTCCATGAGAACAGATATCGTTCCAAGGATCAAATCATTTTAGCTTCATTAACTGGGCTTACATTAGATTTAGCAAAGACTCTACAGAAGCTTTAAGACAGCAAAGGGAAAGCTATTGGTATTAATTATTAATAATTATTTTATATTTTTTATATATTTAAAATTTAAAAATCGTTTTCCTAAGATCTATCGCAGTTATTAGCAAAATTACTTGGTAATTGCAGCCTTTCAATGAGTCTCCTATGCAAATCCTCCTCCATTTGCAGTCTGATCTTATACACTACTCACTGATACCACTCTCCTCTCCTCCCCAGTGCCACCCTCGTGGCGGTGGCCACCCTGCGTCCTGGGGCCGTTGATCACCTGCGCAAGGAGTTCCGCAGCAAGGCCAAGCAGCTGGCGCGGCTCAGTGATCCGAACGTGGCCCGCCTGGTTGGAGCCTGTCTGCGGGACGAGCCCATCTGCATCGTGCAGGACTATTCGAACTGCCTCGGCGACTTGAATCAGTTTCTGCAGGAGCACGTGGCCGAGACCAGCGGTTTGATGGCCAACAAGAGCCTGAGGTAAGGTTTTGCGGTTGGCTCAGCACCCCCAGTGTACTTACTTTTTAACTAATGCGTTGTCTCTCCCCCGCATTTTATGCCACCTTTTTTTTTTTTGCTCGTCCTGCTGCGTTTTTGCGTGCGTTTTATCGGACTTCCTGTACTGACGCCATTTGCCGACGCTACACTTCCGTTCTCGTGCTCAATGATTACGCCGATCCGCCGACGAACAACGAACAACGGACGACCGACCAACCACCACCAACATGCGCAAACGGATGTTAAAACTTCGTTAACTTGGCTACCCAACCTCCGTCGAATGGGAAAACTTTTCAAATTCTCATTTCATGTCGGCATCTTCCGCACCCGCATCCGCTGCGCAACCCCGATTGCGACTCCTTCGACGGCGACGGACACAGCTACGGCTGCTTAGTCTACATTGCCACACAAATTGCATCGGGCATGAAGCATTTGGAGCAAATGAATTTCGTTCATCGGGATCTGGCAACAAGGTAAGTGCTTGAGATAAGAGTTTCATCTCGTGAGGGTTGCAGGTGATTTTCCCGGTTTGGTTATTCGTTCAATTTTAAAGATTTTTCTCAGAGTTGGTAGAGGAAAAATTTAAGCAATTTTTGAGGTAATTTCATTTTATTTATTTAATTTATAAAATTCTAATAATATAACAATGAAGTTACAGTTTCCCATTAAATTAGTTAGCATTCTGTAATTAGTACTTTGATGTTTTGTACTAATGTTTGACTGAATTAAACGGAATTTAAGCTTAAGTTAGGCCAAAGTTGAATTGATGTTTCATCTAGCATTTCACAAAATTAATTCAATTTTAGACAACAAATACACATTTCTATGGAGCACACATTATTATATTTTCCTCGTTACCTATTTGTATAGCTAGTTAGGGGGGCTATAAATAAATTGGTAATTCAATATATGGCGCCCTGTACCCACACTGTCTGCGTATTTTCGCATAGAATGTAATCAATTAAAATTAATTTGCTAATGAAAATGTCAACAAGAAGCGAGAGGACCAACAATGGCTCCTGACGACGTCGTCATCGCTGCTGCTTCTGCTGCTGCTGCTGGTGCCATTTATGAGCGAGTCTCTCCTTTTCCAGGTTTGACAGACATTGTTGTTATAGGAACCCTGTGCTCCATCTATCCACCCCATCCTGCTCGGTATCTTTATCGTCATAACAAATCAATAGACGTGTATGGCATGTTACTTGGCAGGTTACGCTCGCTTCAGGCCACCTGCCTCAGCGCAAGTTCTGGGAAAATGTCTTTTTGAAATCCAATAAGAAAATTGTGCTATTTTTGGCCACGCAATCGTCAACCTTACCTGTTCGGCCCCCAGCCCCCAGCCCGCGCCAGCCCTTGATTGCACAACAATGCAATAAGAAACGAATTCTGGAAGGGTAAGGCAATATGCCATTTGACAGCAATTGGTAATGGCGGCGGCCCACGTGACTTATGAGCCATTCTCGTTCAGTTTTGGTTCCCTGAAATTTGTTTCTTAGCCCATATGCATCGCCTGCCATAAATTTGCCTTTGCGGTTTTGTGCACAATAAGCCAACCAATATTGCGCAATCGATTTTTTTTCTCTCGTTTTTTGGGGACCACTGGAATATTTAGGGTTTTGAATGACAAATGGGACAATAACATTGCTGGTAAGATTTCTGTGCCATTCGATTATAGACAAATTTTTTATTGATAACGTTTACCTGGTCTCTTTAAATAAATTATTTAATTATTAAGAGATTGATATCAAATGTAATTATAATTACGTATACGTAATCCATACGTATACGTAATGAATCGAGAAAGAATACAACTATTAAGCGAGTTTACAGCTAACGTAGGCCACAAGTATGGCCCGAACAGATAAAGGAAAGCAGGGAATACCGCACTCAGTTAGTTTCACAGACACACACTCGTGTGTTAGTTCAAATTTGGTGAAAATTCTAGTTACTTTTGTCCACACACCCAAAGGCCCGATAGCGGAAATGAGTTTATTGCTGCTGTAAATATTGTAAAATGTTTTTCTGCTCGTCCTTCCGTTCCCTCAAAATGTCGAGTGTCGGCAAGAAATGCGAAAATCCTTTTAGATCCTGTGGTTTGTTGTGGTACTCTTGGTCGGTATGTAGACAGAAAATGTCTGGAAGCCTCATTGATTCTAGCATTTTTTGACAGATTTCTGCTGAGATTGCAATTGTAAAAGATATTTGGCTTAAGACACAATTGAGTCGGGGTGAATGCGTCTGGAATATACTGACCGCATCCGTCTGTCGACGTTGGTTTTTCGTGTGGACTTTGCCTGTCTTGCCTTTTATGAAAAGTTTGGTTTACCGACTTGAATTAAGTGGAAGTAAGACAGAAATGTTAAATATTTAATATAAATTTACATGCCCCTTGGTAGGCTAATATAGGTAATGATGTGTATCGTAAAATTAAGTAAACCAATGAAATGCTTAGTTACTATATTTACGAAATTCATTTTATCTTAATTGCAATGCTCTATATCCCTTTACTCTTCGAATATTGGGTATTAAACGAGGACCGTTGCTGTCTGTGCTGTTAGAAAATGCTTCCTTAGCACAAAAAGCAGAAGACGGCAAGTGTTCAACTAATTTGAAATTAAATTCAACGATGGCCACGACGTTCAAATGCCCCGCATCGCACTTTCCGCCTTCACATTACAGCTCCTCCGTCGCCGTAATGTCCTGCTCGCCTCCCAAGGACTATCACGGACAATTTTTCAGCATTTAAACACTCAAGTGCCAAGCTAATAAACGATATTAGTGCCAACAAATATTGCGAGTGTACGTGTGGGAGCGTGTGTGAGTGGCCATAGAGGGTGTCCTGGCAATCGTCTACTATTGTTGCCACTGCTGCCGCTTGTGCAAACGTTTTCCAAGCAGTTACCAAATAAAAATGATTAGGAACGTGACTAAGAGTGCGAAAAATGTTATTTTCTTAACTGATGCGAGCTCTGGGGGCCAGCGGATGCAGCTGCGGAAGTATGAGGAGTGTGTGTGCTGGTATCCCAGCTTGCTGCATTCTTGGAGAAAGAGGGATTAAACCCATCGATCATTTCACGGATTATAAAGAGAATAGGAAATCAAATGAAATTATAAGACCACAGGGTTTGTCGAAATAAATTATGCGGAAAGAGACTTAAATATAAGAAATCAGTTGCTGAATTAATAGTTTATAGGGGTTCTTAAAGCACTATCACCGTTTTTTTTTAATATCCTATGAAATTGTATACGAAATACCCCATGCCAGTCGCTTTCTGATAAAAGTTTGGTTTGGTTTGGTGGCAAAGAAAAAATCAGCAACGAGATTGTAGAGTTGACCAATTCCACAGTTTTTAAATATAAAATAAATACACAGGTTTAAAGGTGTATAATTGCAAAAGACAGGGAGTTATGAACCCGCCCTCGTAATACAGGAGCTCTTTGTATTTGCACAGTGTAAACTTTTCAAGGAAAGTGGGAGAAAAACAGGAAGAAAACGTCATACTTATTTCTCCAAGACAAACCACGTTTATACGATGCCATTTTCATGTAAATATGAGCGAAAGTTAAGAGAATAATTTCAAGGATTCAGAGAAATTTAAATAAATGAAAATTTGCTACTTTTAAAATAGCAGCAGTTTAGGATACTTTATTCCCTTTATTACGATTTCATATGTTTCATAAGCTCTTCTTCAGAAATACATAAAATGCATTCTCTAAATATACTAACAAAAGGCTGTAAGTAGACGAAACTATTTTACAAACCGATGCTGAAAATGCATTATACTTTTCGGCGCAGGAATGCCCTGCTCAGCAGCACATCCATTCTTGTTTGACTTCCATATCCTGTGGCTTTCAACTTCCCTTGCATGGAATTCTTCGGTCCTTCGGTCGTTCGCTCTGTCGCCTTGTCGGCAGGAAATGTTGATAAAACTGCTACCAGCTGCGTTGAAGGCAGCGACGAGAACCACAGCGATGCATGTAAATCATTTATGGTTTGTACAGCAAAAGGGGACACCCTTTTCCCTCTTGGCCTACAATAACACAAGAACGCCCTCTCCACATTCAGGTTAAAGAATGGCGATGATTATTAAAGTTATCTTTGCAATGTTTTAATGCAAAGTTGCTTAAATTTCGGAGCAAATATAAAAACAAAATTTAAGTATCGACATAAGCCTTGCCTTAATCTTAGTGTCGATTTTCTATTGCTTGTGGTATTCAGCTTATCACATTGTTGATAATTTCCACGTTGAAGGACATGTTGACAGTCGGTGAGACAGTGACAGCTGTTCTAAAAACTGCCAGGCGGCCTGAAGGTCTGAGGCAATGCCGATAAAGTTGGAAGCAGGAAAATGCTGCACAGTCCTCGCACCATAATATCCAACAAAAGCAGCTGGAGCAACAGAGTCAGCTGCATGTCAAAGGGTTTATAATATCAAAACAGGACAGTGAAGAGTTGAGCGTCAACAAAGTGTGCGGCAGGTGTGCCCCTCGCACACACCCTCTGTGTGTGTGTCTGCGTCTGCCCCCAGTGTGTGGACATCAAACTTTTCCAGCTGACCGAGGGCGGGGGTATGGCCTGCGACTGTTTTGCTACTGATAAGCCACAGCCCGAAGCCGCATCGCAGACAGCATCTTTAAGGCTGTCAGCTAATCACAATTTTATTTAATACAGACTCTAGTAGAGGGCCACCTCCTTGGGTGAGGTGAGCTCAGCACAGCTCAAGTGACGTTTTACTTGGCTGGTTCGGCTGCAAAGACCTCCTCCGCCTGCTTTCGCTTTTCTGCTTTCCTAATTACCCCACTCGAAACCAGAAATGGCTCAGAACGCAGCTATGCAACAAATTGCAGACACGCAAACAGAGCCCGGACAGCTCTGTGACCCCAGGGGAGAATGGCCGAGGGGCCTCCGAAATGGGAGCAGGAGTTGTACAAAAAACAGTCAGCACGAAAGCTGAATACCCTAATCGGGGCAAAAGTCTTAAGGAATACAGAACGAACATATAAGAGATTACTAAGGCAGTGAATGAATATATATATTATTTTCCTAGCATTCCGCATTTTCTGTTAGTAGATATATCCCTTTATGGCCAGAGTAAAAGCGAGAAAATATATATTCAGCCTTGGCGTTTCAGGAGTGCGTGCATTTGCCTGTTGTGTGTGCGTTGGCGTCCTCTTCTGGAACCACCATTGCATGTAAAAAATCCTTGACCATATTTGCCTTGGCTTTACAGGCGGTCATATTTGTTTTAGACTTTTCCGCTTTTCTTTGCTTTCTTTTGTGTGCCGTGACTAAACAGAAAGCGACTACATAACAATGCAACTCTGAAAGACCTTCAAGCCAAGTCTACTTGCAAACCTTTAACGGAGAGTGAAAATAACTCTTTGAAAGTATAACTTCTGCTTTGAAAATATAAAGAAAATATAATAATAAAAGCCCCATAATTGTAATCACAAGTTGCTAGACTTTTTATTTTCAGAAGAGATAAACATTTTAAAAACACATATACAAAATAAATATTCCCAAATATATTTCACCATATCAACTTAATACAATCTTATACAATGGGATATTGTGGAAGGGAGGCCACGCCGCACATGTTGCCAGCGTTACGCGCCAACCGGAAGTAGCCACTCTCGCCCCAGGATTTGCCATAGGAGTTCTTTATCAGCCAGTAATCGCCCCAGGTCGGATCCGTGTCGAAACCCACCACGAGGACGGAGTGCGTAAGGTCAATCTTGTCCGATGGACAGTCCGGAATCCTCAAGACTCCACCGCCATACTCCTCAAAGTCCTGGTGCAGGCTGTGAATGGATACAGCCACGGGTCCAACATTGTACACCACCTCGGCCAGCTCCCTTTCGCATCGTTTATTAAGAGTGACGTGACCCCTCAAGAAACCTCCATTGTATGCGAGATCTTGTCGACACCTTTCTGCCTTCGGTTCGTACGGATAGGAGGACAGCGTTGCTATCCCGTGGGTCCTAGTGTAGTTAAAGGCCACGCTCACCCATCCGCCCCGGCAGCCTTCGTTGGGCTTGGGCACACAGTCCATCAGGTGCTTGGGGGACAGTGGCACCAGCCGACGGGTCCTCCTGGCCAGGTGCGCCTCCAGAACTCCTGTTGTGGAAAAGGCCCAGCAACTCAGGCACTCGTGTCCCTGAGTTCCCACGGGCGAAATGATGCCGAACTTGCGCCAGTCCCTCCCACCCCTAATCTGGTTGTAGGTCTTGTAGTTCGGAGGTTTCACGACTCCTATTGTCGATCTCTCTAGGGGCGGGGGAACCATTCTCCGGTACGAGAAGAGCAGATTATGATCAGAGTCGGAGAACTCGTTCAGTCTCATCCAGTAGCTCACCTTGCCCTGCAGATAGAGCCTGTTGTGAGCGCGGATAGCTCGTAGCTTTGTGTTGTATATCTTTCGGTGACAGTTATCCTCTTCTGTGTTATACCGCTTTTTGTATTTGATCTTAAACTGGGTCCACCCATCATCGTTGCTCGTACTCATTCCGAGCTCCAAGAACATCAGCAGAGGCAATAAGTAAAGAATCAGCAGTCGAACCGAACCCATTGCAAACCGAAGACGCTGAACGTAGTCTGGCAACTAAAAGCTCCTCCAGCTTCAGAACCGATGCAGTGCTTGCGCCTTGCGACCATGTACTATCTGGGGTTATCACTTTGAACTTCTTCCAGGAACCACAGAGCGCCGCTTTGCTCAGAGCTAAGTGTGGGACAGATTAGCCTGAGCTCAAGAGTTTATTTTTAAAAGACAAGGGAAATCATATAAAATATTATACAAATTGGGGATTATATTGTAAACAAATATTAAATTTCTATAAATTAGACAGAACCATTCTATAAACTAAATATTGAATTTAAAATGTTAATATTAATTAATTATATTTTTAACTCGGAGTTCCCAAGGAACACTAAGAGTACTACTTGTTTGTAGAAGCACTTAAAAATCTTATCAGCTTTATTTTGTATTTCCTTTTCTTTTTTTGCCAATTACTTATTTACGTTTCTTTTGAACAATAATATAATATAAATTCAAAGACGTTTTGATTAAAATCATCATAAAGTTGCAACATTTTCATTATACTTTTCGTAAAGAAAATTTAATTTTGTAAGACAAGTACAGAAAACATTTCCGGGAATTGGAGACCTTCCACTGTGCCGTATCCCGCATTTCATCTCCCAGGTCCCGTGTCCGGCTTTCGACACCTTTTTCGCACATAAATTTTAATAACACATGGCTGTCCCACCCGATCCACTCCGCCCCCCTGGGTGGGTCGAGAGCGTATAAAATGTACACACATAGTGCAAATGTGTATATGTTGTTTTATGCGGTGGGTGTGCACAATACACAAACAATTCCCAAATGTAGCGACACGTTACTCCACGAGTTTCTGGTGCAATTGGCAAACAAGTCAAGGTGGTAAATGGCAAATGGAACAAATATTCCCGCCGAAGGGGGACGGCAGGCAGGGGCTTCGGCTTCCCCAAGTGGGACGCCCTGCATGGCGCTCATTTTGTGTCAACTACGCGACGTAAATGGACACAAAAAAAAAAGGAAAGGGGCGGACACGTGGGACAACCCGAAACCCGTCGACAAACGTTTGGGCAGGGGATGAAGGAGCCCAGTCAATAAACTATAAAATATGCAATGTTTGAAATATTTTGCATGCACACTACCCCCATGTAACATACACAAGCATACAGTGTGTGTGCTTGTGGAGTGCACACGACTTTTTTGAGGGAAAATATTTTATGCATGCAGGTGAATTGATTCAATGGGCTGCCAACTCAGGGCAATGCAACGCGATCCCAACCAAACAGCAGCACCCAAAGGAAATTAGCTTGACAGGAAATTCCACAACATACAGGGAAAACCACCAAGCCACCACCACCGCCATCACCACCCAACCGCTGAGCCTGCGAATGTGACTGCGCCTGCAACGGCAACGGCGACTGCGACTGCAACTGTGACTGTGACTCCACAATGCACGTTGACATTTCCCCATTCATGCCGATTTTCATATTACATTTGGTTGAGCTTAAATGACAAATGTGGTTGGTAAGCCGACGTCTGGGCCCGCGAGCCCGTTGCTCCAGACCCTTGTTTCCGCCACGACCAACCTACCGCACAGCCAACTCGTCCCCCCGGTAGATGGAGCATGTATATGCACTGGGAAAAATACTATAATATTGTCTTAAAAAATATATACAAAATGTTGTAAGCTTGAATTTGTAGAATTGTTTCACCATCATATTGAAAATCATTATTAAAATATTTTAACATTTTGAAAAATTTGTATAATAAAATATATTGATATACTAGTGGATCCATTTCTTAAACTTGTATAAAGCTTTTAAAATCTATAAAGAAAATAATATAAAAAGGGGATACATAATATTTTAAATATTGATATTTTGTCGTTAAATGTATACAATTTTGATATATCTTTGTTAACGATACTTTCTATAATTTTGTCGATATATTATATAAAAGCTCTTTTATTTTGTATTTGTTCACTGTGTACCCACTTGGCGAAGTTGCAACGCGTTTTCGGTTTGCGGTATTATTGCTGAATGACAGGCTGACTGAAGGACTGACTCTGTGGATATTGGGGGAGTGGGTGAGAAGTCTGTCCCGCATCTCCTTCCTCATTTTCGACTCCGATTTCAAGCTCTGGCTTTGTGATTGTGATGGATTGTGGCGATGGCGTCGAAAGAGTTGCTGCTGACATTTTTGAATGGCAGAAAGCAAGTAACGCCATCATGATCTCAGGGATGCGCCGTGAAATGCATTGATTAAGAAGAGTGCAAAATTAAAAGATGACTCGAAAATGAAATATATTTTATCTTAGTCAATATTAACTGAGTAACATATGTATATATGAAGTACTCTTAAATTAAAAAAAAAAAACACACAAAAAATCCATTGAGTAACCTTATGTATCTTTTCTTTTCAGGTAAGTCTGGGAGAATCACTAATATTTTTTAAAAATAGTTCTGTAAGTACATAAAAGATTTCACTATTTTTACAATTATTTGCATTGCTTTTCAAGAATTTAAAAAAATGTACATATATATATAGAACATTAAAAGTATTTCTTAGATTCAAAGGGATTTATGATTGCCTTACTGAAATCAAAGGCAAAATCCCGAAATATATATGGTGAATTTCTGTTTGGACTTCGTCCTGTGTGTCCTGTATGTCCCCGGGGTCTCGGTTCGCAATGCGCTTTTAATTTGACCGCGTCTGACGACGTTCGAGGCCTTTCCTCTGCCAACGCAGCGGCGCAGAAACTTAATTTTCCTGCGAGTCTCCTTCTCGTTGTTTCTGTTGACTTGCGTTTTTGCATTTGCAACGCAAAGTTTACCATTCGCTGAAACTTTGGCCATTTTGTTGCCGTCTATTTGTTGCTCCGCTGCGCCAGACGATGACGACAAAACCAATCATTTTCCCTCTCAGTCGCGTTTCCGCTCGCTCCCGGTCGTGTTTGGGATGACAAAATTGTAATAAACTCGTGAAGGCCACATTGGCCAACTGCCATCCACTGGGTGCTCCTGCACCTCGGCCGTGTCACGAAATTTCGTTATAAAAATAAAGTTTATTTAATTTTGTTTTTTTCCCGGGCGCAAAAAGGGTTCGGAGAGGGGACGGACGACGACATGCCCTTGGCTCACCGCCGTCGTTTTTCAATTCACCGAGCGTCCTGTTTATGAACTCCACGAACTAAGTGAGCACTTAAATTGTCTTTATGCCGTTGGGGGCTCGTCTCCTGCTACTTAAGACGTTGTCCTTTGACCTAACCTCCGCCAGCGTCTTTGCCTCTTCCGGCTGGGTTTCCTCCTTTGGCAAATATTTTGCGTTTTGGCAAAATTACATCCTTAGGGTGAGGACATTTTTGACCAAATTTAGTTTATGCCTTGCTAGTCCTGCTAGTTTTTCCTTACTGATTGCATAGTCAGCCTCCGGTTTCCTGGGGGAAATTAAAATGTGCTTAGCGAAGTAAATATCCCAGCTAAGCCCCAAAAAGTTCCCTTTGTTTTTTTTTTTTTTAAATCCCAATTCCTTTAATATCTGGTCTGGTTTAAGCATAGACAGATTATAACTTCAGTGGAAAGATATTTCTTAAAACAGTTCAACTTCCTTATTATTACCTTGATGAACTTCAGGAATAAAGAAAACGAAGACGAAATATCTGAACTCAAGTTCTCCTTTATAAGACTGCATAAACACACAATTGGCTTAAAGTTGAATCAGCAATTCAGGCTTTCTTCTTCAAATCGCCGGCCTCGCCTTCTTCCGATTTGAAGACCTTTTTCTCAGTCTTCTCATTACGTGTGGACTTGTACCAAATGACGCATATGAAGCCGAAAACCAGTCCCAGAAAGATCCCAAGAAGGGCGACAGCTGCTATGAACGCAAAATAGTGGACCTCCTTGAGAAGATAGGCCAGGGAGTCTATTATAGGCTGGACTGCCTGGTCCACGAACAGCTCGATGGGGTTGGGAAACATCTGATGCATCTTGATAGAAGTGGGAGTTCGATAGACTAAAATGAGCTCAGATGTAAAGTGAATGTGACGACATTGACACTGACACTCTTTTCGGAGTACTACTATTCTTATTCACAAGTTTTGTTTAGTCACCCGAAATTTAAAATTCTTAAAAATGGATTATCAGGAATACCTCTCAAAGCAGTTGACCATCTTCCACTTCCACCTCCATTCCGACTTTGGCATACTTATCAAGGTGGCCACGTGCGTTGCCTTCGGCGCAGTGTGCGGCTGGATAATGAGTCTGCTCACGTTTATCGTCTACAAAGTGGCCGTGTGCCTTGGAGTCCAGCCCATGGAGCTTAGCACCCTCATGGAAGACGACATTGACCTGGATATGGATGTGGAGGATGGGAACGACCAGCCGCTGCATCGAAGCCAAGACATCGGAGATTGGCTCCTGACAATGAGGCCGCCGCCACGTCAGCCACTCGATGTGTAGAGAAGGAATCCGTATCCGACTCCCGTAGCAAAGCCCTCCTTGAAGTTATTGGGACATTTGTCTCTCGCTGCTGTCATGGCCTTAAATTCAATTCCTCCACACGCCGGCACTTCACGCATTAATGCGAGTGTGTTTGCTCTGAACTGCGCCTCGGGCTCAAAATATTTAATAAACCATATCGTTTCTTTTTGGGAAAATTCTCTTTTCTTTTTTTGGCTCTGTGTTGATTTTTCTCAAACAGCTCGCAGCTATTTTTTCCACAATTTTATATAAAATATTGGCTGTCGCTTTTGGTCTGCCCGGGCCCGGACCGGTTGGAGAGGAATGTTTAGGGTCATGGCATGATTTGAATTTTGCCCGCCGGCTTTATTTAGTTCACTTTGGGTGTTGTGGACATATTCGTATAGTATTTACGGGAAAGTCAACAGCACGCAGCTACAATGTTACAAACGTATGTATACCTGAAACTGTGTATTCAACGATATTAGGGATTTTCTTCAAGAATAAAGAGGCAAGGAACTATATTTTAAAATCAGGAATTCCTCTATGAACAAAACTTAATAAGAAACAAAACTTTCTTTCAAAAGGTGCTCAGATTTATTAAAGGATATTCAAGTTTGAAAAACAAGAAAAATATATAAAATATCATAGCCGGACCTTAATCCTTTGGACCTTTTCGTAGGACAAATGTACACTAATATTGAGTGTTATTAAACACCCAACTTTCACTTGCTTCATTCTGTGTGAGAAAATCTCAAATTAACTGGATTTCAAATAACGTCCCTTTACAGTATTTATGTATAGTGAATTTTAATAGCAACTGTCTTGACGAGACATTAGCAGTTATCAGACCAAAACCCACAATTTGGCAACGTTGCTGGCTCCATTCAAGTTGTCATTGTTTCTCGGCTTCTCGCTCTTCATTGTCTAGCTGAGGCAAAGCCACAAGCGTTTGGGACTCAACCACTTGAACAGTGCTTACAGCATTTCAGAAACAGACCCGCTCCGCGGCTTCAACCCCATTCGAGGGATTTTTATTGGAGAGCTCGCAATAATTGCGGAAAGCATTTCCATACAGTGCGCGCGGAAGGAAGCCGTGGAAAGATGGTACCGCGTAAATTCAAAGAGGATCTGTAACTGAATGGAGGCTACCCCAGGACAAAAAGCTTCGGTGAAGGGTTGCAAGCTGGGAGGGTGTTTAATCACCAATCCCGAAACACACCGCCGAACAGCATATTTCATTTGAATGGGGTCTCTGGCTCAGGGGGCGGTGGCGGCCACAGGAGCTTAGGGTGTCAGTAAATGCAATCTAGAGTCTGCTCCACAGAACAGCTGGCACTGCAAGGGTCCGGTAGCTGCCAAAATTTTCAAAATGAATTCGAAAAACGTATTAAAAACTGTGACGATGAGTCGAGGATAGAAGAAACGTAATTAAAGCATAAAATGAGCTTTGAAGCGACTACAAGATTAATTTTTAGATTAAATTACTAGTGTATATTGTTGTTTAGTTTTGAGTTTTCAATAGCCACCAATTCTTATTTATTACTGGCACAATATCAAGATCAAGAGGTGACAAGTATGGTATATAGGGATAATCCCCTGTCAGCTATAGCCAAATTGGACGGGTCACAACATTTTGAGGAGTGCACAAGTGGGATTCATTAACATTTTTCAATTCATTGCAACATGACTATTTGGAGTTGAATTTTGCCACAGCACATTCATATATATAAATGGAAGCCAGCCAGCCAGCAGCCATGGAAAAATATTTACAATTTTCCGCGACGTGCGTAATGATGCTTCGGGCTTAGATGAATGGGTCGGCGGAGATTTCCAGCGGGCGACGAGAGTGTGAAGCTGTAGGATTCGTTGCCGGCTCAGCTCTCATTTTTCCATATGCGCCGCGGCAACAACGGTTCCGAGTTGTATTTTCCGGCGGTGCGGCATTCATGGGATGCTCCTCGCGATTCCATTTGTCTGTCTGCCAGTCGGTTTGTCCGTCTGGGCGGGTGCATTCAACTTTTAATCCAGTATCGGGTTCCATGCGCAGCTCATTTGCAGTGGAGTTTCCTTCGCTTATTCCTTTGGAAAGGCTATCCCACCCAAGTGTAGTTATCCTAGATATTTTGTGAAGAACTCCTAAAAATGCATTGAGTTTAGGAAAAGTAACTAGCCTGGCGTAGAAATGTCTTTTAGATTAAACATAAATAAAAATGTAAGGAATTTATATTACAAAAAAATTATAGTGGTAAAATTTCCAAGAAAATATTCGAATATTTGGACGACATTTACTATTTTATTGGATCAATAAATACAAATACACCTTTCTTCAATTCCAGTTATTAAAGGGAATTATCCCATAATGAAAACAATTCAGTAAAATACTATATCTAAACCCGACACCCAATGAAGAAGGGTATGTTGTATTGGTGGATCAGTATATAGCACGAAAAAGTTATTAAAAATGTTAAATATACATGTCAAAAAATATACATTTATTTATTTATTAAACCTAATCTGCATTGTATATAATTCCTCCACTCGTTTATATACAAATAACTCAGTTCAGTTGAGTACGGGGTATCTTGTAGCCCAATCAATTGGCTATTGTGTCCATATTGATTGCTTATGTGAGTGCTAAGTAATGAATACCCATTTTCTATGCGATTGACTAGCAATAGCCGACTCGAACATAGGCCAAATCATTTACGTTTGAAGCTATGCGGAGTAACAAGTACGTTCATCGGCCCCGCGAAGGCTACTCTGAGGTTGCACATCGCTTGTTCTTCAAGGCGAGTGCCTGGGCTATCTATGGAATCGCCTCTGGCTGCCACTTCTTCAAGCTCAAGTACACTAAGGAAACGAATCAGGTGGAGGAGACCGAGTACAATCCAGCGTTGTCCAAGATAGTGGTTGCCATAAAGCTACTGCTGCTGGCCAGCCAGTACACTTACTACTTCGTGATGGCTTCGGCCATCTATATTCACATCAGACTGGTAAATTTCAGCCATGCCCAGCACTTTGTGATGAGTCTCTTCATGCAGGGAATAGGGATAAACGTGCTGCGGCGCCTTACAATCTTCCTGCACCAGAAACAGGATCGCCAGTATGTGCGACACGCGGTCAATGAGATCCTGTACATCACCAGCGTGATAGAGCGCAGGTTCGGCATGATATACCGCTGCGACACGGTCTTGCTGGGAGTGTACTTATGCAAGCTATGGTTGCTCTACTTACTGCTGGACTCGCTGTTGGACAAAGATTACTTCCTGATACTCTCCTTGCTCTACTGGGTGCTGCTGGACTACTGCTTCCTGGGCTACTTTATCTACCAGTTGCTTCTGCTCAACTGGTACCGCAGCATCACCTTGTTCCTGCAGCGCTTTATCGAGGATCAAGGGGCTCGGCAGGACATTGCAGCCCGCCACCATCGCCACTTGTCGCTGCTGTTCAAGCTGCAACTCCGCATCAACAATCTGCACAAGTTCATCATACGCAGCCTGTCCTGGATGCCTAACTCCATTTACCTGATGATCTTCACCTGCATCTTTAACATGGAGCTGCTGATCGAGTGCAGTCTCTTTGCCGAGGACGAGTTGGACGACAAGATCTACATAATTATGGATGGTTGCCTGGGCCCCGTCATGATTCCTATACTTTATGTCCTCATCCTGGGGATGTGCACTGATCGGCTCCGCGACGCCGAGTTGATCCTGCAGCAGCAGATAGTGATCATTCATGGCTTGTACATGAGAAATACACACTCACGACTCCCAACCGTGATGGTTCTCGACAATGAGGTGAGTCCTTGATGGAAGCAAAACGTTTTCTAATTGCTTTCACCTGCGCAGCACACATCGCTGATCTTACACCAGAAACTGAAGCCGCTGCAGAATGTCATGATTTTGGACAACATCTGTGACCGCGAGTTCGCCTTTGACTATATCCTGACGGTGATTTTGACAGCATTGTCGCTGGTACAGTACACAATATCGTGTGGCGAATCACTCAACGAATGTGTGAGGCATAAATAAGTAGCTGTATCTAGTTGTTGAATATTAAATACAAGGTCAACGATTTATAAGGAAATTAATGTCAAGAATATGGAAGTAAATCTCATAGGTTTGCATACAAGTTATTCACTTTACTGCTTTGCCCAACAAATATAAATATCTGATCCGCACTTCCCAAAAACATTCGTCCTGAAGTTATCATCGGTCACGACCTTTTGCAAAATTTCTCACCGAACTCATTTTATTGACTCAATCCACTCAACAGGAAACAGAAACAGCTACCGAAACAGCAACAGTTTCAACAATCAACAGTCACGTACCATTTTGACGTTCAACTTTTGGTTAAAAGCGAAGGCCGAGGGGACGAAGAAGTGAATACGTGAAATATTCAATTTTTTTATACATTTTGCCGGTACATTTAAATTTATTTTACAACCCCGGCACGGACTGGTGACAGGGCGTGCAACCCCTCAGTGTAGACGATAAAATAATAATCGATTTGACTTTGGCTAGAGTTCGTCCGCAGCGGGGTGGCCTGGCCACCACTCATCGGCAGGGAGCCAAGGAAGTGCCGGCTCCCTCAAAAATGGAGCAGCTCCCGGTTCTTCCTGCGGGGAATCGATTTTTTCGCGCTCGTTCAGACTTGGAAATTTATGCGAATTTGAATTTGATATGGTTAAACTGTTTGCCTAGGCAACGCCAGCCATGCAAATGCTCTGATAAGGCCAGTTTGCCGATGGTTGGCGGAGAGCGGAGAGCTTCCCCGGGACCTAGGCCTTGTCACTTTTCGGTGTAAAATTAATTTGCTATAATTCATCAATGAGCGACGAGAAAGGCAAAGGATTATTTGGCATAAAAAATTGTGGCACTTGTCGATTTTGCACGGTCGTCGGCCCTTGGACGCTTTCTCGAGCTCAAATACGTGTGTGTAGCTGGCGCACTTTATATAATTTATGGCTGCACATTTATTTTATTGAGTTTAATGTAGGCACAGTTGCTGCCCCCCCCTTGCCATTTGAAAGGTGAAAAGGTTCGTGGCAACAGGGGGTGAATTGGATGTGCTTCCCCGTTAGGAGCTTTGTTATGCCTAAGAAAAATATATCAGACCATGGCTTGGTGTGTTACATCAACAGATGAAGTCAGAGAACCGACTCGGGAACAAACAAAATGGAAATATTTTATTATAAAACGAGCTCAGAATTATTAAATATACAAACATACATCTTTAAAAGAAGAATATTCAGTTCAGTTCCTTAGTTTCCTTTGAAGGCATTAAGTCCGTTTAGATACCTCAAAGCTTACAAAAGCTAAGTGTGCCTAGGTTTCTCATTAAATTTAATAAAGCCAATTAAATGAAATATGTTTTATAAGTACGCCAATAGCAAGCAAATTAAATCGTTAGTCCCGAAATCCCTCAGAAACCCAATTTGGCAATCGGTGGCTCGACCTCCCTCAACTATCGCCACTCGCTGTAAGCCTCGGATGTTATTTTCCACCAACTAATTAAGCATTCAAAAACGTTTTGGCATAAAGTTTAAATTGTCTGGGTGGCACTCGGGCCGTATCCGGGTCTGGGTCCGGGTCTGGGTTCTGGTTGGGTGGAAGAAATCCAATAATAAAGACGACGAGCTGAGCTCAGCTCTCATAAATTATGGCAAATTATTAAGCAGGAGTCACAGCGCAAAAAGTTTTACCACCGCACTCGTTTTCGTTTCGAAACAAAGTCAACTAACATTGCGTATACGCCACGGTGGACACGGGGGACTCAGGGCATTCGGGGGAAACGGGAACAGCGGTTGGCTGACGGGGCGAATGATTTATTTTTATTATTATTGGCGGTGAATTTTAAATCAAAAAGCTCACAACATTTTGTGCAGAAATTACGAGTGCGCATGGCACCAAAAAGTGTGCTATACATTTTGTAAGCTGCTTTCGATGGCATCGGCGGCAGCTGCTTTTGTCATTATTAATAACTGTTAATTATTCACCATTAAACCTATGCCTGGCGAGCACGTTCGTTGCTTTTTGAAGGCAAACTTGTTTGCTTTGAGTCCCCGTTCCCTGTGCCACTCCACCGATTCCCTTTTCATATTGTTTTGCATCCACATTTTATGTGCTCCTTAGTTAACGCCCGTCGATGACTAGCTTTTCGCGCGCTTCAGCTCCAACTATCTTTGTCTTTCTCTTGGCCATATTTACATATTATTAAAAAGTTTTCCCAAGCTGTGCGGCTCTGAGGGCAGACTAGGACGAGAAATATGGGAGAGCACTGGGACGTAAGGAAACTTTTCTATTTTGCCTCGTCTCAAGTTATTGAAAATTCATGAATAATTGACATTTATTGCAGTTGGCACAAGTGATGGTCGATAATGGCCAAAGACGGGAGGTGAGCGAAGAGGGTCGTGAACGATGGGCGGTGTTGTACAAAATTAGGGCGGGATTGGCTGTGAGTTCTCTGTGCATTTATAGACATAAATATTAAAGTAGCTTACGTACTTAATTGTAAATTATGCATTCAATTAGTTATGCCAGGCTGCCCTCAAATGTCGTTTCCAGTCAGGGTCAGAGGGAGGCAGGGCAAGTGTGCTGACGGGAGAGAGATGCCTGGCTGCACGTTCAATTAAATTTCGAATATTCTCGGTAATGCCGTTATTGTTGTTGCTCCTCGATGGTTAATAATAGTGTCAGCTGCAGGATATAACTTTGGTCAGTCAAGCTTGCAAGATTTGCTGTTGGCCCGCTCGTTTGACAGGTGGATAAGGTTTTGTAATCAGTTTATAATGTTCTTAGAGGTTCTTCTGAATGTTTTGTAACTTACTTCGAGCTTAGGTTTTGTTTTAAATGGAATTCAAAAATTCTATTTAATAGTAATGTTTCAATATTTGTGTTCTAACTCCTAATTTCTTGAAAATTAGCTGACAACTGAAGGTGCACTTGCAGTAAAATACCAATAAAAAGTTTTATATAGTTCAGACTTGAGTGGAAGCAAATCCCTTTAGTCCCATTTTAATTGACTATAAGCCTATCAGATCCTTGACTATGTAGAAACAATTGAATGGCTGAAAATGATACACTTTTTAATTAAATTTAGCCCGCAGCTTTTTGAGCAGCTCTGGATTTCCAGTGTGTGTGCGTGTTTGGTGTGCTCTATTTCAGATTATGAAAACAAAAACTCTTTGGCCCCTTCGTTAGCCTCAGATGACTTCACATATTTTGCCATAAAATAACACCCGAGGGCGCTGTCAGCAGCATAAGCTCACCGTTTCCGTTTTTGTTTTAGTTACAACTAACATAGCTGCACTGCCGAAACATGCCATGGGTGTGCGAGTGTCTGTGTACTTAAACCACACATGGTGATGGTTTCAGAGCCGGCGGTACGCATTGCCAGGCATTTGCATTCAAATGCATTTAATTAAATCAACTAGAACCAACAGGAAAATGCAGCAGCAGCAGCATCGGTCGGTCCTCTCCCCCTGACTTCAATATGATGAGCCTCATAACATTTAAAACAAAATTTATTTTGTGTAAATTTTGCCAGGTTCGTTAGTTTTAATTGTGTTTAGTTTTCATTTGCCAGTGCGAGTCGTCGAGTGGAGTGGCGTCGAGTTGAGACGAGAGCAGACATCGCACGAATTGTGAAATATGGTTTTGGTTAACGCTGAAGCCACTGTTTTGCTTACAATTAACTTGTTTGTATACGCTCGCTTTGTGTATCTTTGCTCGTGCTGTTTCTGCCAATTTGGCAGTTTTTGGCATGTAGTTGTAAAAAAAAAAAAAAAAAAACAAGAGGAAAAAACCAGCGATGCCATTAAATAAAATATAAAACACTGAGCCGGGGGGTAGCAGAACGAGTGGAGTGGAGTGTAGACACTCTGTCGGGTAGACACCTGTCCTGAGGCCAATCCCAGTGTCAATTAGCCATTCGGCTGCTACAACATACCCCCATCAAGCTGTCAGAAAGTTAAATGTGAAAAACTCCTTCGTATAATTTATTTTATTATCGCTAATTGAATTACACATTTATTCGTCCTGAAATCAAATGAAAATTGGACAGAGTGCGATTCAAGGCTATACCATATCTCTCTTTTTTTGGAGGGTTTATTAACACTCGACTAATTCCTCTTTGTGGCATATACAGCAGACCTGTCCCCCTTTACTTCCGCCTTTTTAAGCTCTTTGAAGGACATTGGGTCTGTTTGGGTAAAGGAAGGAGCAGGCTTCAGGCCTCTACTTGGGATAAAGTTCTGAAATGTTTTCCTTCAGATTCATGTTGTTTTGATATTCGTCAGAAAATTCTGCACGACTTAATCGAAATGGAAGCGACTGGGGGGGACCTCTTCTTATAAAAATACTTGCGAGGGCAGCTTTAATACTTGTTTCGTTACTTTGGATTGGATATGATTCTACTAATAATACCATTAGTGGCTACAAAATATATAATACTTGGAGAATATTTATGAGTTTTACCCATGTAATATACATCATCTTGATTTTATAAATTAAAATGTCCTGACGAACTGATAAACATTTAAACTCCAAAAGAGTCTAACTCTCTATCCATATTTCCCTAATTCCACCCTCGGAAAACATCCATTAGCAGTCAGCGGAGCATAATTGTGCCAACAACATTTAGTATCATTATTTATGCGCCATATCTGTGATCTTAATAGTTTGCTTTAAACATTTTTCCTCCCGCAAAACGTTTAATGTGATTAATTAATTTAAACTTCGCTGGGGAAATGGAAAGTAAACAAAAAGAGGGACTCAAATGATGTTGTGCGAAACGCGGCAAGTTATCCCCCTAATTGTCCCCAATCAGGAGTCGGACGAGGCGCAGGGACATTTCCTTTCATCGAGCACCCGTTGACAGTGACACTTGAGAAATGTTCGCTAAAACAAAGACGCTGAAGGTGGACAGTAATAATCATTTTGTATAGCCTACCGCAAGGCGTTGCGAAAAATGAAAACAAAGCCCCTTTTCAGCGAACGGAAAGATCCCTCGACCACTCTGTGATGTCTTGGCTTTGTCGTTGCAAACTCTTTTTGAAAAATGACTGAGACCAGGTGACGGTCGTTGGCACTGGCCGTCGGGTACAGTTCCCACAAAGGGTCTCTCCTTCAGTCATTTATCAGCCACAAGCGGCGGGGCCATTTTAACTTAATAAACAATCATCAGGCTGTAATTATATGACGGTAATGTTATAATGAGTGCCCAGACAATACATCACAGGCTCCTTGTTTGGCTTGATAATTGAAAATGTTTGTAATTTTCGCCTCACTGTCCTTCTGTGGATTTTTCCTCTCCGTCCCTCCTCGGCCGCCCTCCTCGGCGCCCTCTCAAACTTTGCACTTTTATCTGTAGCAAAAGTTTTGTTGGCCTTTTTTGCCTTCCCATACTTTTTTTTTTGTGTTTTGCTTTTGTGTGCTACCAAAGTTTTGCGACAGTTTAGGGATTAGGAGGCCGCCAAAAGTAGGCAAAAAAAAAAAAAAAGAGAAAAGTTTCAGGTCATGTCCAAATTTAAGTGCTGAAAAATTTGCTGGATTATGTGGCAGTTGATGAATTTGTTGCGCGAGGGAATTAGACGCTAATGTCTGCTCTTTTCAGCGCCGAGAGAGAAATGCACTAATAGATTTGTCTGCCCCAACTTTGAGTTGATGGGAAGCCAGCCGAAAAACGTATCCTTATCATTTATGGCCAAGCGCTGACCACAAATTTCATATTTCTCTAGAGTTTTATATCCTTACATTTAACCTATGCAAGCTACTGACACAAGCTCTTTATTTATTGTTTTATGTTTTCAGCTTGGAGTTAAGTCTTAAGCTTTTGCTACGGCAACCTGGTCAAAGTCTGATGGCGGATGGCCGCGGAACTTTGCCTAAGACTGCGGCAGGCCATGTGCTGGGGCTGCTTTGACTGGCCGCTGGCCCAATTTAACTAAAAGCTCAATCAATCATCTTAGACGGGGGGCATCGCCATGGCAATGCTTAATTTGCGCCCTACCAGCCAGGCCCTACCTCGCTCGCGGCGGCCTCCTTGCCAATGTTGTCATAGAACTTCCTTTGTCCCGCATCAGATCCTGCCGCCGACTCAAGAGTTTTAAGCCGCTTTTCGGTCGCTTTCCGGAGTTTATCCTCCTGGCCCCTCCGCCGCAACCACCTGATTGAGGGATGTGCTGCATCCACTGGCTCTGGCCTGTACACAGTGTACACATATTTGCTTAGCAGCCGAAAGGGTTGCCTATTTGCCGAGCGGCAGTTTGGAAATTGTTGCAGCTAATGCGCCCAAAGACGGCTTACGCCGGCCGACGGATTACACCGGCTGACGGCATCGCAAAATGATTTGGCCCTTAAAGTAATTGTTTGGAAATGAGTCGAGCTGAGCATTTGAAATTCTGATTTACCGAAATTTGGGGAAGGAAGTACTTGAAAGTGGTGTGTACGATTTTTAAATGGAGTCCTAAGGTGTACAAAAAAAATGGTTCTTTTACTTGCAGGGTATTATAATTTCAGTCAGAAGTTTGCAACGCAGTGAAGGAGTCGTTTCCGACCCTATAAAGTATATATATTCATGATCAGCATCAACAGGCGAATCTTTCTAGATATGACAGGAAGAAATCGATTTTTTGGCCATTTTTGCAAAATTTGATAATTTTTTAATAATTTACATCATTAAAATTTTGGATTTTGATAAAAAATTGAATTTTCAAAATTTTTAAATGAAGTATGCAGATTTATTAACTGTATAAACCATATATATTCTTGATCAGCATTAACATGCGAATCTTTCTAGATATGCAGTTTTTTTAAATTAATAAAAACTAACACAAAACTGCTTTCCGAATCGAAATTAATGCATTTTTGGCTTAGTTATGATATATTTTAATTGTTACCTGCAAGGGTATACAAACTTTGGCTGGCCAAAGTTAGCTTTCTTTCTTGATTTTAATTGGTTTTTAAATACTAAACCATTGATAAGCGAAGATATATGTATATACTTGATACGTTTGCATATATGGTATTTGTTACGTTTTTCTATTATTATTACATACTCAAAAAATCTCATACTCAATCTCATCTTGAAAGATACTTCAGACCACTTACTACAATATAATATCAACAACAGCAGCCACAATGGCAACAACAAACCAAAAACACCATATAATTATGTCTGCTTTTTGCAATCATTTCAATTATAAGCACAAGCTGTTGCATTTTTACCAACACCAGCAAACAGTAGACAGTTAAAAGTTAATGCCGGCGGGCTCATAATAAACCGTCTTCTACCATTATCAGTGTTTAAAAAATTATGATGAGGGGTGAACATGGGTTATTCCCAGGGGAGGGCAAACGTTAACATTAGCAAAAATTTGAGAACCTGGGAAAATGTCTAAGAAAACTTAAAAGAACAGAAAAATTTCGAAATTTGGCAAGAACTTTAACTTTTTAACTTTAACTTTAATTACCAAACTTTAAAATAGAAGAGGCAGACAGACAAACCTAGACTATAACAGATGGAATATAAATATAGTACGTAGTTATTATAAAATAAAAATGTTTTAAATATGTGTTGCCATATCTTTATATAAATTTAAAAAACAATTAAGCCTTCTTCTCTTCCTCTTTAATTCGTTTACTCCCCTTAAGAGTGATGTCTGCAATAACTAAATAAGTTGGTCTTCAATTAACTCTTTTTAATGAGTCTGTTGTAGAGCTATGAGATTGTGTACCTCCCATGGTTAGCATTTCTGTTTCAACTTATTACAGGTGTGCACACCTACGATGCAGGCTAGACCAACCTGAGATGACTTTTGAGTCCTTGGTTCTCATTCACTCCTCCCCATGCGGCGCTCTCCGCTTATTTACTTCGACGGTGTTATTTTTGGCCCACGTCTGCAGAAGCAGCAACAGTTCGTGAGTTCATAATAAAACTTTTACTATGACAGTAAAATTTTAATGAAATCACTGCAAAAGCTGAAAATACAAAAAAATAAACCAACCCAGTGGGTTCAAGAGACCCAACACTGTCGGGAAAAGGGGTCTGGGGGGATGGGGACACGGTCTGTTGAGAACTTTCATGTTGTCTCTGTTGTTTTTTCGTACGTGCAAAGTGGAAAATCTGCTACAGGAGATGACAAGAGTGAAATGAAAACAAAAACAGCATGAAACAGAGAAATTGCCTAACTAGATTGTTTGTTGAGGCCATTTATTACCCATTTCAAAGGTTTATTTTCCGAATATGAGAGCAAAATCGGCTAATTGCAATGACCGAAAAGGAGACGATGGTTTTAAAACTAAATATAATAGAAATATAAACACTTGACTATGGCTTTCATGCTTGTTATTATTTACAAATTTTGACGGCACTGCAATAAAATGCATTGTAATACAAGTATTTTCAAATTATCTTATCTGTTTTTGTAGATTTTTATTACTACCTGCTGATAATTGTATAACCATTGGTCAAGAGTTACAATAAAAATGGCAATAAAGAGATAAAACTAACTTACTGATAGAAACTAACACAATATTTATTTTTCTTTTCCAAAACAATGGCAAGAAATCTAAAATTTTAATTATTTATACAGTTACGTTTTTGGCCTCGTCAGAACTTTAAAAGCTCACCTCCAAAATATCGAATAAAAAAATTTGTATTATCCTCCTCGAATGGCTTATATTGAACTAGTTACACTACTCAGATTGGGATCTAGTTTCCCATGAGATATCCCAGCTCACAATTTAATGGCCATGACTCGAGCCTTTGTGTGCGGAGCTGCCGGCGTAAAAATCGGACGTCCACTATCGTCCTTGTAGTCGGCGTAGACCAGAGAGTGGACACACTCCATTCCCAGGGACTCTTTCTGGCGGGCGGAATAGAAGCTCGTGCAGTAGGCCACCATAACAGGAAATCCTTTGGAGCGGCCCACGTCCATCAGCCGGCTGGCAAGCCGGGAGCCCAAGCCTCTTCCTCTCATCGAAGCATCCACACTGGTAATGTGAGAGTAGAGGAGCTTGGAGATGCCGTAGCGCTTGAAAAGATCAGCTTCGCGCTCGATCTTGGAGAGCATAAGACAAATGCGGCCCCAGGTATTTTTTTCCATAACCTCCGCCTCCTGACGATGCTTCTCAATATCTTCAGGGAACTGGGCTCCAGCGAGAACTAAGCCTACCAATCGACCACCGTTGTCCTCGTCAAGGGCCACCAAGCAGGTGCCTTGGGCGATCATTGAAAGGTGATACTCGTCGTTCTCCTTCTCGTTCTGCAGGTGCATCGCCTCCCCACTGGATTGGCACAGAGGCTCTGAGGTAAAAAAGTCATCCGTCATGAATGCTTTCACTCTTGGATAATCGTCCTTGGTCATGATGCGTATGGTAACATTGTCCTGGGATGACATGATGGACTGATATTTAGCACTGTTTCTTTTGGCTGCCTAACGAAAACTTCCGAGACTACCTCAGCGACTTGGCTTTTATATTAGTTCCTTATCAGCTTCCTATAAAATACTGCTTACACGGTCAGCAATAATATTCGTAACAGAATTGAACGATTTTAAAAGTACCTTCTTATCTGCCTAAACTAGAGGCAAATAATACAAATATTAAACTAGTGTCTTATCAACACGGTTATTTCATGAATGAAGTGGCAGAAATAAAGTCATCCAGAAAATAAAGTGTATACACTAATAGGAAAAATACAAAGTTAAAAGAAAAATATCATTTTCGAACATTTTATACCCTTTAAATAATTTCTGAAAGTGGCTTAGAGCTAAAAGTCCTAAACAATTTTAATGAGATTAAAAATTCACCTCCACACATAGAGAAAAAGGTCTTAAAAACTATTATAAATATATATAAAAACCAAAAATAACCTAGTTTAAATTTTCAAACATAGAAAACAATAGAACAAATACTTTGTTATGAAAAATTCTGGAAAATCTTTGTTCCCTTTTGGACACACCTACATTCAAAGGGTGGATTTTTTCAATGCGTTAATTAAAACATCCCCAAGGATCTTGGAACTAATTGCTGAATCCGGCCCTTTGGCAGTTTCCACTGATTGTGAATGTTATAAATAAATAAATGAAAAGGCAACCAGAAAACCAAACCAAAGTCAACGTCAGGCTCAGCGACATGCATAAATTATAAGAAAGTGTTTCCCAGTTTGGCTTCTTTTTTTCATTGTAAAAAATGCTGAGCGTTAAAATTGCTTAAAAGAATAAAGGAAATTGGTGGCCAACGCACTAATTCAATAATTTATGCACATTTTAAATGCATGAAAGCACTGGCCAGAAAGTAAAGGATTCTGAAAAAACAAAACAAAAAATACAGTCCCCTAACGTTAAGCAAGATTATAAAAACACTATACTAATGCCAAATAATTTATTAGAATTCTGGAAACATATTTATGATGATATGAGAATGACGCTCATTAAGTTAGATCGCAGTTCTCATAATTATAAAAAATATCTATCAAAATAAAAATGCATTAATTAGATTCCCAAACGTATAGTTGTCAGTATATGTTTATGCCTTCGACTGTACATTTGGAATTTCATTAAAATCCAAGTATGTATATTCGCCACAGGATCCTCATAAATATTTACGCGGCCTAAAAGGGCCAATGTGAGAAAAGTGAGGCTGGCAGCCGGGAACAGACGCACTTTTGACCGCCTCGATGTGCGTTTCAAATTGAGCGGATTAAGTTTAATTACAATTTTTCGGTGATTCCTGGAGTGGGTAACACACACACACACACATACACATATGCAGCCCTCACAAAGGACTCCCTGGCACTCGGCGGACGTGTGGGTGGGTGCAATGCATTTGTAAGGGTTGTTCCTTTGTCCCCTTTTCGGCGCGCGTAAATGAAAAGTAAACCTTTATGCAACGCTGCGGGCGGCATGCAATTTGCCAACGAGCCCGACGTACCCATTCAAGCCGCCCAGCCACCCGAACTACCCAAACCCACAGACACCCAGCCACCCAACCACCCCAAAGGGCCCAAACAAAAAATTCGTTGCGCACACGTGTTCAATGTGCAGCGCACGCCATGTCCTAGCAGCTCCTGTTGCGCCCCAGCGAAATGCTTATAATTGGATTTAGTTGTCGTTAAGTTTGGACTTGCTTATTGTTCGGCTCCGCAATATGCTAGCCGTCAGAAGACACAGTCCTTCTGTGTATTTTGATGTGGTTTTTAATGGCACGGCTCACTAAATCAAATATTCCCCCGCAAGAGCTTTCGTGTGAGGAGGAGTCAAGGGTGTTAGGGTGGTGCTCTTGGTTAATTAAATTTACTGGGGTGCTGCTGAATGCTAAGGACTCAACCACGATCATAATGAATAGCAGACAAAATATGAGAGGCGGGCCACAGTAATATATGAATGTTTTATTACTGCAAAATCAAATATTAAATGCTAGGATTTAAAAGCAAATGTATTTAATATGTGTACGAAAAATGATGTTTATTTTAATTAATTTTAATTTAGAGCAATTTTTAGATGCACTTTAATTATTTTTTTAATAAGGAAAATGGCGAAACGGACTTACCTTAACCCTAAACAAATGTTTGGGGTTTCGAGAGGCTTGTAAAAAAAGCCTAGTATTTTTTAAATAGTGTAATTACTCATGATAATTTTAAAACATTTTTTAAATTAAACTAATCGAAAACAAACCCCACCAAAATAGTTAAAGACACAGCTTGAATTTTCTGAAGATTATAGCTGCTGTGGTTGGGTTGCCATAATTACTTTTCAATGAGTGAGAAATCTACAAAACAAACAGCAACGCATTTGGAAATTACAATTAGTTAAATTTTTGCCAAGAACAAAAAGCATTGCCTCGTTTTCGATGCAGCAGATTAACGTTCAAATGGCCAACGCAATTAGAGGGATAAAATTGCCAAATACTATGTGTGAATGTCTAATTGCGTGTGCGTGGAGACAGGTCTCGCGATGGCCAAATCACATCGTTAGCGTATGGTCAATAGCTTCTAGTATGTAGTAACAATTTAATTAATTTCATAAAAAAAAAAAAAGACACATAAGTTTGGCAAATATTTATTTGGCAAAAAAAAAGGAGGCTTAAATCAACAAACGAAATTAGTCACTTTATCAAAACATTATTTTTCAAGCATTTAGTTGTTGATTTTTTGTAAAGTAATTATAACAAAAATAGTAAATAAACTGTCTCTCTCTCTCTCATTTCGTTTGTTTTTGATTATTTTTTGCAAAACTAATTAAATAAACTATGAAAATGATATTTTGAAAGGGTTAAGTGCTCTTTTATAACTTGAATACTACAGATTGATTCAATGCCAGACTGATGGAATAATCAACTTAATTAATTATTTAAACTTTTAAAATTATTTTAATAATTTAATGACTTTAATAAACTCCAGGATTTTGAGAATAAAAGTACACAACAAAATATCTTGTTTTTTAATTAAAACTTCAAAAAGACATCACGCTTTTCACTTTGTCATTCGCCTTAATGTCAATAATCGATATTGATTTAACTATTTGAAAATCTTTAACTATAAATATGCAAAATATATAACGAACGGAAATACAATTTATTAAACCTTGTTTGTTTATGGCATATTATGGTCATTATTTTAATATCCACAAACCCATTTACACGCCTAGAGACAACGAGCACAAAGGCGACCGCCTCCCATTTTCAATCAATTGTCATTTGCATAAAATCAGCATTAAAATGGCGGCAACCTCCAGCCATTTTGCCGACCTCCCCTGTAGAAATTTTAATTAAAAACCTGCCAGCTACAACGGAAAAAATTGCAACCGAACATGCACAACATTTTTTCTCATACGGCGACATGTAAAAACGGGTGCGGCCATCAGTATTGAGCTAAAAGCGAAAGTCACTAAATTTCAGAATGGAAAGCCAGCGAAACGGCACGTGGCAATAACTTTTCCAACGAGAAGTACTTGAAAAAGCGCATAAATTAAGTGCATAAAATTTGCCAGTGCCGAGGAGGGGATTTATGCAGGTTGCAGTTAGCCACAACACTTGCAGGTGAAAGCGGTTGAAGTGAAAGCGATCAAGATGGCCGACGCCATCGATTTGCATAAATGCAAATTGTATTATTTTTTGTGAGCAGAAATGAAAGCTTCAGGCGGCAAGGTCCTCACTTAACATGCGAAACAGATGCACTAATGAAGTAACTAGAAGGCGGGTCATCCAAGAGTAGGCGAGTTCCCAAGACGATTAAGATTATATCGAAAGTTACGCGCCTATCCAATTTTATGTTTGCTTTCGCAAAGGGGTATTTTGGATAGGAATTTCCTAAGTAACAGGCAGAAGAAAGCGATTCGGCAAACTAAGTAAACATATCCTTTAGTAGAAGCAACAGTTTCTTAATCTTATTCTATTCTATTTGTAGGGAGTCCCGATTGATAGCAAAGTTTGATGAAACCAACAGCACAAGCAACCTGCTGCTTGACTCTTGACAGAAACTATCTGCTTCGGATTTGGCATTCAGTCCTATCTTGAATTCCTCATACTTATTATAAATACATTACTTGATTTCCTGGTTACCTAAACTGAATCATAAGACTTAATTCAGATGCATTACTTGAGAATTCACTTAAGGATTAACCAGGCTTAGTAATGTTACGAATCAAATTGAACATTCCATTCAGATGCTTATGGCAAACTTTAATTCCAATTTCCATCCATCCCAGGGTGGCCTGTTACCGGAGTGCATTCGCCAAAGTCAATCAATACGTTTTGATATAGCAACTACTTCCGCCTGGTTGAACATTATTTCCTGCTCCGATAGCCCAAGAGAATTTCAGACGGTCCAACAGTGTCATGGCAACGTCAGCAGCAGCGCCCTAGGGGGAGCTCAAGCTGGAGCAGTTCTCTGCTTTGCGGATGCTGGATACTGATGCCGATACCGATGCCGATGCTGGGGCATTGCCATTTTATTTGCACGCGTCGCGATGTTAGGGGTTAAAATGCATGCACAGCAGCCAGCGGCCTCCTGCGCCGCCCCCTTAATTTGACCTTTATTGGCGATGGCAGCAGCAAACAGCAGCCGTTACGTTCCACCTGATCACATTTCAAATGGCTTGACTCCGGCCCCACAGCCATTGCCGCCCCTAGTGACATCGTTTTACCCTCGTTTCATTTTTGCATGCGTTGACATGTGAAATTGTTGCGCAAGTCTCCGGGCGATATTTGCCACTGTTTGCCGTCTTTTTCTCCCCTCCCCCTGCAGTAGGAGGTGTTGATGTTTTAATTAATGGCCATATGTCAACTGCATTCGTATAGGTTAAATGCCTGCCAATCTCCAGAGAAATTAAGATGACTGCGTGCAAGTTGAGGTTAAAACAAATCGACAAGGACTCTTAAATAAAAATGTATATTAATATTACCTGTACCCTCTTGGCAAGTCCTTTTGTGGGATTAAAACATTTGTAAGTATTTAAAAATACTTAATTTAAATTTACTCTCGCATCAGAAAAAAGTATGCACTATATAGATTTACGAGACCGTCATCAATAGAAGCCCCAAATCAAATAGACATTTCAGACGAAAAGAGAGAGAGGAATAAGGTATAATCAATCGCAAATGGCCAAGTCAAACAATAAACCATAAATGAGAAACCAGGCCATCATAACCTTTGACCGAGAAGTCGACCGTCAAGAGGGAACACAATGGATCGGGTGTGAGCTTCCGAGCAAACGTTCATCGTAATCATTAGCATACATTTACGGTCTTGACCCTCAAGTGCTTACCCAATGGCCCATTATGTGCTTTAGTTGGTGGTTGGTCTTCTTTTGTCAATGGTCTATGGGGTCTCAACTCTCTCTCTCTCTGTTTGGGTCACTCCCAATGGCCTTGCCCCCTTTACCCCACTCGCTTTGTCCCGGCAAATGATAATAGTTGTTGTTGGCTCCGTAGCAGAAGGGTCACACTAGTGCCTGATACAGTCCGAGAGATAAGAAGTCAGGTTTTATAGCTTAGTATCCGAAATGCTGGTTGCCCTTTCTTTGGACACCAAATTAGCCTGCTAAAAAAACACTTAACACTTAAATATTTGGCATTACTAAAATATTATATCATAAAGACAGGCTTTAAAAATTAAAGTTTCTATTAAGTTCCACCGAATACGTAATCTGAATAGTTTCCACTTCCTTCAAAACCAAAAGGGTTATCCTTTAGTTAGGGTATAAAAGGATGTAAACATCTACTCCACATGTATTGTCGCTGTTTCGCGCTGAATGTCCGTCCTTCATTTATTGGTCCATTCATTCAAGCGTTTCAATTGTGCGGAAAGTGTGACACACGCGATGTCCATGTCCTTATCCCGGTCCAATTTCACATTTCGCTCGCCCGGGCGTCTGGTCGTAAGCTCATAAGCTCGTTTCGGACTCGTCCTGCTGCATTTCCTACTCATAGTTTCAGTATGGTTTCCGTATCTTTTCTTGCCATTTTTTCCTCTCCTTTTTTTTCAATTTAACATCCGGTTGTGTGGCTACAACATGTCCATTATGTTGATGAAGTCCTTTGACAATACTGTGGGACAGCGGAAAGCCTGGGCAGGGGGGTCGTATAATAACCAGAGTTTGGCTGGTCGTAATCTGCGGACGTTGATGGTGACGATGCCACAGCAAGGACAGTTTGTTTTGGGTTTTTTCTGTGAGAGTAAGGTACTTTAGCCCGAATTCGCTTTCACCACAAACTGGATATGGTTGTATTAAGTGGTCAGCGAGCTTCAAATGTGGTTAATGTTGTTGCCAACTGCATGAAGACTAAACATATTGCTTAGTACAGTTATTTTGCAATGGGTTTTTTGTTTTGTCCAGTGTTTTTTCTACTGATTTTTCTAAGCTAATCAACCCTTATTGAAAAAATATCCTGGCAACATTCGTTTGTCTAACCCCTTTGAGGCCTCTTCCTTAATCTGCCTTTACCCTTAATGAAACTGGAGTTTAATTGTTTGTATTCTTAGCTTATTGAACGCAGTCGCTCGATTTATTGACCATTGGCCACTTCAGATGGATGCACTTAATGTCTGTGGCGTGTCCTTAATGGCTATTTGCTGAGTCGGTTCTGTCGCTTTAATTAACCCGCTTAAAGCCTTCGGAAAGTGGCCAGCACGTTGTGGCGATTTATAAGCGCGGCCAAGAGAGAGGGAGAGCCGAGCACAAAAACAAATACGCAAAAGCCCTCCACTCGGCCTTGCTCCTTCGCTTTATTTATTTCTGTCGCATGAAGGAGGTCGTCCTGTGGCGGGCGAGAGGGGAGGACAACTAAAAACCCATAACTATATGTTTTAGTGACACATTTTAAAAGTGCCCCGCAAGTTGGTGGAAATTTATTGTTATTGCGTTTTGTACGCGTACTTTCTCTTTTCCGCGTTCTCTCTTTACTCTTTGCAGTGTTATTTTTTTCCAGGACACTGTGTTGTGCATTTGTGTTAACCCAATATGCTTGTAATTGTTAACTTGGTGGGAATACAACAATATATAAGTCCAAAGCAGCAATACTATACATACTTTCAGAACAATGAACTGAAATATTATACTGTTTTTGACATAAACAAAGTGCTGGCAACGAAAAGGAGGACCAACGAAAGTTTAGGAAATCGATATTAATGTTCTATTTACTTTTGGGTAATATTTTAAAGATATGTTTAATATATAATGGACTTCCACTGATGAGACACTCAACTATGGCTGTATTTTCCAGATTCTCCTTGCTTTTCAATCGAAAATCTTAAAGACAGCGAGATGTGCGAACAAGTGGCAGGGGGATGGGCTTGGGTTTCTCACTTTAGTATCCAGACAGAAGGAGAAAGCCTCGACACGTGTCGGCGTCACTGTCAATGGATGTCAAAAGCACAAGAATGGAAATCCTAGCCAATCCATAAACAACCAAGACAAGCCTACTTAACTACTCACTCAGTGAGCGACCCTCAATCCAAGTTTCCTGTGGCAAGAGCTCCATGCCCGCCCTCATCGCATGCTAGTTGAAAATTAAACCTTTCACTCAGGCTCGGCCCACTCGCAAACTGTTGCCACGTCGTGGTGGTAATCGAAATCTATAACGCACCGAAACCAGAAACAGTTGTCTACTGCGGGGTTGCAACTCGCCGCCTGTCCGCACCCCCCTGTTTCTTTGCCCCTGCTGACTTTTGGTTTGCGATTTGGGCTAAACGCATTACATGTCGAGACGGCGACGTCGCACACAGCACTTGAAGCTTACATTTTATTTGTAATATGACAGGACCTCATATCCTTTTTCAATATTGAGAGGCAGGAAATTATGCACGTCAGACCTGTCTGCTTATGTGTAATGCCCCTTTGCGGGTCGCGTTCAGCTCACGACTTGTGGGTTCATTTGGGCGTGGGGTGCATGATGTATATCCTGGTTGAATCCAGAGGCTTAGCCCCCGGCCACATACATATATCCCCCGCCGACCAGCCATTTTCATTTGTTTACTTACCCAGTCTTGCTCTTTCTGTGCATACTTCAATGCCCCTCCCCTTAATGAGTTTGTCAGATGGCCAGTTGTTCCGAAAGCTGACCGATATCAACAAACTTCTCCCCTGTCGATTTCCGGATCAGTAAGATGATGTCAATGCCATTCAAAGTGATTTTTCACATCATTCTGGGAACGTGATTCGAGTTGAATTATAGACGGAATGCTAAAGATATGGCTATAAAATTGAAATCCATTGGAAAGTATCGAAAAGATTTATAGATATTTGACTCTAAGAACGATAAATACATCGATATATCGATATTCTCGATATACGATGGTGCGCGATGAGCACTATTTCGATTAATTTATATTTAAAATTCTGTTTAAATTATGTCATTTAAAAACACAATACATTTTTATATATTTTTGGCTAAAAATAATCTTTTAAGGACTAAATATTATATTGTTAGTTTGCCAGAGACATATAAAATATGTAATAATTTGAAACTCTGTTCAAATTTTATTCCGAAACCACAGGCACTCCTGTGAACAGTTGAGTAATCTGAGGTAGGGGTAAATCCTCGGGCTGCTTCATTTGAAATGCATGGGACGACCAACAGGGACAACGGCGGCGAGGCAATCTACTTGGGTCTGCAAGGGAGCATATCCTGATTTCTCTGGCTCCGTGTGTTCCTGGGGGTTATTTGGCTTTTTGGCCTGCGGAAGTGTTTGTTTATTTCATTTCTGGTATTTTTAATTGAATTTTCAATGCTTACGTTCGCTCAAAGCCCTCTTGGCTCTCAACTCCTTTTTTTTTTACAGAAGCTGCATTATTGGCCCAGAGCTGAGCGTCAAAGTTTGCTCCATCGGAACTGTGATAAACCGGTCGGCATATGCATCGGACTATTGCCAACTGGAGGGCACGACCGGCAGGCAGACCCAACCGATGCCCATTCGCTGGATGGCCTGGGAGAGTGTGCTAATGGTAACGTATCTGTTTTAACCCTAAGACTTAGTTTCACTCTTAAAATTGAGATTTTTTTGTTGGGTTTGATGTCAATAACCCAATTAACTATAATAACAAGTTTAAAATCTACAAAATGACAATAACAAAATGCTTGTATCTCTTTGAAAGTGCACTCAGTGTCGATTTGTGATATGTGCTGTTTTCGCACCCACATAATACAAAGCAAAAGTTGGTTTAACAAAGAGCGAAAAGAGCCAAAAACCGAGTAAAATATTTTATAAATCCCAGAGCGAAAACCGCACTAAATAAATTAATTAAGTACATGAAACCCGAGAGGGAAACTCTGGGCAGGCATCGGAAAACAAACTGAACGGCATGAACTATATACACATTTTCATGAAGAGCCTTGTGCCAGCACACATATATATATATATATTCCAGATACGGGTATGACAGACAGAGAAAAACCAACGGTGGTATACGGAGAAATCTAGAATAGGTTTGACTGCCTGGTTTGGCAGTTTGTTTCATTGCTGCTTTTCGAGGCTTTCCCTGCCTTTGGGGCAAAATAAACGAGCGAACGACAACACAGTAGCTACTCTTGGCGTGGGGTGGGGATAGGGCTGGGAATATGGCTGGGGGAGCCGGCTAAAAGGGAAAAAGAACGGGGTGCGGGATAGGGTGCGTATATTAAAAAGCGCAAAAGTTACGTTAGAGGATATTTGTACACATGAATAGGTTTTTTGTGCACAGGAACCGCATAATCCTTAAGCCAAAAAGCATGTAAACAAAATCAAAAGGCCTTTGGCAGTGAGAGGATTTCTTTATTTAGAAGGGCGGAAGGCGCGACTTGAGGCGTATTTATGGATGGGGTTAACCATACGTATAAACAACATTTTATCCTTAACAGGGATCAAAATACTTACACAAACCATTAAGTCAAAGATATCCGGAAGATATCAAGTATGGGTCACCGATCCTTAGAGTGGGATCTTGACCATATCCTGCACCTTTTAAATTACTTTAATATATTTTATCTAAAATATATATATATTCTACAGGGAAAGTTTACAACAAAGTCAGATGTGTGGTCCTTTGCCGTGGCCCTGTGGGAGATATTGACGTTCGCCAGGGAGCAGCCGTACGAGCATATGACGGACGAGAACGTTATAGAAAATATCGGGCACATCTACCAGGACGATGCAATGCATGTAAGTCGAGGCCAATTTATGACCAATGACCAGCGTAGACTTATGGCTTCATTTTCCAGGAACTCTTGCCCATGCCCCTCAACTGTCCGCGGGAAATCTACGATCTCATGTGCGAGTGCTGGCAGCGCAACGAGTCGAGCAGACCCAATTTCCGGGAGATACATTTGTTTCTGCAGCGCAAGAACCTAGGATTTAAGCCACAGAATCAGACACTGATGTATTAAGCGATTGATCTTAACTCGATTTTATCTCATAATCATAAATATTTGAAAAGTTCTTTGCTAATTTAATGCATTTAAGTGGAATATGCATTTAAAATAAATTGTTAGAATACAAGCTAAGCTGTGGCCAGCCGTAGTAGATATACCCTAGGCCAAAGAACGAACTTTTCATACACTTATTCCATTTTAAGCTGTAAGAGTCGAAGACTAAAGGAAGGAATTTGTCGCCAAACATAGCGCTGAGTTCTGGAAACTGCTTTACATATTAAGGAATATTTTTTTAACATTTTTTTTAGTTATCATCCTATCATCCATGATTTTCATCATCATCATTATGGGTTAAGAAGCCCGCTTAAAATACTGATATAGGGTATTTCTGGTAAAGAACAGGTAAAGCTTAATCTTAGTCCTACTGTAAGAATCTAGGTAAAGGCTTTTGAGACAATTCGATGGAATTAAAAGATAAACTGTACATAATTCGAAAGGTATCAATTAGATGATCAGCATAAGTAATCTTATTAGACTCCATATGGTATTGTGAATTCTATTAAATAGAATATAAAATCGAATCGGAAATGAGAACATTGACATATGTGTGTACCTATCGCTCCTCCACCTGAACGCTATCTATGTAATCATTTATGCTTAAATGTTTAAATGTCTATTACGAGATGAATCTATATTTATATGAAACGAGGTCCATCTGCCGCCCCTGCCCCCTTTCCACAGAGGCACTCTATATCAACTCAAAATTAAATTTTGGCCATGTATCGCGATGGAACCGCAGCATACATACAAAAAGAGTTTAAACATGCGTATAATTTTGACAATAAATGTTCGAGCAAGGAAAGGGGAACGCCCTCAGCCAAATGCTTCGTAGAGAGAGTTACAATCCAAAGCTAAATATTGACATTAATTTTGAAATCTAGTCTATACGGAAGTCAATTAGACGCATATCAAGAACGACATTATGTTTTAATCACATTTTTCCTGTGCCTTCTCCCTGCTTTTGGTTTGTGATCTTGTTAATCAGGAGGTTTTATTCCTAAGTCTATCATTTTTATTCTATCAAAAGCTTTAAAAAGGTTTCGCTGTAGTAAAAATATGTAATTCTAAAAAGATACATTAAAAAGGCATTTTTTATCAGAAGAGGGAATGAAATATATTCCCAATTAAGAAATATATTTCAAAAATGCAGTTGTAGGAACTTAAAAACAATTAGCTGAAAACGGAAAACTACTGCAACATCTTTATTTATTATTATTAACATTTAATTTCACCCGGCTTTTTTTATAAAAACAAATACAAATATATAAATGTATTAACTTAGAAATGGCATTATTTCATAGAAACACATTCTGAGTTTCAGTAGTAGCGTTTTTCAAATGATTAAATATAAATAAATGTGTAAAAAGCATACATTTTTATTAAGCATAATCATATTACGAGTTCAAGGAAACGTTTCACATGCAACGAATACATTTGTGGCAAACTTAAAATTAATTCATCATTTGAACCGAAAATATTTATGTTTAAGTAGGGACGAAATAAGAGAATCGTTGAGCACAATCATTATGTATGCCCATTGAAACGGACAAATTATGAGTAAAAAATACAAACAATGAAACACTTAAGCTTAAGAATTTGCAGCAAAAATAAACAAACCGAAGAAAGAGAAAAATGGCTCGAAGCCCCGGATTTCTTTAATTCTTCTCGGGGCATTAAGGGGGGCAGTCCAAGTCCAAAAACTAAATGAGACTTTGATCCGCTGCGTGCAGGCCAACAGCTGGGACAAATCCTTGGCCTCGATAACACTTGCACCTGACTCCCCCCACCACCCACTGAGCCCGAGCAAATTAAATAACATAAAATACAAATCCGGCGCTTAAGGTGCCTTGGGGAAGGGGCAAGAACCAGGTGAGACAGAAAATAATAAACCAATTAATTCAAATGGTTGGGAAAGGTTCCTGTTGGGAAGCAAGGCATCGCACAGTGGTGTTTGAATGGAAAGGTACTCAACTGGAAAGTGTCGCCTAAAATATCATCAATCGCAGGTTTTCAATTTGATTAATTTAATCAAAAAAATAATACAATTAATTATCATCAAATTGAGGAACTTTTTGCAATGTTTAGTTAAAATATTTTAATCGTCTGCACAGGCAACCTAAGACTTTTTAGGGAAAAAAATCGCTCACTAAGAAATACAATATTATAAAAGGAAAATACATAAACTATATAAATTTTAAATTCATCTATAGGTATATATCCTCGCTTCCTGAAAATGTCAGGAAATTCTGGTGATACATATGGAAGTTATGAGCAAGCAAAAAGGTTTGGATTTTAAAGCAAGCTTTTAAATTCTTTAAAAATGTGTGTAGGTTCCTTTTAACTTACTGTTTTTTTCTTTGCAGCCATTATTATTATATTTTTTCAAAATTAACTATTTCCCGTAACTACAAGCGCATGACAATCTCCCAATATTGCCTGTGGTTTTTTCTTAGACTTTCTTTTCTTTCCCTTTTCCGTTTGTTGTTTCAACTGTTTGTTCTTTTCGCCTTTCGCCCCTTCGTTTGCTCACATTAAAACCAATGATTGCGTCTGGGATTTGGTTTTTGCAGACCTTAAAGGAAACCCAGGCAAATAAGCATTGGGAGCTTCTAGGGATACCCATACCCCCTCCCTCGAGGGCGATGGGAGGATGGGTTTGTGCCAAATAATACTTTATTGATTTGGACACTTCAACTTGGAGCTTTGGCATAAAATATAAGTAAATAAGTGGACATCCACCGCTTCATATAGAAATATTTTCAATTGGAAGATTAGCAATGAAAATCAAATCCCGATGACATCTTACAATCGAACCCCAAATCATCACTAATAATTACATTGGCTGCCAAATGCAGCTAATAATCTTACAAAAAAAAAATAAAATCTTTCTTTTGGTCAGACCCAAATTGAGAAAATATCAGTTTAAATCTTTTAAAGTAAAACAAAAGGAAAGGAACTTCAAGACGCCGATGTTTGTATACCCTTGCCGTTTCTAATTGAAAGTAAAACTACTTCTATTAAATAAAATTAAAATTAAAACATTTCAATTTAATTTAACAAATTTTTTATATAGTCATTAGATATTGATAAAATTGAAATTCCAATTTTAAAATCTTAATTAATTACTTCATGTCTTTTTACATGTATATACATGTACATTTACATACTCCATTTAAATTTGTTTACATACTCCATAAGACGGTATTTTTGCGCAGTTTGGTCACACTTTTTGAATGTTTTCTGTACCAAAAACGGTATGTTTTCGTTTTGCCAGTGATGAGCCCTCGAATAAGCTAGAGTCTGAAAAACATAAGCTAAAATTAAACAAAATGCATTAAATAAAAACATGTATTGAAATGCAAGCAAAGAATTTTTGATGTCCCGAATGCAATTATTGCTTAAAATATGGTACATTAATATAAGAAAGTTGCAAATTTTAAAAGCTTGTTGATGTTCAAATATGCGATAGATCTAGCCTTAAATAAGCCAAACGCCAACACTGTTCCCCGCGTGCGGTCACACTGTACGACGCGTCCGACTTTTTCATCTTGACTGCTGGATTTTTCTAAATTAAAATTGCAATCTCGAAACGAATTATTATTGATAAAAGTGCAATGCAATCCTCTTAGCAACTAGCAAGCTTGCTGGCATCGAAATATACACCGAAACTGGCGTTAAACAAGCATTTTCCTTCGACGAGATGCGCGTGTGTGAGTGAAAGAAATTCCAACAATGCGCAGCACAATACCAATACACACACAAGCTGCCTGAATTTCTTTATTCAAAAGTGTACAAAGTGCAACGAAAAAGGGTAGCGGGTGAAAGCAATCGGGGTTTTTCTGCTCCAGCTGCAGCTGGAAAAGTGCGTATAATTAGCAAGTGCACCGATATTAGCGACACACCAGGGCCCAAAGATAGCAGAACTGTACAACAAACACGCCCATTTTAATACCGAGAGATACGCCTGTGCCCTGGGGGCTGAATGTGTGCGTATGTGTGTGGTGCAGTGTTTTTATTTTATTTATATATATATATTAGTGTATGTGGATTTTTTTTTTCATTTATTACACGCTGATTTTGCAACGCTCTTTTTATTGTCAATGGCTTATCCAGCGAACGGAAGTCGTCGCCTACAATTTAGGTTTTTCTGTGTTGCTTGTCCACACTCCCACACACACACAAACACGCAGAGCGACCAAGCGCACCAACAAACATTCACACGTACAGTAGCAATAGCGCAAGCAGCAGGCTGTGGCTCCCACACACTGTTGTTGCCTGCCTCTGCCTGCGTCGGCGTCGCGTCGCGGTGTTGCCGTCGGCAGCGCAGACTCGATTGCATGAGAATTTTTTGCCCGCTTTGTGATTGTTTTTGTTTGACTTAATTTATTGGCAGCATTGTTTTGTTGTTGGGAAAAATGAAAGTGTTGGTGCGGGCAACAACAAGAGCAAGCATCGCGCAGACCAAAGACAAAAAGAAACAACAATTGGCCAATAAAATCTTACAGCAATTTTGTTTTGTTTTAGCGAAAGATTAAACTTTTTGTTGTAATTTTTTTGTTCAAGTTTTTGGAGATTTCTTTTGCAGATATTCTTGTATATCAAAGAGTTGTATTAGGGGTTTTATGGGAACTCTTTTAACAATTAATATAATTAAGAGTTTCCATATTATTACCAGGCATTACCGGACGATATCCGTGTATTTCTATGCTGTTTACACGCTCTATTTAGCATCTATCCACTTGAAACTTTCTCAATTGACTGCTAATATTTCTGAAAAGTGAAATTACTTATAATATACAGCTTATAAAAATAAATGAAGAATTGCTAAGCTCAATTATTGCTATATGGCCATTTAGATTTAAAGATTTAAATATAAAAAAAAGTAAATATTAAAATAATATTTTATAAAAATATTACCTTTCAGCCTAAACTCATCCACACAACCCAACGTGTGGCGGTTGTTGGCATGCCGTAGTGGACAGCATATCATCAACAGTAGAAGCAACGCCTCATGGAGCCGTATCACCAAATCAGACATCACGTAAGTTCTTTGCTCCGTATTCATGCATACGCCTAATCTGCGCTCCACACACACACAGTATCCCCCCGCAATCACAGCCAGCACTGGAGTGGTGGTGGGCAACAACTCGTCAGCAATCAACCGGCCGGAGCTACACCAAAAATGCAATCGGGGCTCGCACTCTAGTGATACCAGTTCGGCGTACAGTGGAAGCGACACAATGACTTCCACCTATACCTCGTCGATGGAGGCGGAGGATATCGATCTCTCCGGCCTGGTGGAGTCCACCGTGGACTCGGACGAGGAGGATCTGGCTGAGAGCATGGATGTGAGTGATGGTGATGTCGTTCTGTTCTATATATATAGAAATGTCTTGTCAGACCGTAGTGGGGTGCGAGATCATAGAACCTTCTGATAAGTTAAAATTGATTATTTGTAGCTTTTCAAACGAGGGATATCTTCATAGTATTTAAACTCCGTACTGATCATATATTTTATCTCCTTTAGAGTCTTACTGTGCGCGATGCCGTGCGTGAGTGCCTCGAGAAGGACCCGGCTGAGCGCAGCGAACAGGACGTGGAAGTGCTCCTCGACTTTACACAGGGACTGAAAGCTTTCACCAATATCACCCTGGCCGTGCGACGAGCGCTCTGCTCGGTAATGGTGTTTGCCGTAGTGGACAAGGCCGGCACCGTAGTCATGTCTGATGGCGAGGAACTGGACTCTTGGTCGGTGCTCATTAACGGCGCCGTGGAGATCGAGCACGCGAATGGTAGCCGCGAGGAGCTACAAATGGGCGACTCTTTTGGCATCCTGCCTACCATGGACAAACTCTACCACCGAGGAATCATGCGCACCAAGTGCGACGACTGTCAGTTCGTATGCATAACGCAGACGGACTATTACCGCATTCAGCACCAAGGCGAGGAGAATACGCGGCGGCACGAGGACGAGAACGGACGCGTGGTCATGGTCACGGAGCTGCGGTCCATTGGAGGCGGGATAACTGAGACAACTGGAGGCAGTGGTGGACCGGCAACGGGAATGTCAGCCTTGCCGAATGTTAAGCGCGGCCACGTTGTTATCCGTGGAACACCAGAACGACTGCTGCAACAGCTGGTCGAGGAGAACTCGGTGACGGACCCCACCTATGTGGAGGACTTCCTGCTTACGCATCGTATCTTTATCCAAAACCCCAAGGAGGTGACTAGCAAGCTGCTGCACTGGTTCGATCTGGAGCAGTTCGATGCACACAAGACGCAGGAGCTACGGGATCGCGTAACTCGCGTGGTGCTACTCTGGGTGAACAATCACTTCACCGATTTCGAGGCGGACCACGAAATGATGGCATTCCTGGAGATGTTCGAGGCCCTGCTGGAGCGCAAGAAGTTACTCAGCCAACTCCGGCTATTGCACATCGCCTGTGCCGCCAAGGCGCGCATGCGTAGTTGCACTCTCACCCGATCCTCGCGTGACGAGCCGCTCAACTTCCAAATTGTGGGCGGCTATGAGTTGCGACCTGTGGTCGTTGCCACCGGCAGCCCAGCCGTAGGCATCTACATTTCGCAGGTTGAATCGGGCTCAAAGGCCCAGGATGTGGGTCTCAAGCGCGGGGACCAGATTCACGAGGTCAATGGTCAGTCCCTGGACCATGTAACAAGCAAACGGGCTCTAGAGATTCTCACTGGCACCACGCACCTGAGCATTAGCGTGAAGAGCAACCTACTCGGCTTCAAGGAGGTAATGCTGGCCCTAGAACACAGCAGTGGAGCGACCGGAGCTGGGGGTCTGTCCGCGACCAGTGCCAGCTTCAAGTCATTGCGAAGCCCACGTCGCATTTGCGCCAGCGACATAGCGGCGTTGCACGGTCGCTCGGAGAGCGCCGGCAATGACCTCTCCCTTGCCAATGCCTCTAATCGGGCCTACATGGTGCGACTCAGTTCGGTGGATATGTTACTCGACCAACCCGACTGTGCTCCGCCGCAAACGCCGCCGGTGAGTGGAGGCGGCGGCAATATGGCAGCTAATTTTATGCAGCAGCTCCTTCAAAGCGTCAATAACAGCTCAGCGAAGAAGGGCTCGGGAACGGGATCCGGCTTCAACTCGGATCAGCAAGACACGAAGGGCGGCGGCTTCATGACGCTGGGTCCCAAGCGACGCTTGCAAAAAGCCTTGGCCAAAATGAACCTTCTCAACAAGCAGCACCACGTTGGCAGTCTAAACGACTCCTCGGACACTTTGCTGAATGAGCCCAAGCCATCGAAGCTCTCTGCGGCGGCGAGCTCAGGCAGCAGCAGCTCCACCCAGTCGTCCATTAACGGATGTGCAAACAGCGGCAGTGGCGGCCGCCTCTACCAGTCACAGTCAAACCCCGACCTCACCAGCCTCAACTACGATGCCAGCAGCGATGCGGGAGGCGGAACGCTGAACGTGAATTACCAAGCTGCCCACATCCATCGACCGTCGGCAGCCAGCACGTTGACTACGAACTCTACGCACCTGCTACCGGACTATCCTGAGCACGTGCTGAAGGTATACAAAGCCGACCAGACGTGCAAGTACGTGCTCATCTACAAGGAGACGACGGCCCACGAGGTGGTGATGCTAACCCTGCAAGAGTTCGGCATCCACGATCCCAGCTCGAACTTCTCGCTTTGCGAGGTAAGTGTGGGCGAAGGCGGCATGGTGAAACAGCGTCGTCTGCCGGATCAACTGCAGAACCTGGCGGAGCGGATCAGCTTTGCGGCACGCTACTACCTCAAGCTGAACGACAGCACGGAGCCACTGGTGCCGGACGAACTGGCCTTGGAACTGGTCCGCGAATCTGGTGTACATTTTCTGCAGCTAAATGCCTACGAACTGGCGATACAGCTCACGCTACAAGACTTTGCCAATTTCCGGCAGATCGAGTCCACCGAATACGTGGACGAGCTGTTTGAGCTGCACTCGCGCTACGGAGTGCCAATGCTGAGTAAGTTCGCCGAGCTGGTCAATCGAGAGATGTTTTGGGTGGTGAGCGAGATCTGTGCCGAGCACAATATCGTGCGCCGCATGAAGATCGTAAAGCAGTTCATTAAGATCGCGCGCCACTGCAAGGAGTGCCGTAACTTCAACTCGATGTTTGCCATCGTCTCGGGCCTGGGACACGGCGCCGTTTCACGGCTAAGGCAGACGTGGGAGAAGCTTCCGTCGAAGTACCAGCGGCTATTCAACGATCTGCAGGACCTTATGGACCCCTCACGCAACATGAGCAAGTACCGACAGTTGGTGTCCGCCGAACTGCTCGCCCAGCACCCCATCATTCCGTTCTATCCCATCGTGAAGAAGGATCTCACCTTCATCCACCTGGGCAACGATACTCGCGTCGACGGCCTGATCAACTTCGAGAAGCTGCGCATGCTCGCCAAGGAGGTGCGCCTGCTGACGCACATGTGCAGTTCGCCCTACGACCTATTGGCCATTCTGGAGCTCAAGGGCCAGTCTCCCTCGAGCGCTCTCTTCTCGCTTAACCAGATGTCCGCTTCGCAGAGCAATGCTGCCGCCGGCTCGGTGATAGCAGCCAATGCCGGCCAAGCGACCATCAAGCGGCGTAAAAAGTCAGCGGCAGCTCCCAATCCCAAGAAGATGTTTGAGGAGGCGCAGATGGTGCGTCGTGTGAAGGCGTACCTCAACAGCCTGAAGATACTCAGCGACGAGGATCTGCTGCACAAGTTCTCGCTGGAATGCGAACCGGCGCACGGTTCCACCTACTCGGGCAGCATCTCGCACGGCAATACATCGCACCGGAGTGGTGGCGGCGGCAGCATTAGTGGTGGCGCCGGTGGAGGCGGAGCGGGCAGCTCTAGCCTCAATGCCGGCGATCAACTTAGCATATACTCGCACACCAGCTCAAGTTCGGCCCCGAACTCGTCCCTATCGCTGCGCAAGCGGCACCCCAGCTCGCCCACGCTCTCAACCACTAGCTCGACCAGCTCCACCAGCGATCACCAGAGGCGTCAGATGCAAAACAACGGACCCAAGTTCGGCACAGCATCTCCGCAGGCCGTTAAGAAGATGCTGTCGCTATCGGAGTCTTCGAAGATCAGGCCTCACCAACCATTCGTGCCGCGCCACGGCTTGCATCATATGCAAACAGCGCATGGCTTCATAGCACCAGTAAACGCGGGGGGAGGGGCACCGGTAGGAGTGGCCACCACCTCACCAGCAGCCACCGCCGCCAATATCCAGTGCACACCGAGTCCTAGTCCGTGCTCCCATCGTCGCCTGGCCTCGGCAGGCAATATATTACCCACACGGGCCATCCACGAGCGGTCGCACTCTGACACTCCGGCCACGCCGCCACCGCCCTTGCCGTCTGTGGATCTTTCCCTCGAAAGCAGTAGCGTGACTACATTTCGCGATTTACCCCTTCGCAAGTCCATGACTTCCGGTAAGTGTCCACTGTTCGTACATTAGTGTTACTAAACTAAAATAAATGCTTATAGCTGCTACTAAAACCGGATTCTGAGAACGCTCGTTCGATCAGTGCATTCCATGTTTCAAAATGTTAGTAATTTCGTTAAAAATTATAAAAGAATTTCTTATCTTTTGTTATATTTTTACTTTGTTCTATAACTATCCATTAATGTTAAAAAAAATCTATATTATCTATTAAAATGTTTGTGTATTTAAGGTAAACATCGATATATTAAACCTAATATCGATTTATTTATTATATAAATTATCTTTTTATTTTGTTTTATAACTCCTAATTGCTATAATGTCCATTAACGTAATTATCGATATTATCGAAAAATGTTTAATTTGAGCATTTTTCCGATTTAATTGCTTCGATAGCTCAAATTGAATATCAATTTATCGTACATATATCGAAAGAGTTTCGATCTTCTTTGTTTTGTTTAAAAAACTATTTAATTTATTTACTGAAGAAAACGCTGTAAGAAAAGATTAACTTGAAATTCACTGTTTCAACGAGGAGAACGCTTTTCATCCGGAACCTGACCAGTAGACACGTAAAACCGTAGCCCTAAATTAAGTAGTTACCTATATTTTTAGTTGCGCCTTAGACTCTGTGCCCCTGCTTTTGCATTTGAAGATACTTATTGGTGGTTGGACTAGGTTTGGTTTGGTTGTCGGCTACTTGTAGCACTCACTCACTCATACACACAGCACACTCATATACACACACACAGACAACAGCAAATGGGGCCATGAAATGAGTCCCACTTTAGGGTGAAAAGCATTTCACGACCACCACTTGAGACAAAAACTCTTCTTCTTTACGCTACTTTCACACACCCAACAGGTTCCATATCGTCGTGTGATAGCGGCTATGTGCATCAGCAGCAGCAACAGCATCACCAGCAACAGCAGCACAGTACCATTCAGTACCAACAGCAGAGCAACATGCAACACGAGCCATTGCCGCCAGTATACACGGCCGCCGATTGCCGGCTGCTACAGCAAATATCGAATAATGCTGTGACCCGCAACCTGAACAATACTCCCTGCCAGAGCACAAACAACACACCACCCAGCACACCTACACCACCACTGACCCCACAGCCAGCAACCATTCAGCTTTCTGCACCGCCGACGGCAGCAGCATACTTGCACATGCGCAGCCAGCAACAGCAGCAGCAGCAGTCTCTGGCAATGCCGCCTCCGCCCCCACCGCCGTACAATGTGCCTCCGATGGTCAATGTATATAATAGCCATCATGCCCCCAGTGCAGTGGGCAGTAGGCATCTGAACCACATGCACGGTAAGCGCTGACAACCAGATCCAGATCGCGTTCCAGTAATGACATCAAATGCAAAGCAGAACTCGAGTCAGATCTTGAAGCATTAGTTACATAGATTATATATCGATCATAGCATGACTTAAACTGTTATTTTAATTGAATGCCAATTTGTCTTGCAGGTGGCCAGCCAAATTTTATGGATATCACCAAGTGTACCATATGCCCCATGCCACCAATGAATCAATAATAAATCAAATTGTGCTGTCTTAACTGCTAAATGTTAATTTAATTAGTTGTGAGTATGCGCCGAGAGCACTAAATAATTCAGAAGCATGTTTGAATCAGGTTAAGAGATTTCTTTCAGTGATACAGATGAAAATAAATACAATTAACAAAACATGGTTCTGAATCTTATAAAAATCCCTTCATATGTATAATTTTAATTAATTTTTCTCTATTTATCTTTCAGCTTAAAGAGTTGCCAAAATTTGTGAATGGTTGTGGTTTCCAATTCATCATAAAATCAAACACAGGCAGGATCCCATATCAAATGCCTTTGCCCTTCAACGGAACAAACTGAAAAAAAAACCAACTGGACTCAATGTGCGCCGCTTAGATGTATTTATGATGAGGATTAGGGTTCTATGATTTACATACGTCTTAATTTAGTCAAATTCTGTGTACCCATTTTCTTCCCGCTTAGTAGTAGCCTTTTCTCTAAGAAGAAAATGTCTGCAGGCAGACCCCCACCCTCTAAGCAGACTCGAATAAAACTCTTTTGAGTTTTCTCCGGCATTTCTCTGAAGCATTTCGATGCCCAGCAGCACAACAGAGAGACCAAGTTTAGTTGTCTCGTAAATTTTATAAATTTAGGTTACTATATACACACTAATACATTAACCGTATAAATATACCGTTGAAAACCTTCGCTCCAATTCCAAATATTTAGTTTTAAAGTCCAAGCGAGAGAGAGAGAAATTGATTTCGAATATTTTTTCCAAACACTAGTATTTATTTACCGAAAACAAAACAGGAAAAAGGCAAAATAAAAGACAAATGCAATATATTTGTATAAGTAAAAAGAAAAGACCTAGACTAGCCCTCAATACAAAAATGAAATCATCAAAGTACAATTAACTCGAAAAGCATCCAGAAATAAGTTTATAAAATACAAACCTGAGACTTGAAAAAAGAAAAATAAGAATAAATGTTTCGTGAACATATTTTTCTCACACGTATATGACTCTAATATATATATTTTTGAGTGTGCAAAATGCCTGTTATATACATATACATATACAATATATATATATACAATCTACCTACGTGAAATCTCTACTTATAAACAAATATAAATATATACATATATACAAACCTGGACGTAGTGCAGACCCCACTCTTAGCTGGCTTTCCAAGGCGAAAACCAAATTATCTTTTGCTGAACACACAAGAAAACAAATCTAAAATATAAATTGTGCTCTTTAAATATTTAAGTTAGAGTAAAAATGGAAATAAACTTAGCTTTTTAAGGCTTTCAAGAATGTTATTTAAATCGAAACCTAAAATCGTAAAAGTTGCGAATTTTTCTTAAATGTCGTCAAATATATATGTAACCCTACATTTTTAAAGGGCAGCTTACAATATTTTTTCTTTAATGCTCGGGAAGATGTTGAAATTATACAAATAATTTAATTTCATGCATATAGGTTTCATGATTTATATACAGAAATTTAAATTTAAGTTTTTGCAAGAGCAATAACTTTTCGTTGTTTTAGGCGGGAAAAATAAAGATTTTACTTCATATCTTATAATCTACTTGATGAGAGCCAAGGCCGTCGTCCCTCTTTGCAGCGTGTCGAGCCCTTCAGAACAATTCCCTATCCAAATGTATTGACTAAATATTTACAAAAGACATTTGTATACTACTTTATAATTTATTTTTAAATTCTATATGTATTTAATATGTATTGGAAAAATATTAGGAAATAATAAAAACAAAACAAATTATTCAATTATTTCGAAAATACTATTAATTGGGGTGAAAACTTTTCAAAGTACCTGTGTATATTTAAAATTTAACATTTTTTTAGTTAGAAAAAGACGTATTATACCTGCAGAACCAAAACGTACACTAGCGATACTTACACCAAAAATTGTAGTGAATTTATATATTTTCTATCATTATTTTCAATATCTATCGATAATGAACCCGTAATTATACCAGTAATTTATACCAATAATGTTATATTTTTATTGCTTCTTGTGGGGTTATCAATTCGTTAAGTTTTGTTTCAACTTTAGATAAAATACAGTTGTCTATAAATAATTTGGCTTTAAACCTAACAAGTATTTGCGTGGATACGGAGCTACCTTATCTAGCTAGGGCACTACGATTAACGCGATTTGTAGCTCACTTAGCCCTACTTTCGACAATAGAGTCTGGAACTTAAAAACAAATACAATCGGAACGAAATTTAACGTTGCATATGTAATAAAATACACTGTTTTTGATTGGGAATACGCATAGTAAAAGGCACTTTTCTAACGACTTCTTAAATAAAATTGTTCGCTCTCAGGACATAGAATGCTTTGGACACTAATGCATGCTTAGAAAGCAGTTCTCATCCTCATATCAACCTCGTACGCTTTAAATACGTAATGAGCAAATTGTAAATGAACTTGTATTGCGCCAGGGACGGTATAATGCTATCACGTTGATGTCGCAGCTGCCCGATGACCCGCGGTATGTCCAGGTCCTGCAAAAATATGTTAAAGAATATAGCGGAAAAGATTTTTTAAACTCAAAATTCACCTCGTTGTGGTCCAGGGTATAAAGCAGAAGATCCGCCGTCAGTGTGACCCCCGAACGACCGCCCCCTTCGAGGCAGTGAATCAAAACGGGAGGATTCGTATTGTGTCCTGGCGGCACCTCGTGCGTGGATGCCAGTCTAACCGAGTTGAGCTCCTCAAGAAAGTCCAAAAAGTGGTTGACGTCGCGCGGACAATTCTGTTCCGCCCAGTCTGCGTACTGCAGATGCCAGACGGAACGGTAGCGGCGCGAGGGAGCGTGAAAGAGGCGCAACTTGCTGGTGGTGCATCGGTCGGTTGTTTGTGAGAATTCCTGATATACTTGAAACTGCAAGAGATTATGGAATTGTGTGCAAGGATCACTTTAACTTGGCATGACGGCATGACGAACCTGTCCAAACTCCAGACGCTGTTGACTGCTCAGGGGAATGTACCTCATGTCCTCGGTTAGCTGAACTACCAAGTATACGTCAGCCTCCCAGACACACTGCCAAAAGGTGTTCATGGTCTGCGACTCTTGTGGCGATTGCGCCACAATGTAAAAACGTTGCTTGGTTCCCACAGTGGCCTACAAAATAATACATTTCGTGTTAGCAATGTCAATAGATTTTTTTAAATCAACCCAAAATACGCACAGATATATAAGAGGCATTCACGTATCCATGTCGATTTTCCATCGATGGCACTAAGCGCACACGGTTGTCGTCGTAGGGCAAAAAGTTTGGATCGTGGTTCTTGGGCTCATTTTCCTCCAGCAGGGCACACTCGTACAGGGCGTGCTCTCGCCGCTTCGGTATGCGCTCAAACTCCATAAATAACTGCGAGTCCTGAAGCTTTTCATTAAGGATTTGGCACTGAAAATGTGAAAGAGAGAGAATTAATAATATTTTTTAATTTTAATTTAATATTTATTGCCTCTCCTAATGTTAATTATCATCTAAAAATCTATCACTTACCAGCTTATCCTTGGAATACCTGCCAGAAATTGGCTGCGGCTTGCTGACACCGGTGGACCAACGATGCGGCAGGTTGAGATCATCCTGAGCCAGCTTTAGCTTTGCTGCTAGCTTGGCGTGCTGACCTGCTGTCGCTGCCTTCTCCCTGCCCAGAGTGGCGGACTTTTGCTTGTCAGGGGTCTTGCTGCGTGCAAGGAAATTCCAGCGCTTTTTGCGCTTCGCATCCTTGCTGGCCGCCGACGAGGATGTGGTGTCCAGCGTCGAGTTGAACACGGAGGATGTGGATGCTGATGTGTTGGCAGATAGGTTCATGGCACTAAATTGCTGCTGCAGTGGGTCCCCAGCCGACGAGATGACGTCGATGGTCGACTTGTTTAGGCTCGCTGTGGACCGATGTTGGCGGGGCGGAGGAGTGACTCCAATGGCCGGAGCAGCACTGGCTGCCCGGATGGAGCGAGTCGGCAGCTGCGGCTCTTGGAACTGCAACTCCGCGATAGCGGAACGCTCTGCTCCATACTTCACCATGTTTGGCGTGATATCGTCGTCCGGTTGGGCATTCACCGTCACCGTGACCACGTTGTTTGTGCTGGCATGCCGTGCAGCCGGCACGGGCACAACGCCAGGCGGGGCCGATTGTATGGACGAGGCTCGCTGGCGCATGGCCTCGGCGTGTGCTGCTCCACTGCTGCCACCAGAAGCACGCTGCGGCAGGTTCTCATAGATGGGCTCTATGGATCCGTTCACTACGCTCCGCTGCAGAGGTGTGGGTGTGTTGGCCTTCTGGGAGGGAGCGACTGGAGGCTGCGGACTGCTGGCTGGTGGCGGCACAGAGCTGCGATAGCCGCTGGGCGGTAGGGTGGGTGAACTGTAAGAAAAAGTTAAAATTATTAAGAGTCCCTGTATTTGTTGTATATTTATAGAACTTTACCTCTGTGTAGCAACGGCTGCAGCGGCCGCGGCTGCAGCCTGGCTCATCGCCGACTGCCGCAGCTGGGACATGATGGACGGCTGCTCCTCAATCATGTTGAGGTTCTCGAAGGTTCCGTGTGGCGGCAGATAGGGCTGCGAATGACCCATGTGACCAACGTATTGGTACTGGTGCAGCATGGTGGCTCCGGAGGAGGTGGGCATGTTCCCGGCATGCCCGCCTGCGGCCAGAGCTAGATACTGGCCGCCATTGAGAAGGGTGCGGTTGGAGACTAGATCCGGCGACGAGCCGCTCACGTAGTTGCGGTAGCCCTGCAAAGGACGGGGCGTCGCCACGGCCAGGTCGGGGGTCGACGAGGAGCTCAACCGATTAACCGGGTACGGCGGCGGCGCCTTGTGTCGCATCATGTGCATGCGCTGAGAAAGCTCCAGATATGCCTGGGCCGTGCTTACCGGCTGCACCTGTTGCTTCGTCTGGTACAGGTTGATGTGGTGATGGAGGGCTGCTGCCGGCTGGGCCACGTCCGGGTACCGGTGGGCCGTTAGGTGGCCATAGAGCAGGTTCTCGTTGTAAACGCCCGGATTATGTACATCTGGCTGGGAGCCGGCATAGTAGGTGGTACCGGGATTGGCCATTGCTACCGCCACATTGTGCAGCTCCGCGGATGGAGTGCGATACTTGAGCTGCACAGCCGTTTCATAGTCCGGCGCTGGCCGGTATGTGGGCAGCATCGCTTTCAGGCGCTCCCGCTCCTCGTTGTTGTTGTTGCTGCTGCTGCTGTGCAGGTTGTTGTTGCTCAGATCGAGGCAGGAGCTGCTCTGTCCCAGGAGCTGGCTGTGGCTATGGCTGGCGGCCAGGGAAATGTTTGAGGAAAGCATTTGCTGCTGCTGATGCTGCTGTTGCTGTTGCAATTGCTCGGCGGCCTCGGCGTAATCGAAGTCCACATAACCGACGCTATCGGCTCCCAAATGACCGCTTTCAACGTCCGCCCCGCTACCTAGGCTGGAGGGCGTGGCGGTGTCAATGTAGCGCTTGAAAAACTTGTGCTGACTAATGCAGAGCTTCCAGAAGTAGCGCGCAGTGTCCGCCTCGCCAAAGATGAAGCTGCCTACTATGCTGCCGTCGCCGTCCAGCCGATTCTGTTCGATCTTGATGGTACGCTTGTCGATGGTCACCGTGTGAAAGTCCTTCCAAGGAAAGTATTGGCGTCCGTTGTCCGCGTTCACCACCATCCCGTTAATGGCCAAGCCCAGCTGCAGATCGTTGCCCAGAGTGTCTTTGGCGGCGAAGCGCTCCTCGCCGTATCCGTCCAGCTGCTGGCAGCACTGTATGTACATCTCCTCCGCCTGGCTCTGACCGAGATGCGCCAGGCCCGCCTGCTGCTGCAGCACCTCCACAATAAGACCTTCCAGCATGCTGTCGTCGTTGGCCAGCCCCTGCATGTTGCGCGGCAGCACCAGCGACTTTTTCAGGTAATCCTTGCTCTGCTTGTCGCCCTGATAGCTGTCGTACTCCGCCTGACGGCAGTAGAGGGCCAGCAAGATGGCTGTGCGGATATCGCAGGCGATGCGACCCTCGTAGATGTCGCTCTTCAGCTGAAGGAAGTAATAGAATCGCGTGGCCTCATCGCTCAGGTGGCGCACGCCAGTGGTCACGTAGTGGCGAACCCGAAGGTAGATCTTCGGCCCCGCCGCATACTTCTCGAGCTGACGGCTCAGCGAACGCTCCAGATCGATCCATTTGAACTCGTCCTCCTTGTCCTTGTCCTTGCCCTTGACCAGGTAGCGCAGTCCGAAGAACTCCGGCTGCTGAATGAGCAGTCGCTGGCACACATTGTCCAGGCACTCCTGCCCCTTGCTCTCCGAACTGATCGTGCAATCAACCGTACTGGAGGTGTCTGCAATGGAAGAAGCGTTGAAAACGTGCTCCGATTGACAAATTCATTCAAAACATTCCAAATTCACGGCAGCCCTGCCCACAGCACGCACAAGCATGGAAACACATGCACACATATCATACGTTTTTACTAATCTCTTTCGAGACTTATTCGATTTATGGTCAGCTTTCCACTGATGAAGCCAGTTTAGTTTTGGGATTCCGTTGAATTCACAACCCGAATAACACATTTTAGAAAAACTACTTAAGTTCGCGTTTGGGATCCTCATTGGGCTGTTTAAAAATTTATAAGCAAAGGGAGCTTGATTTTTTTTCTATTTCAATTGGGATATCCTGGGCGTTCCTGTTAACGGTATCTGTTAGCACAACTACACACACACATGTGCATGTGCTGAAGGCAACAACAAAGCAACAAGTATGCGAGTGTGTGGGAAATACGATTGCGATGTCCGCATTTTTGCAGCCTGAATTCGTTGGCGAATTCCAGCGAAACAGGTAATAACAGGCGCTCTATCATGTGCGGGACCATAAATGAAGTTGTGTACTTATTTCCAATTAAATAAATCAACAAGTGTAATAGCCTGCGGCAGCTGTTAACTGTGGCTCTGTCACCAAATCGTCTTTGTTGTTGCTCTTCCTATTGGTGCTGCGCCGTGGTTGTTGCTGTTGCTGGCGCTATCGGGGACGGCCGAGGTTTACTCACCTAGCAGGTGATGCACTGATATAACAAATAAACTCTTGGACGTCACATTGTACTGGCGACACTTTTTCAAGAACTTTAATGGCATTTCCGAGCCGTGCGCTGCTCGCGTCGAGTTTTTTTTTTACAAAATAAAATATGCCATCTAGAGCTGGAAGAAATTCGATATGACTATCGATTTTTCGACATCGATACTCCCACGTCACGGAAGAAAGAGATGGCAAATACATTATTTGTTAAAAACTTTGTTTATTTAAATTAGTCGTATATGTGCAGCAATGTAAAAATATTCAAAAAGGTATACATTTTTGAAAATAATTTTCCAAGAGCTTTTTTTATATTTTTATATATGTTTGTGATCACTTTACGTTAAAATATTACGCTTTTGATCGTTTTACGTTGTGTTTACGTTCCCGCTCAAAGCAGTGTGACCCGCCGCTAGAGAGGAATAAATCTTTGGCCTTTTTTCCACGAATTTAGCATTATAAGCGGCGAGCACACTGCATCCCGTAAATTCGTACTTTGTTACTGCACCTCGCCCGTTTCGTGGATTAAATAAAGCAATTAAGTGACTCTCCAACCATCGAACGTGTAAAAGGAACGGAACGATCTGGAAGAACGCAGCGGAAACGACCTGGTCAGATCGGTGAGTTGCAGTGCATAGATTTATGTTTTTTTGTATCAAGCCAAGTCCAAAGGCCACGCGCAGTCGAAATACATAAATTAATTGATATTTAGTGCTCCGACGGTCAAGGTTACATCGATAAAAGTAGATGGAATGACCACAGACGAAGTCCCCTCTCGCTCGCACTCGCACATGTGTGCGGTCGGGTTTCAAGTTGAAGTTTTACCTGTTGCTTCCCTCTATTCACTTTTACACAGTGCACAGTGGGCAAAATCGACAATCTCGATCTTGTTTACACTCTGTACTGTTGCTAACATTGATCCTGCTCTAAAAATAACATGTTCAAGACAGCAGTTTAGTTTAAACAAATTTGTATATTATTAACATTTCACAATGATAAACACAACACAAAACTCAGTTTTTATCATGATTTTATTAAGGCATTTTTCAAATATTCAAACAATATAATTATAGAGATAGATAACAACAATTGCCACAGACGCAGATAGAATGTGCAAGCAAAGTGAATACACTGGCAAAAATTTCAGAATTTATTTTGTGCAGAAAAATATTGTGTCGTTAAATATTATGTTTCTATTGCGATTAAAGTTTAAAAAGTTTAAACTGTCTAATTCCTTAAATTTTTTATTACATTGAAATATGTATATTATTTCAACTTCTGCTATCATTCTCCTCTATTTATTATAAATTCCAATATAAATACACGTGTCACTTAGAAATGTAAAATACAGGGATCGCTGATCGCGATCGATAAAAAAGACACTATTCCTATTATTATATATATATTTTTTTTTTATAAATATTTGATTATCTAGATAATAAAAAAGAACCGGGAGGCTGACCGCGATTTAAAAAACCGACACTATTCCTATTTTATTTTTTATACATATAATTTTTAAAGTTTTTTCCATGGCTTACATTATATTTTTTAACCTGGTAAAGGGGCTTCAAAATCTTGTTTATTTTCCGGATTTATTAAGAAATACTTGGACCTTTAATAAACGTGGTGTTTGAATTGATCAGATTTAGCAAGTCGTTTTTGACTTCCACGCGACTGAATTTTAAAAATCTGGAAACAGAGGAATAATTAATTTTGAATAAATAATTCTTATTTATTTTTGCAGAAAAATCCAAAATTTTCTCTTATAGCTGTCACAGATTATGATTGTGCGCCAAAGACTCCTATAATCGTATCACGTATATTTTTTACGCAATTAAATAATAAAATGAATCTCACAGCTGATGCTGATTAAGAAAATGTTCGTATACAATATTATATAATCTAGGGACTTTATCTCCGGCTCTTTATGTACATTTAAGATTGTAAATGTAGTCGTGTTTAGCACTTCAAAATAATATATATATTTTTTATTTATACCCTAATCACTTTATCGCACGGAAGCACTTCAAATTTTCATTTTAGAATAGGTCAAGTATGTGACTCAGAGTGGTTTTCGGGTTAATGCCTTCAACAAATTCTTACATTTAAATTTAAGCAGTTAAGGAGCAGTTTTGTAGTTTATCTTTTAAGTTATAAAACAGATCTTTTAGATCAGCAACAGAGTATGTATACCTTGCTAAGAAATGCGTATAGAACTAAACATATCCTCTGGTTAGTTGACTTATATTCCGATAAGAAAAGTCAGTGGTGTGCAAAATAAAACTGCCAACTCATGCTTATGGTGTTATTCTTATATTATCATCGTGGCTAGGGTATTCTAAATTTCGCAGCTACTAAGTCTGTTTCAGCATTACGGCGCCAAAAACGTGTTTGTGTCGGTACTTGGAGTGTGTTATTAGCCGCCCGATTGTTTGGTTGTTTTGGTTCAAAAACTTTGTTTAATTGTGAGTAAGCGGAATGGTTAGAAATCACAATAACACAATAACCCTTCCTTAATCAGTGTAAAAATGAAATGAATTTTTCCAAAGCCAACTTAACAGGGCATCCCAAAAATCAAATTAAAATCATGAGGCAATTTTGTTTGTATTTGACTGCAAGTGAGCATCCAACACATGTGCTTAGAAATGGATTATGCGTAGAAGAAATAACTTATTGTCCATAGTACGTTAGGCAGGGGTGAGGTGACCTATAAAAATTCACCAATTTTCCTCCACTTGTTGCCCGCTGCTGCTGTTGCTCGTCGCTTCACTCAATTGACCACGACAGCGTCGTACACCTTCCTCAAACTGGAATTGGACGACGCCACTATGGGCGGATTTGCATAAGCTTCGCTTACCGCTTGCCCACTCCGCTCGTCCGGCATTTGTTTAATATTTATTTTCTGCCATTTGCTGACCACAGCAACAAGAACTATTACGCGAGTGCGGTGGTCTATGCAAAGTTCACACACGTAGCCGAAACGACGCATTAGCAACATTAAAGCATTAAGTCAATTTCCAATTCAAGGTGCAACTTTGACAGCCGAGAGATACGCAATTCCCCAGCAAACCCTTCAAACAATAGATACGATCGATAGGGGTCACGCATTCCATTCCAGCTAAATAGTTTTTTGAAAAAAGTAAATATTATAAAAAATAGTTATACTTAAACTGGAAAGCGCTGTGCGGAATGAGCACAAGGAGATTTAACGCAGGCACGTCCCACCTGATCACGGAAGTCTGTGTAACAATTTGAATAATAATAAGACTATTATTTGCCACAAAATGTGATAATGTCATTACGAGTCTATTCAGCTTTATTACTTTAAAATTGAGTCTAAAATGTTAGTCCTGATTTTCTTTCGAAATGTGTATCTTTTGATGTGAAAATCGCAATCTCAGAACTATAAGAGCTATTGATTCACAAGGGGGTTTAGTATATACATTTTTGGTAGCACATTACAAAAATCGTTTGTCGCTTTCATCATATCTCTCGATCGGCGGCGGTTGGCTTTCGATAAGCGCCGGTGCATAAAGGGTGTTGCTGCCAAGCAGCAGTTAGCAGTGTGCCGTTAACCGAAGCAGACGTCGCGTCTCTACGCCGAGAATATTTAATTCATTGTTTAATTGCATAACTGCAATCGAAGTAGCAGCCGCAAACTACGGCATTCAAGGTACAACCGATTAAAATCCGATTTCGCTGCGCGTTTTCAATGTCAGCCGCCCGTCGCTGTTGTGACGAAACATTCATTGAGAGCAGCGAGAGCGAGAGCGACAGCTGGAGCGTTTGTATACCGTTAAGACAAGTGCGGAAGCGTCTTACCGTTAGACGCAGACCCGATGCAAAGTAGCCCATATGCTCCGGCTCTAGCTCTAGCTCTAGCTCTGGCTCTGGTTCTAGCTCTGGGCTCTGGGCTCTGGCTTACGTGGAATACATTAGAGTGCGTGTCCAAAGTGCGCGGCATGCAAATCGAGTGAACAAATGTTATGCAAAGCGAAAACTAAACGCCATGAATTCTGGTGCCCTTTTTTTTCAGTCACAAACATCCCACCATGGCTAGCGAGCAAACGATTGAGGGAGCAGCCGGAGCAGCCGCTGCTGTTGGAGACGAACCCTTCCTGGGCCTGCTGGATGTGGCCCTGCTAGCTGTTCTGATCGGAGGAGCCGCCTTCTACTTCCTACGCAGTCGCAAGAAGGAGGAGGAGCCAGCGCGCAGCTATTCCATCCAGTAAGTCAAGTCAATAAAAACAATGGAATCCATCTGTTGTCCAGTTAATGAAGTTTAGAAATCTGGATTTTCTCAGAGGGTTCTGTGAAATCTAAGTTGCATTTTCAAACGTGTTTAAGTGACTAGTTTTCCAATGGCCAGTTAATATTTATGGAACAGATGAACTGAAATTAAAATCTTTATTTATTATCTATTCTTAGAGGCTTTTGTAAAATATGAGCTGCATTTACACATAAACTGAGTGATTTAATATAAACTGAGAGCTAATCCACAATGTTTAATCCTGTCCTCGTTTAAAGTTCCCATTTTGTTTCAAATCAGCTTATTCTTATTCTAATTCTTGCAACTTTCATCCAGACCTACCACAGTATGCACCACCAGTGCGGCGGACAACTCTTTTATTAAGAAGCTCAAGGCATCCGGACGCAGCCTGGTCGTCTTTTATGGCTCTCAGACCGGAACCGGTGAGGAGTTCGCTGGCCGATTGGCCAAAGAGGGCATTCGCTATCGGCTCAAGGGCATGGTCGCCGATCCTGAGGAGTGCGACATGGAGGAGTTGCTACAGCTGAAGGATATCTCAAACTCGCTAGCCGTTTTCTGCCTGGCCACCTATGGAGAGGGCGATCCCACGGACAACGCCATGGAGTTTTACGAGTGGATTACAAACGGAGATGTCGACCTCACTGGACTTAATTATGCGGTGAGTTCCAGCGATAGCGTTAGAATTGGTCGGGGGTGTTATCAGAACGAACGTGAAGCGATTACACGACTACTCTGGCCTTCAAATGGGGCCAAACTTGTCCGCTTATCAAGCACTGGCCCCCCGATAAGCGGTCTCTCTCCACCCGGACAACAACTCAAATCGCACCTATTTTTGTATGCCAATCTGTTTGTTGTGCTCTGATACAGCACAGCTGATGTAAGCGGATAGTAAACATTCGAAATGGCATTGGGGGAAGAGAAGCGCGAAACCCGATTCGACAGGGAAGAGATCTTAATTACTAGATTGCCGGAACTCGAGCTAGGTTGTTAAGCTTGACTAACGGCTAATATGGGTATTAAGATAGCCAACATGATGTCGTTTTTGTTAAGATAAATAGAAAATAAAATTGGTTACTGGAAAATATAATTAGCGAATTATATAGTCACATTTCATAGAATTTGTTGAGTATTTGTTACGTGGTTCGATAAGATTAGATAACAAATAAAGCGCCATAGTAAAACTGATGTACAACGAGAAAGAAAGCGTTTGAAAGCGAATGAAAACATATAGTATACAGACAGGAATTTATTTAAGATGCTGATTTGAATTTTAAAATAATATTTTTCAAAAACCCCTATGTATTACTCATGAGTATTAATCAAAGTTCAACTCTAATGAGTCGCTTACCATTATCAGCAGAGGTGCTTATCGAACTCCATTCAAATCGGCCGGCTAATCGCTCTCTGCTCACCAGTGCGTTCTGCGTGCCGTAACAGTTGGCATTTCGTCGCGAACACATTTTAGTACGTTTCTTCAGCACAACGTGCTTGTTCTCCGGTTTATAAATATTGTGAATTTATTACGTTACAGCTGATTGATTAACTAATTGATAAAGTCATTTTAAGCTGAAAGATGCTGAACACGCTCGCCGTCTCGACACTGCGCCTAGGGGCGAGCCGCTCGCCGAGACTGCGATCTTTGCGAGGCCTTTTAATTAGTTTACGTAATAAAACTGCGACGGTGCGAAGGCTAATGGAAAGGGGACAAGACACCAAACAATGTATAACAGCAGTCAAAATAATAGCACCCTGTTTTTTTGTATTATTTACTGATCCCACCATTTGTTGGTCATAGTGTTTTAAACTCAAAGATAAACCAGGTAATAAATATATAATGATATTACATGTATTTGTAATTAATTAATGATAAAAATCACTAGTTTTGTAAAAACTTTAATTTTTGAATTTTTAAACTATATTTATTGTTTGGTTTTTGTTTTTTTGCGAAATATTTATTTTGTACATTTAAATTATTGGCATTAAGATTATTAATATTTGAAGTGAAAATGGTTTTATTAAACCAGAAAATTTAAGAAATTTGCTGTATGGATTTATTTATTTTGTTATTTCCCTTTAATATTATATTTTAACTACTTATATTAAATATTTATTTAAAGAAAAACGACAGCAAGTGCAATTATTTTGACCGCAACAATGAACCCTGTCAAATTTCAGCCAAATAACAATTTCCCTTTCTCTATATCTTAGGTCTTTGGCCTGGGCAACAAGACCTATGAGCACTACAACAAGGTAGCCATCTACGTGGACAAACGGCTAGAGGAGCTGGGTGCCAACCGTGTCTTTGAATTGGGACTGGGAGACGATGATGCCAAGTAAGTTGTTGTCAGTCGCAAAGCCTAGGCCATCTCACACTTACCCTCTGTTATCTCTAACAGCATTGAAGATGACTTCATTACGTGGAAGGATCGCTTCTGGCCTGCCGTCTGCGACCACTTCGGCATTGAGGGTGGCGGCGAGGAGGTTCTCATCCGCCAGTACCGCCTGCTGGAGCAACCCGATGTGCAGCCAGACCGCATCTACACGGGCGAGATTGCTAGACTGCATTCCATGCAAAATCAGCGTCCGCCCTTCGACGCCAAGAATCCCTTCCTGGCACCCATCAAGGTCAACCGCGAGCTCCACAAGGGCGGTGGCCGGTCCTGTATGCACATCGAGCTGAGCATTGATGGCTCCAAGATGCGATATGACGCCGGCGACCATGTGGCAATGTATCCCATTAACGACAAGGGATTGGTGGATAAGTTGGGACAGCTGTGCAACGCCGACCTGGACACGGTCTTTTCGCTGATCAATACGGATACGGACAGCAGCAAGAAGCATCCGTTCCCCTGTCCCACCACCTACCGTACTGCACTAACTCACTATCTCGAGATCACGGCTATTCCTCGCACGCACATCCTCAAGGAGCTGGCCGAGTACTGTACGGATGAGAAGGAGAAGGAGTTGTTGCGCAGCATGGCATCTATCAGTCCGGAAGGTGGGTAGCTAAAGCTCTAATTAAAATTAGGTAACTAAATGTTGTAAATTTTCAGGCAAGGAGAAATACCAGAGCTGGATCCAGGACGCTTGCCGCAACATCGTCCACATTCTGGAGGACATCAAGTCTTGCCGTCCTCCTATCGACCACGTCTGCGAGCTGTTGCCACGCCTCCAGCCGCGTTACTACTCCATCTCGTCGTCGGCCAAGTTGCATCCGACCGATGTTCATGTCACGGCCGTGCTTGTGGAATACAAGACGCCCACGGGACGCACCAACAAGGGTGTGGCCACCACCTACCTGAAGAATAAGCAGCCCCAGGGCGGCGAGGAGGATGTTAAGGTGCCGGTCTTCATACGGAAATCTCAGTTCCGTCTGCCCACAAAGCCGGAGACTCCCATCATTATGGTGGGTCCAGGTACGGGCCTGGCGCCTTTCCGCGGCTTCATCCAGGAACGCCAGTTCCTGCGCGACGAGGGCAAGACCGTGGGCGAGTCGATCCTGTACTTTGGATGCCGCAAGCGCAGTGAAGACTACATATACGAGGCTGAGTTGGAGGAATGGGTCAAGAAGGGCACTCTGAATCTCAAGGCTGCCTTCTCCCGCGACCAGGCGAAGAAGATTTATGTGCAGCACTTGCTGGAGCAGGATGCCGATCTGATATGGAAGGTGATTGGCGAGAACAAGGGCCACTTTTACATTTGCGGGTAAGATTGGAGAAAGTTACTATACTTATATGCAATATTATAAATTTCTTAATTATTTTTTACGCAGAGATGCAAAGAACATGGCCGTGGATGTTAGAAACATTTTAGTGAAAATTCTGTCCACCAAGGGCGCCATGAGCGAGGCTGACGCCGTGCAGTATATCAAGAAGATGGAGGCTCAGAAGCGGTACTCGGCCGATGTCTGGAGCTAATCTGACCCCAAAAGCCGGAGGGAGAGTCATGCGTGGCAGGGGCAGCACGCGCAAAATCAATGGAACCATAGGCCAACCGATAAGCATAAAGTTGTCTAGTTTTTTAAGCTATGTAAGCGTAATTTTTGGTTTGGGAACTTCCTGCTGCGGTTCAACAAACAGTGAATGAGTAACGAGTATGTGTAGACCTAGTTTAAATGATGATGATCCAGATTGCCCACGGACTGTTATTGTTCAACGAGGCAAGCAAGAAATTATGATGCAAACTGAGCAAAGTTTATACAAGTTAGGTATTTAAGTAGTTTTGTATGTGTGCAAAATATTTTAAAGTCCTTTTTTCTAGCATTTTATATTGTGTACTCTTGGTGATTTCAATACAGATACAAAAAACATGTGCAATTTTAATAATGACACTGAAATTGTATTTTCACGAATAAAAAACAAAAAATATACTATGTTGTGTTTGTTTTTGGTTGTCGAATTAAGATATATATTAATTTACGCCCTACTTGTATCGGGCTATCTTAACAACTACTTACATATGTATGTATGTACATATGTACACATAAGTTGTACTACAGAATAAATTTTTTTCGCTAAAATAATCGAGGGAAATAACTAATTAAAAATATAAATTTGTTTTCATTGGAAAGATCATGTTTCACTGTTTTTCAACGGATTTTTTATTAAAATAAACGCAGTACTGAACACATATATAATTCAGAATTTATTTTATATTTAAATATATATATTTTTAATTTTTTTAATAATTTTTTATTATTAAGTACAATAATATTATATACAAAATAAATAGGAATCGCGTAAAAATCTAACGTAAATAGGTAGCATTCTAGGGTTGCAGCCTAAAATTATGCAAAGTTCTTAAAAAATATAATACTAACTTTTATTTTAACACAAATTAATATAGCCAAAAAAGATATAATAAATAAATAAATATTAACTTTCAGATCCATTTAAAAACGCCCTTTAACAAATAAAATTAAATAATATCTAAAAAAACGTATTTTATGGTCAATAGGTTAATAGAATTCCCATTGTGCCTTTCACCTTTCATTGTATTTGGAGCAAAACTATTTTTTGATTGGAGTTAATAAATAAGAAAATAAGAATACACAGAACACATACATGTATGTGAATCCCACTGTCTATTTACAGGGACTATTATTTTCTTAATGAAAGCCAATGTGTTTTGATAGTCATCAAACAATTTTGTTTAATGCTCTTCAATATCGGCAATGTTACTTTTATTATTCTACACTATTTTCACTACTCTATATTTATTGACAAAATTACCACAAAAACTTTTCAGATCAAATCAATATTGCATTCTTTAATCCCATCCTGTTTCTTATAAAAAAATTAAGACAATGAAATACTTTTTTACCCATGCTTTCTGGTTTCCATTTGTTCAGAGTAACAATGTTTTTAAAAATATTATTTAGTTATTAAAAGATTAATTTAAATTTTGCAGTAGATACTTTAACGCAATAAAATCCCTAAAACTCTTCCGGGGTACTTTACAGCCAGAGGTACCTTTAAGAATCGTTGATAAGAAAGTCTAAAAAGTATTGCCTAGCTTGATAAAAAAAAAAAACACTTTGGAATCTTCCCAATGTTAGCATGTGTAGAGATAGCGCGATTTAATGGGCGTCATCAGCTATAGCTGATTTCCTGAAGTCATTCTCGCTATTTGCCTCCCTTTTTATCGGGGATTTTAAATTGTACTGTGGATAAAAATGTGACTTTTTGTGGAGTAAATACCATAATTTTATCAATTTATTTCCAAGTTATCATTAGAACACAGCTTCTCTGAAGCATATTCCAAGGTAAGCACGCATAAAAATATATACAAATATTATTCATTATGGAATCTTTTGTAAAATTGAGTTTATTAATGAAATCCCATTTATTCCCATAGTTTAGGTGAATGTCTGGCGTCAGCACAAACAAAAGATAATCTTAATTTGTGTTCTCGACGAGCACACGCGAGCCCATATATACATTTATACACACGCGTTTCTAATACATATCACCAGGTTGATAACACCTAAAGCAAATACCAGCTCTGTTGACCCACTGACAGGCGGTGTTCCAGCCTCGAAGCACCGCCTGTCGTCCACTGCCGTGGCGGCTACGAGACTGTTGGGAGAGTACCTATGACGTGGTCGCTTGTAGTCAACCTGTTGGTTGACCGGACTCAAGAGCTAGACCACAGCAAACTTGGGAGACACCAACACGAATTTAATTACGGCTCTATCAACCCACAAGCATGTGTATTTCCAAATCTCTTTCATTAGCGTTTTGTTTTCATTAAAATTCGGATGACAGTGCAAAACACGACTGATACTAGAGACTGAGGCTCATCGCACTGAGAAAGCTACGAGCGAGGCAGCCATTAAGTTCGCACAGTGGTACTTGAATGACTTAAAAAAAATATAAATTAATCGGCTTAGATACATATGTATCTGTAGATGCTAATTGTCACATTTTGTACAATTATGTAAATTTGTAGTGAATGAAAAAAATTTAATAAAATAATGATTAAATATATATACATATATATCTTGGTTATTTGTTTTTTTACCACTCCATCTTTTGTATATTCACATATTTTTAAACAGTTTCTGAACAAATGTTTAAAAATCTTGTCTAAACCCACTGTGCCAACTATTCAACGCTTATTAAGTTTATTTTCACGATGACACAACAGCCATTTGAAGAGCACGAAATTGTCGTCGGAATAGTTTCCGCGGCACAATAGCGCAAACAAATATAAAATGCTAGGTTCGCCTGCGTCGTCGCCTCAGTCAGCTCCGAAAGGTGTGCGTGAAAGACTTGCTCAGACGGGAAAAGTTTAGAAAGAACAACTCTTTACCGATTACGTGGTTAAACAGCTCCAAAATGGTAGTCATAAAAAATGAGCAGAAGATTTCGGTGCCGGAGTATCTGAACATTGAGTTCTTCACCGAAACCCTGGAGGAGGGACTACGGGAGACAAAGGTCACCCTGAAGGAGATCAACTTCGAGTGGGGCAGCAATCCGGGGGACAACTACTGCTCGGCCATCTACCGGGTCCAGCTCACCTTCGCCAAGTGGGTTGATGGCAAGGAGTCGGCCAAGAACGATCAGCTCTCGTTGATCGTTAAGACCATTCCGATAACAGAGGCCACCCAGTTTCTGGAAGACGTTAGTGTATTCATCAAGGAGAAGCAGACCTATACCGATGTCCTTCCCCGATTGGATATTCTGAGTCGTGGCGACAAGTTCGGAGCCAAGTAAGTGTTGGCACAGAATTCTGGTAACGAAACGAATAACGTGACTTTCTTGTTCCAGGTATTATCATTCAGTAAAGGCCCCTGTGCAGACCATCGTGTTCAGTGACCTCAAGGTGGAGGGATACAAGGTAGCCTCGCGTGAAGCTGGCTTGGACTGGAACCACGCCTCCCTCATTCTGCAGCAGCTTGGAAAGTTTCACGCAACCTCCATGGTGCTGGCCAAAAAGGTAAACACAGCGGCAAACAACACGGGAGATGAAATACAGTTCTTATTGCGTTTTTGTGTCTCGCAGGATCCTGCCATCGTGAAGCAGTACACCCGCGGCATGCTCAGCGAGGATATTCTAATGAAGAGCGACACCTTTGAGGTCATGTTCGGCGGCTTCCTTAAGGGGCTCATCAAAAGTTCCGCCACCTGGCCCGGCTTTGAAAAGGTCAGCAAAAACTTACAACGTCTCATGGACAACTTCCGGTCTGTGTGTGTGGCTGCGGCCAAGCCGAAGCCCGGAGATCGATACGTTGTGCTTAACCATGGGGACATGTGGACCAATAACTTCATGTACGCCTACGACAATGCCGCCCAGCCGGAGACTCCGACGAGGGCCATATTTGTAGACTTCCAGCTGAGTTTTTATGGCAGCCCCGCCTGTGACCTCAACTTTTTCTTGAACACCAGCGTGAAATTGGAGCTGCTGCAAGGGCGGCGCGAGGAACTGATCAAAGTTTACTATGCGGCCTTCAAGGATGCGCTGGAGTACGCCCGTTTCGAGGACATTCCCACATACGAGGACCTGCAGTATGAGCTGCGAAGCCGCGAGACCTACGGACTGTTCGGCCTGTTTGCCTTCCTGCCAATGATCACTATGCCGAAGGAACTAGCCCAAGATAATAGCATTGAGAATATGCAGGACGAGGCCTTCAAGCAGCGCAAGATGGACGCTATTTTCTCGCAAAAGTCCCTTAACGAGTACCAGAAGTGGGCGTTGAAGCGTGCCGACTCCCTCGGCGTCTTCAGCGACTATTAAAAAGTAGTTTGGTTACACTTTCAAAACCCTTGTGATATAAATGTGGTCGAGTTCCAAAAAGACCGTCTTATAATTCTTGAAATTAAATTAATGCATCAAAATATATTTTTGTGAAAACAATACTAAACAATTTGGTTTAAAAAAGATTCAAAGTAACAATTTAATTACCAAATCGCTAAGATAATCTTTCAATTTAAGCTCCTTAACTGGTTATTGTTATTATTCGTTTGAACGGACACAAGGTGACCGCCCATTTTCTGGCATGTGTTGTTCGAATTCTCATCAAAAGCCTTCTCATTGATGTAATACGACATTAGTCCGGTCCTTGCCACTTTGGTCAATATGTCCTGGATCTCTTTTAGTTGGTTTTGTATTATTTTCTTTTCGTTGAGTTCTGCTGCCAGCTTATTTTCAATATCTTCCAAACGCTTCGATAAGTTCGCCGGGAGGTGCTGGGTTAAAGTATTCTTCAGGGCGTCCTTGTCCTGTTGCGATTTTTTAACAGTATCCAGGGTTTTCTGCATGTCCGCTAGCTTGGTGTTCATCTGGCTAAGATCCTGCCGACTCCCGTTTTCACAGGTATCCAAACTAGTTTCTTTGGTCTTCAAATAGCCCAGCACTGGCTTCATCGCCGAGAAGCAGTACGACCCGCACATGGTGGCCAGTTCTTCCGTTTCATTTCCATCGGCGCACTCCGTGTTAGCCAGGGATCCATTAAAGCAAAGGATCAAGGAGAATATTGCTGCTGCGAGTCTGATCATTCTGAATGAGTTTTAAATTGGAACTGAGAGTGACATCCGCTTGAAAATTCGTCTTGTCTTATCAATATAAAAGATTTTTTTTATTGTATACTTACCCTAGAAAAGTGTATTATCATTTAAAAGGAGACATATGCGTCCCTTTTCATTTCTTTTAACACATTTCCATCTACTCCTAGATCTACAAATTAATTTTTATTTATTTCTGCAATAGGGTATATGCTAAAAGGTCCTTTAAAAGTACCAGAGAAACAATCAATAGTAAAAAATCAAAATTATATTATATTATATTCAATATTATATTGAATATTGTTTCAACTCTAATAACAGTTATCGTGTTGAAGGGTATATAAACTTCGCTATTGATTTCACAAGTCTTGCCTGCTTATGCTGCTCAAAATCTGGTAAATATATATAAGTACTTATCTTTGCCCCAAGAATTATATAAAAAAAAAACACTGGAATTATAATATAAATATTTCAAATGAATTTCCCACATTGGTTCCTGACAAAAGAACACTTTTATATTTAATTCATGATATTCTGCATATATATTTCCGCTGACGCTGGCTTTTCGAAACGCAGTTAACAATAATATATGTATAAGAATCTTATTGGAGGGATTTTTAAAGGTAATATATTTATTTCAATGTCGTAATAGAATCTCACCGATGAGCAATTTTTTAAGTGTACATGTTTTAGATAGACCTTCGCTTTTAATATATACAAATTTTATGGGAAATATATACGAACACTGAGAGTGAAATCATCTTTAAAAATAGCTCTTATCAGTCAGAGGTCAAATGTCAGCCATCGAATAATTCCAGGAATTAGTTCATCAGATTTATTCACAGGTCGTTTTCACTCTCCCAGTTTCAGAATGTTTAATTTGGGGACTTATCTTATTTTCGCGCTAGCTGCCTGTCTGTGTGAGGCATCCCTCGGGCCTGGACGGATCCCTTGTGATGCTGACAATGAAAACATCTTAGCTTTCTCAGGCTATTTCCCTTAATTTTTTAAAATTTTATTAAAATTGATTATTATATAAATAGTCAAAATACTTAAATATGGCTCCAACTTTATTTAGACTTCAGCTGGGTTCATCAAACGTTAATACCGCTAATCCATTGAATGCTTTTTCATTGACTCAATTGAGTAAGGTCCGGTCCAAGATGCGCCCCCGATGACCCAACCCATTAAGATCAATTATAAATCGAATGCAGCATCGACGACCCTCTCTGAGATTTTGCATATAAAGTAGCTGGACCCACTGGCAGTCGCAAGTCAAATCGCCATGTCGGACGCTACGGAGGAGCCTCCGCTTTATTTAACGCATCAGTTCTTTAGGCGGACGCTGGAGCATGGACTGCAGCAGATGGATCTGCACGTCCTTGAGGTGCAGCTAACCAATTTGACGCGAGGAGGCGAGAACTACTGCAGCAACATCTACCGAGCTCACATTAAATACCGCAACGCAGAAGGCAGCGTCCTGGAGACATCTCTGATTGTCAAGTCCATGCCGGAGGAGAAGCAGGCGATTCTGTCCCGCCTACACATTTACAACAAGGAAAGCATCTTCTATATGCACATAAAGCCCAAGCTGGAGGCCCTTATGTGGCGGGCACACAATGTCTCCAAGCCGTGGACGATGGGTGCCAAGTGGGTGTTTGATTTTTTCATTTCACTTTGTTTTCTGGGTTAATTTTACCCATTTACAGGCATTATTACTCCACCACTCAGCCGGAGCAGACCATCATCGTTGAGGATCTGTGCTCCGAGGGCTATCAGCTGAAATGTCGTCAACTGGGTCTCGACTTGGACCACTCTGCTCTGGTGATGCAAAAGCTGGCCCAATACCATGCCCTCAGCATGATGATGGCCGAATGGGAGCCGGAGACGATCGTGGATCGCTATCCCTTCGGTCTGCTGCACATGGACGCCATCAAGTCGAAGCCCTTCAAGCTGCTCTTCGGCACCCAACTCCTGAAGCTGGCCGCCCTTGTGGGTGACTGTGAGGGATTCGGCTCCATCACCACAAAGCTCTACCGCTACCATGAACACTTTACTGAACGCATTCTCAAGGCTGTCTATCCGTTGCGAGGAAACTACAATGTGCTTAACCACGGCGATCTGTGGATAAACAATATATTCTTCAACTACGATCCCCAGTACAAGGTGCAGGATGTGAAAATTGTAAGTATTGTCTTTGGAGGAGCCTTCTCACCTAATAGCTTTTTTCAGATTGACTTTCAGTTATGCTTCTATGGTAGCCTGGGCTTCGATATTAACTACTTTCTGAACACCAGCTTGGAGCTGGAGGTTCTGCGTTGCCATCGACAGGCGCTCATCGACATCTACTACAAGGCGCTGGTTGAATGTCTCCAGGACCTGCCGTGGACAAAGGCCTTGCCCAGTTACGAGGGCGTTATGGAGGAGATCCGGGAACGCGAGGACTATGGTTTCTTTGTGGCCTTCGGTTTCTTTCCGCTTATGAGCATGATTGGCGTCGACTCGGAGGACAACTCACTGAAGAACTTCCACGACGAAAGCTTCGCGCGACAGAAAGTGCAGCTCATGTTCGAAGGCAACGCTCGCACCCTGGAGAGCTTGAAATGCACGCTGAAGCGTCTGGATGAGATGAAAATGTTTGACTGAAATTTGAACAACTATAATATCAATATATATTTATAAATCTTTAACTTAAAAATTATATTAGGGAAATATATATTTTAATCTAAACTTCCTTTTCTATTTATTAGATAATATTGTACTTGAACGCACTTTGCGTGCGGTTAATTCCACAAACAAATTATATTTAATAAAGACATGCATCTATTTTCAATTCGTCAAATGAAACTTAAATTGTTGAGAATTTTTCACTCACTTATTTGCATATTAACCCACTTAATTATTAAGTCAACACACATTTTTACGCCCCAGCCTTCCAAATGGAACGTGTCAATTATCTTAAATAACAATCTTTTAATTTAGAATATTAAATATTCTCTCTGTGTCTCAAGTTTCAAATCACATCGTCACGTTAGTCAAGTTATACAAGTCATCAAACTGAAATTGTCTGCGGATATTCCACTGAGTAATATGGATATAACTAGTTTTTAATTAGAATATAATTTATGATGACAAAACAAATTATTTTGATGTAATTATTGCCGCACAAAGCAATACATTTACTAAAAAATATATAGAGCCTGGCCTTTAGGTTGTTTAGTTGATTAAACTACAAAGATTTTATTTATAAAGTAATTATTATATAATAATACTAAATATTACAATAATAAAACTCTATTGATATATAAGCATTATGTCACTGGAATATACTTTTATGGTTTTATATTTTATCAGATAATTGGATTTGTGGGTACTTAGTAAGTAAGCGTTAAGCAAGCAAAGACCATAAAGATTCGTTATCGACTAATCAAATGGATATTATGCATATATTTTGTACGAACAAACACTTGATAAGATAATTGCCAGTCAATCATAGCGAGTGGGATCTAGCCAGAGAAAGATGAGAACAGAGTGTTGTTAGCAAAGTTGAATTCAGGAAATTGAATTAGTAGCGAAACACGCATGCGAAAGGTCGCCATCTCCGGGTGTTGCGTGTTTCGAGAATACCGAGAAATTAGAGAACTTGTTGTCGCCTATTAAGAGAATTCCAACTCAGTTAAAGTATATTTAAGCCATGTGCTACATATATGTGCATCTGTAATTAATTCCGCCGCTGGAATCAACCGAGCCAGCTCTATAATTTTGCCTAGGCGAGTATATAAATTGAGCAACGCTTGCTGGCTGCTTTTCAAACGATCGCAAAATGTGTAGCATTGTGTGCGACGCCGAGGTTACTGCTCTGCCCAGTTACCTAGATGTGGCTTTCTTCGAGGAAGCACTGGAGAATGCCCTGCGGACGGCGAAAATCCAGCCGTTGGCCATTCACATCCGAATGGGCAGCAGCACCGGTGAGAATTACTGTAGCCAGATTTATCGGGCAAAGGTATCATTCAGACGTCCCGGACAGGCGGAGCAGCACCTTATGTTCATCATAAAGCACATTCCTCGCCTGGATTCGGTGGAGTTTATTGAGGATCTGCAGGTTTACCTAAAGGAGAAGATCACTTATCACGAGGTGCTGCCCCGGCTCGAGCTACTGATGCAGTGCAAGCGACGTTTTGGACCCAAGTGAGTGGTAGTTGATATAATAAATATAGTTCTTATATAGTTCTTATATAGTTCCTTTTAACCTTATCTTATACCACCATCCATTTCAGGCTCTATCACTGCATCAAACAGCCAGAGAGCAGCTTAGTTTTTGAAGATCTGGGTGAGCTGGGCTACACAATGGCCTCTCGCGAGCTGGGCTTGGACGAGGAGCATTGCCGTCTGGTCATGGAGCGCCTGGGTGAGTTCCATGCCACTTCCATGGCCCTGGCGGTACTGGTAAGTTTTAACAGGAAACCCAAGTAAACTGAACTAATTCGGATTCCACAGGATCCCCATATCTTTGAGGCCTATGGTGACGGAATGCTCTCGCCGGAAGGCCTAGCAAAAGACAACGGGCTGCTAATGCGCTTCTTCTCGGGCAATGGCCAGGAGCTGCACACACTGGTGAGCTCGTGGCCCGGCTACGAGCGCATCGCTGGCAAGATCGGAAAATACATGCAAGATCACCGTGCCAATTTAGTGCGCAGTCAGGCCCCGCAGGAGAAGGAGATCAAGGTGCTTAACCATGGCGATCTCTGGGTCAATAACTTGCTCTTCAAGTACGATTCTGCGCAGCGGCCGCTGGACATGATCTTCATTGACTTCCAGCTGAGCGTGTGGGGCAGCCCGGGCATCGACATCAACTACTTCTTTTACACAAGCCTTAACCTCGAGGTGCTTCGCCACCGGAGGCCCCAGCTCCTACGCGCGTACCATGCCCGCCTGTCCGAAACGCTGCTCAGCCTTGACCTGGGCGTGCCCGTTCCCAGCTACGAACAGATCCTGGAGGAGGTGAATCGCCGTGAGGCCTACGGCTTCTTCGCAAGCTACGGCATCTTCCCTACCGTCAGCCAGGACAAGGCCCAGACAGCTGACAACAACCTGGAGAACTTCAAGGATGCAGACTTTGCCAAGCAAAAGGTGCGCCAGATGTTTGGGTCGCGACGTTTGGCGGATACCTTGCGCTACACGCTGCCCCACTTTGAGCGCGCCGGCGTACTTGGCTGACTTACTTATGGGACTCTTTAGTTGTTTTAGTCAAAGGATTTTGCTTGGGTAGCCATAAATACGAGTTTGTTGTTATCCAAAGATTGCATTTCATTAAGCTAATTGTTGCCCAGATAAATGCACGATGGTACATTGTCTGGGATAATTAAATAACCAAGCAAAACATGGTTAATTTTTGGATAGAGTTCGGTCTTTAATTTTATTTGAAGACACTTGTAAGCTAGACTTTAAGTCAAAAGTATCTTAGGATATTTTATTATAAAGCCAAGTCAAGTTGGCTTGGGTCATTCCAATTATTTTTAAATCTTAGTTGTTCCAAATTCAAAGTTCACAGCTTAAGCTTTTGGTTACGGTATAGCTTTTGCTTGAATTTCTGTTGCAAATTTGTGTTGAAATTTCCCATTAAAGTTCTTTGCTTATTGGGATATTTATGCCAATTTGTTCTCAATTTTCCCTGTGTTTTTCCGTTATTTAACTTGTGTCCCTGTTCGGAGTAGGTTTTGGTATTCGGTAATAATAAGGTTTACTTTTTTATATTTATTTATTAAGAGCTAAATAGAGCTAAATTATAAAATAAATATAACATGGAAAGCTCCCTTATACTTGTGAGTTGTTGTTTAAGAACTCAATTAAAGAACAATACATCATCCGGATATATGTATAAATGCTGTTCATTTAAGTATGAATGGATGTATGGAGAAGTTGAATACAATGTTTTCATTTAAGGTCTCTAAGATTCAGGTGTTTATAAAGGTGGATGGAGGGATGAGAACCAATTTGGAAGTATATCCCCTGCACTGCACATGTAAGGGGGGGCATAAGAATTAACATGCGAGTTAATTAAGCCGTCATGAACTGCAAACTGTAAAAACACGTGACATGCGGAGCTACTGTATACAATGCACACACAGAATGTTTAGCCGCGGGCCACTCAAAGGCGAAGAGCCAAACACGGCTGGCCTTTTAGGAAGCGTTGCGTTTTGTTTGTGGTCTCTAGGATCCTGAACCCCCAACTCACAACCCCTGCATTTGGAGTCAAAAAAACAAACGTTGATGGCAGCAAACAGAAGATAAAATATACCTTTAATTTTAAGTGCCATAAGGAAGCATCTGAAAAATGTTTATTTTACGATTTTTTAAACGCAGAAAATACCAATTAGGGGGGTGCCAACGAAAATCAACATCACCATTTTGAAATAAATATTTTAAAAAATATCCTACAAAATGTTACATCGTAACAAAACATTATTTTCTACTGAATTTATTTTCTTCAACAGTTCATGGCTTATTTTTAGAAGCCTTCTAAAGAGATTTCAAAATCCTAGTGATTTTTGATGCTGATTAAAAATCCACAAAATTCATTTGAGGTGTTAAAAACCTGTTTGTAAATATATAAGAGTACTATCAAATGGACACAGGCTTTAAGCCCAATCTGGATTACCTTTTCTCCCCACTCAACTCACGTAGCTTTTGTGGGCGTTATTTTTTTAATACATATGTGGAATAAATGTGGCGTTACGTTTCGTTAAACGAAATGCATTAATAAACAACGGCGCTTAAATGCGCGATTGGACACAAATTAGTGACCAGTGGCAGACGACCAGCTGCCCCCGGAAAATGAAGCCATGGACACCACACCTCCCGCCATTAGGGGACGCTGATGTATGCGATTTTAATCGTACGCTCAGACATAAACAACCAGAATACAGGACAGCCGAATTCCATGGCAACCCCGTTCCCAGACGAGACAAAAGGATAATGGAGTCGCCCGAGCACACACACACACACGCACACATGCATTCCAAAAAGTAGACACAACACTGACAGACGACGCACCGAATAAATGACCATAATCAAACACTTTACGCCTGAAAGCATGCAGCACTGTTTTCCCTATTTCCGATGCTCCCAACTCCCCGCCCACCCGATGAGCCCACCGACAAAGAAGACTTCGGAGAGCATACGATTTTCCTAAGCTGAGTAGCGCTGGCTTCCTATCTGTGCATCGACGGTAGACGATGTTGCCGGTGGCCAGATTTAATTAGTACCCTCCAGTGGTCCTTTAGTTGTTGAAATACTCTATTTAAGGGGAAAGCCTCTATGTGAAATACGCTTTAGATGCTCAACCGTTGACCCAGCTATAGATTTTCCGACTTTGAGCTGAATTTAAATCAAGTTTTGATGACTTACTTGGTAATTTTTGGCATTTTTATTGTAGTTTTATTTATTTAGTAATTACTTTTTAAAGGAATTTGATTTATTTTCTCTGTGGGAAAATTACTTTCCTTAATTTTTACTTATATTACGCTCTAGGTAAAACCGTTTCACAAATAAGTCTATTTCGTAGATGAGCTCCTTCGTTATACCAGGATTTTCTGCTCCTGTAAATTTCATTATAGCCCGACGCTTTGATCTTTTTTTTTTTCTGGGACTAGCTAGAGCCTAGACTGATTCGGCTGCCCTTTAATCACAGTTGGCGTAAATCAAACACAAACAAATGCCATCACCATCATCATTGCTATCCCGGACCGAGTTCTGTCCAGAAGGAGTGCGATACGTTCCTGCCGAAAACTGTTGCATACTGTTGGGTGACACAGAGGAAGGATGGCGAATGCTTTGCATTTTTAGCTGCGTGGCCGAGCGCATGAATAATTGATTTCCATTGCCGGAATGGCAACTTTCTGCCCATCCAGACCCCATCCTTCCACCCACCGTCGCTCTCAGTGTCGCGAATTCATTTGTCAGTTTGCTGGTCGGTTTGTCTGTTTGTCCGTTGGCTTGTTTATTTGTTTGTGCCGCTGTCGCATGCAACATATTTTTACTTGTGTTGCTCTGCGGGGATCTCCGCATAATTCCCACCAAGCCCAGGCCCTCGCCGAGAGCTCTGCACATTGTTTTTTCAGGCTGTCGCTTATCAGTTTATTTTTGCTCATGCCATTTTCATGTGCCACTGCCGCCGATCCGTGTTCCTACACTGGGAGGAAATATAATGAAAAGTGGCTAGAAGCACTAGTGTTTAGTGCAAGGGGTTTAAAATCTTAAATCTTAAAATCCACTGGTTTCATAGGATGAAATATCTTAAGGGGATTTCAAAACCCTCTGTAGTATCCAATTAAATAAAAAAAAGTTTGAAATGAAATATATTTCGTAATTCATTATTAAAAATTATTGATTTGCTGAGGGTATCCACTATATATGTAAAAATTAAGAACACAACATCAAATCGATCTGTTTATTTCTGTGTATCCCCTCGGTAACCCCCTCGAGCGTTGACGTATGGTTCGGGAATTTAATCCGGACAACGCATTAAGGGTTGCCATGGCTTCTGCTCCTTTCTGCGACCCTTGCTCATTTTGGCTAACATTTATTTTTGCAGGATTCAAACTTGTTTGTGACTGCATTTAATTTCCATAAATGCTTCCTATGCCGTTATGTTACAGGTATTAGTAATAAAAACTTATTACAGCTATTAGAGTGTCCAATACGGAAACTTGAATAGTAATTGCAGTGGTCAGCCTGTAAGAAAGGTCTCCAAACAGGTAAGGGTAGTATGAATAATAGTATAAAATAATTGCATAGTTCAGTTCAGCTAGTCAGCCAAAGTTAAATTATAGGCTTAAACTTGCCCGAAGGTCGACTTCCCCACATTTTAACTTTTAAACTGCACTTCAGTGACATTCCGATGCCTTTATTTAATACAGGAAGTGTATGATACTATATGGTATATGATAGGTCCGCGAATACATGAGCTCTATGACCAAAATGAGCTCTATCTAGTGGGTAAACTTGGCTATTTGGTGAGGGGAAAATTCTCAGAAAAGGAACATTTTCCTGCAGGGGAATCAATCCCGATTCCAGGGCATTTTTCTCTTGCTCTCTGGCTCTCTCTGGGGATATTTCCATTTGTTTTGGGTTATTTGGCTGCCAGTCGTGGCGGCAAATCTTGCGGGGATGATTTTCCTCGCCGATGTCGTTGCCCAGGTGCATTAGGAGCGAGGAAAAGTGTGCTTGGGCTTGCTCCAATGGAAACTGAGACACCAGTTGATTGCTGGGTTCGCATCTCCGGGCGAGATTATATTGCATTTGTTTTCTGTTGCTGGGCAGCCAGGAAATGACAGTCAAAGTTCACAGAGAGCGTGTGAGGTGGGGGGGTAAAGTGTAATTATCATGCGTTTTCCCATTTGCATTGGAGGGTGTCATAAATCAGTGCATTCATTCTCTCGAGCCCCCAAGGACTGTGTTGCCGGCCGGACATCCTGCCAGTGCATTGGGACGCCATTAAAAGGCTCAAATTATCGTTGATTTCCTGCAGGTACACATTCATTGAACCTTGGCATATACTCAAATTTTGGGGATGGTCAGTCATGGTGTCATATAAATACCTTTTAAAATGTTCTTTATAATTTAAAATGTAACCTTTTTCAATTTTTACCTCACGTTAACGTTGCCTTTTTTAAAAATGGCAATGGTGTTATGGTTCGGTGTTATGGTTCTTTGAAACCGACTTCGCAAACACACGCATCAACATCGGTTTCCTTGATTCATATGTTGTGGTTTGACTTATGGTTTTGACTTGTGCTGACATTTTGGGCCTGACTTGTCGCCCTACTTCCAGGCTTTCTTGCACCTGCCAAAAACACACATTCGTGTGTAAGTTACTTGTATACCCTTGCTAGGGAATTATAGTTTTGCAACCCATTAAATGAGACTTGTTAATTTTATTGCACTAAGAACAAAAAGCTCTAAAAAATACAAAAATATTCTGATGTATTCCTACCTTAGTTTTGAATCTGTTCTAAAATATAGTGTTTACTATTTAATCCACAAATATGTTTAAAGGTTATTTAAATTTATAAAATACTTTGTAAGACAATAAATTATTTAAAATTATTAAGCAAATTCATGAACAATGTATTTTTAATATTTTAATTTTCAATTTCAATATTTAAAAATTGTAACTCGCACACACTGGGATATTAACAATTACCTCTATCAGGCCTGTTCTAGTTTCCACTTCCGTAAAATTTATTCGGATTCGGATTTCCCTGACCTGTTCTAGTGTTCACTTCCGAAAAATTTTTACGGATTCGTATTTCCCTCTGTTAAGTCTCTGTTAATTTGCAGACGAAACGCACGGAAACTTTCCGTGTGCCATTTGGCCGGCGGATTCAAATCCGCAAAA